GTGCCACACGCCGCACGTCACGTGTGTAGCGAGCCTAATAATAAAACTATCAAATCATTAAATGCGATTTCGTTTGGAGAGACGAATATATTCGGCTGCGAGGTCAACGAACTTTTAGTTTCACTTTTAGTGTTTGTTATTATCTTAATTGTATTGGAATTGTTGAGATTTGTACATAATTATGTTACCTTAATAAAGGAAATAATGAAAATGAAAACGAAATTAGTTTGTTTTGTAAGATCGGTTTTATTAAACGACATTATAAGGGTATCTTTTGGTATCGTAGGCATTTACTGCAGAAAAGAAGATAATATTTGCTCAAAGATTTACATTATCCATGAATCGACGCCGGCTGTAATACGACATGCGATAGACGAAACGAAAAAAATGAATTTATTATATTAATAATACAATTATCTATATACGATGAATTTTGGCACAAATATAGTCTTTAGAAAAGTGTTTATTTTTTTTACGGAAGTCATAAATATATACCTAACTTATATATTGAATTCCATACTATATATGACGTATAATATAATGCAAAAATATTTTTTAATTCAAATTAACGTTACAATACCCAAGTAGGTATATTTTTTAATATCAGATTACTGAAGAAGCTAATTTTTTTTCTAAAATTCATATAAATGCTGTCTCGGGCTCAATAAATTATGAGAAATGTCATCTTTGTTTAACTCTATGCCAGGAGATGCTGTTACCGTTGCCTTTTAACGGTGAAAACAACAGTAAGTTGAACTTAATACGAGTACCTTTACGATAAACTACAGACTGATAGTAAGAACGTGTTATATGTATTATGACTGAAAAGATTAACTTTGAAACTGTAAGTATTTTATTTGAAAACGCGAACTCGGAAGTAATTGCGAAAGATATTTTCAGAAATAATATGTTAAAAAGTTGTGTACTTGTTTAAATGTGTTATTAGTACTGAATACTGTGACTGAACTGAAAATAATTTATTTAGACATTTATATGTTTGTCGATTTGTTCCGATCGATCTCCTGAATGCCTGAACGAGGAGAATAAATCTTCCGTGACTCAACATATAAAATATTTGTACATTTAAGATTCTATACGCTTACTACCGGTACCGCTTTAAACTACACACGTAACGTTAACAGTTCATAAACAAAAGATTTTTAAAGTGTTAAACTGTAGTTTGATGATTGAAATTTGTGGTAAAGTAAAGTGACAAAAAACATGTGGTAAGAAAAATATTAAAAATAATACTATAATATATAAAATACTTATAAAAAGCAAACAAGTAATACTGAAAGGCCTTTAAAATGTTTTCAGTTTCTGACGCTCTTCATTAAAACTGTTAACCTTGACCCGGGCTTAACGTTACCAGCCAGTTATATGTATTTAACCGACTTCAAATAGGGAAAGAAATGTATTCAACTTATTACATGTGTATGTATGTTTGTGAATTAAATATATCTCGGAAACTAATACGATAAGCTGAATATTTCACTTGTAGTGCAACTTCAATGTGAAAAAATAACATATTATGTTTTGTTAGTTATAAGAAGTGTATTATATGTAGTTCCATGGATTCCGTAAATGTAATAATTTTAATAATTTGATTATATAAATTTTCCTTAGAATTAGTAAAAAAAACTGTACTGAGGATAGGGAAATTGAGCGAAAATTCAAATAAAAATCTTAAAGATTATTTTTTATTTAACGATTAATACAACAGTAATTGGAAAGTGGCGATTTACGAAATCTTATCACATTAGGTTGAAGAGCTATTATGCCACATACAAACATACACACAAACGTTAAACATACAACTCTCTTTTTTTATCATCAGTTAAAAATGCCTTTCATTACATGTTTAATCACAATTATCAATTCAATGGAACCCTCCTTGTAATAGAGGGGTGTGCCGGTACTCCATAGTACCACTACCTACATAAAACAGTTGTATGGTTATGTGTTTGTTCAACTAAAATGTATATAACATTATGTACAACACACCCAATTAATGCGACAATCATAGAAGCGGTATATAAATAGAAAATTATATTACCAGTACACTGTGTATTTCTTATGACCTAGCTTATCTCTTGTAACTTGCAATTTATTGTAAGTTCATTAACCTTTAATTATCCGAAATAAATAAAGTCATGTATACACTTCTTCGTCTACCTGGCAATCCCCCAGCTTTAGCCAGGGTGTGCCTTACATGTTGTGAATAGTTTTGGCTAATTGTTTTTACGACCGGCCGCCTGCCTGACAATAACCCTCTTTGGGAATGCATTAAACCGTGATGTCTAAATACTCTTAGAAAGTACATATGACTCGGAAAAATCACATTGGTACTTGCCCGGGTCAGGATCGAACCCGCGCCCTTATGTATGACAGGCGGGCCTTTTAACCACTAGGCCACCACTGACTAAAGTCATGTATACACTATATATAAAACTTAGTTTCGTGTATATCTCGTCAGTTTGTCTTGTCTCCGTATGCCAACTTCCGAGTCCAATGCCCTCAACAGTCATGTGTGCCATGTGAATAGTTGAATGATTTTCTGCTAACTATTGTACGACTTAAGTGACTGTATCATATAGGAAGAAGATGCTCAATATCACACACACACACACACATATATATATATTACGTTTATTTGTCTCCTTATACTGCATTTCATTTCTATTAAACATATGTATGTAAATTGTAGTAATGTCTTTAATAAATACTAGTATGGAATTATTTATGCCTTTCAAATTTCTAAACATTTGGATTATACCTATCTTCATTTCATCATGAAAAATATACCCGTTATAAATTGACAATCTATGAAGATTTCAATTATAATGATTAATACGTAGATACTTATTTAATAACAAGTGCCACTTACATTGTTATACTGATTTTAATCAATAAATGACTTAAACAATCTCACCTCTTGAGTTAGTATTCACGCCATAGAAAAATTGAAGTATTTTATTTATACTTTTTTTAGTCAGTGGTGGCCTAGTCGTAAAAGGGCCCGCCTCTCGTTGCCGAGGGCGCGGGTTCGATCCTGGCAAGTACCAATGTGATTTTTCCGAGTCATATGTACTTTCTGAGAGTATTTAGACACCTCTGACATACGGTGAAGGAAAACATCGTGAGGAAACCTGGACTTATAATTTCACAATTATAAGTTCGAAATCACCAACCTGTCTTGAGCAAGCGTTGTGTTTAATACTCTTACCTTCTCCATGTGAGAAGAGGACATTACTCAGCAGTGGGCTCTGATAGGCTGATGATGATATACAGCTGCGTGCAAAAGTATTAGGCACCCCTATTGTTAGTCACTATCTCAATAGATAGCGGTCAAATGTGTGTTTTATGGTTTAGCTATTGTATTAGCGGCAGTTTTTAACCAAATTAAGATAAAAGAAAATATTTATGACATCCAGGTGTGCTCCTAAGCGGTGTTTCTTCGAATTTGCTTTTTTTGCGTTTCGGGTTATAGTGTGTTATCAGTGCTTGCAGTGAACATACACGTCTTCTACGCAACTATTCCTATCACAATTCTAAAGACTAACATTTAACGTGTTAATTATGCCGAAAAAATCTGAACTTAGTGCTGAACAGCGTCTAAGAATTAAGATTTTACATGATCAAGGCATGTCTCAGGTTAAAATAGCCCGAGAAGTAAAGTGCTCGCGATGTGCAGTTCAATATGCTATAAATCGCTTCAAAGAGACTGGCACCCATGAAAATAGACCAAGAACAGGCAGAAGAAAAGTTACTACTGAACGAGAAGATCGATTGTTGATTAGGCAGTCTCTACAAAACAGGAAAAAAACTACTTCAGAGCTCGCTGCAGCATTATCTGAGGCAAAAGGCAGCTAAGTGAGTGTTTATACTGTGAGAAGAAGACTTTTTAAAGCTGGATTAAAAGGATGTAAAGCAAGGAAGAAGCCGTGGCAGTCAGAGCACAATAAGAAAAATCGGTTGGAGTGGGCACTCAAACATAGAGATTGGTCAGTGGAAGATTGGTCCAACATACTGTGGTCAGACGAATCTAACTTTGAGGTATTGTTATTTATTTTATGTACAATATTAAAACACATAAATGTTTTTAAAATAACGTACTGCAAGAAAAATAATAACTTTGAAAATAAATGTTTTTTTTTTCGTTTGGCATAGGTGTTTGGAACACCCGGTGTGACTTATGTTCGGCGAAGGGTTGGCGAAGAATACAACCCAGAATGTGTGGTTCCCACTGTTAAGCATGGTTGAGGCTCAATAATGATCTGGGGCTGCATGGCTGCCGACGGAGTGGGCGAAATGGTGTTATGTGAGGGACGAATGAATAGTGTTAAATACACTGAAGTTCTGGAAACAGCACTAGCAACGTCGATAACGCAAATTTTCGGTGATACAAACACTGATGGCCTGAAATTTCAGCAAGACAACGCCACTTGCCACAAGTCCGCGCATACCATGAAGTGGTTTACTGAAAATCATATTGATCTTTTGGACTGGCCACCACAATCACCAGACCTCAACCCGATTGAGCATATTTGGTCCATTTTAAAGAAAAATATCCGCAGGCACTCGATTAGCAATAAACAAGCTCTATTGGCCACGTTACAGCAGGAATGGAAAAATATATCAAGAGAAGAATGTTTCAGGCTGGTAGAGTCAATGCCAAAAAGAGTGGCTGCGGTTATTAAGTCAAAAGGTGGACCTACAAAATATTAATTATTTTCTTAAAATAAACCATTGTAATCATAAATGCAGTTTTATTTACACTCGCTATGCTAAAACACCCTAAAACTTGTCTTACTGTAGGGTGCCTAATACTTTTGCCCGTGGCTGTATATGTACATCTTAGAGCGAGGCTAATTATATCTAAACTGCTCGTACTCCCTTTCAATCTTCCTTAAATGTCAAATGTCTCAAACATTCTATATTCGTAGTGTGTCTGTATGTTGACATTTATATATATGTATATATATTAGGTAGCGTGGGTGATGTGTGTCACGGACGGACAAACATCTTATAGATACTGCACACTAGCAGCTAATAACCGGTGAGGATTGCCAAATCTATATATAGTTTGGGTCACAGTCGTGCTGACACGTTATGTACATGGCTCGATCTCCGTCTACCCTCATAATCTGCTACATAGAAGATAGTGATAATAGTAGGGAGAAACAAAATTATTATTATCATAAATATGTTATACAAAGAAATTGAATCTAGCAGATATAAGATATATAATATGCTAGATTTTGCCCGCGACTTTGCGTTAGTTTCAGAATTAGACATGTATAGCTGCCTGACCGAGCGAACTCTATTTCTTCTTAAAGAAAGTACATAAGAAGATTTAGGATTTGATCTACTTATTTTTTTTTCGTTTTTCAATCAAATGAAAAGTTCTCTTGTTCTAATCTATCTCTTTACCAATTTTCATCCAGACCCGTACAGTCTTTCTTGAGTTATAAATAATGTAACTAACACGACTTTCTTCTCTAAATATTATTTTAAAATGTTTATACATTACATATATTTATGTATATATTTTTACTAGTGTATGTGTATCAGTAAATGTCGAACATAATGACATTACCATTGAACTTGAAACAATCAATTAATTATGATCCAGTATCGTCGGTTCAGCGATACATATAGCTCGTACGTACGCGTGTCACGTCCACAGACTCATCTGGTATGCGATCTGTGAACTATTACATAACCGACATCCGATTTAACTATTGTTTGTTTATTTTATCAATACACTAGCTTTCCGCTCGCAGATTCGCCCGCGTGGAGTTCGGTTATATCGCGTTTCCAAGAGAAATTTCAAAAGTCTGGGATAAAAACTATCCTATGTTCTTTCTCAAGGTCAACTCTGTCTGTACAAATTTTCATTAAAATCAGTTCAGTAGTTTAGGCATGAAAGCGTAACAGACAGACAGACAGACAGAGTTAGAATATTGACGGCCACAGCAGTCGAGATGGACCCCATGACACCGTGGGGTACTCAGTGTGACCCGTAGTGAGTCCACATATATATTAGTAGAACTCTTGGCTTGTATCCATATATTGATTTAGGCCAATATTTTAGCAAGTTCAATGACTTTTAGTTGTAGAAACTTTTGTATATTTAATATACATATAATAGACGCATCGAGAAATACAAGCAAATTTCCTTAACTCTCCTTATTTATATATATTTTCTTATTAATATATTTACAAGGGTCAATCAGACCGACAATGATTTAACTTAGCGTCTATTATATAATGTAATTATATATTAAATACTAAACATAGTTGAATGTCTGTTTGTACTTGACTTGTATATGCTAACGATTGTTCCAAGAATATTACTGGTATATTATAAGCATTACTGATGGAAAATTATTGGTGAACTCATAATCAGTACATAAATTGGTAACCAGGTCCAGTATCCACTATCACCCGGCTTTATCATTTTCACTAATATGTTTAGTTATAATATATTTTCTGACTATATCGGTCATGTAACTACCCTCACAATGATTCCTTAACTGTCGTCGAACAAACGGATATATATTGTAAGAAACAAAATCAGAATCAAATTTAAAGAATATAGTTTTTACAATTGCACTTATAATTGCTATATATATGTATAATATTTTTTATAATGAATGGTTTCTTGTTCCAGGGGCTCCGAGCTCGGAGACGTCAGCCTCTTGAGGAGGATGCCCAACGTTGAGGTTCTGGCTCTAAGGTTAGTGGCATCGTACTGGTTAGAACATAGAAAGACTTTGATATATATATTAAGACATAAATGGAGTTAGATTATAAATAACAAGACCAACTGACTATGAGGTGGTAGAGCCTAGCTATGGACAAGTTACTACAGCTCGAACATGTGCTCGACCGGGGAAGTACCACCTGCTCACGAAATATCGGCGTTTCATCCCATCACTAAAAGAATCGATTGCCCTTTCCCTGTTCCCACCCTTTCCTACAATTTCCTCAGTCCAACCGCGTTTTTCCTCAAAAACTAAGGTCGGCAATGCAACATCTCTGATATTGTAGATGTCCATGAGAGACGGTAACTACTGCCCATCAAGTAAATCGACTGCTCGATTGTCACCTTTCACCTAAAGACATTCTCATCTCGTCTGCCTGTGATCACGGTTGCTGCAAAGTTACCGAAACGTCGGGAGTATGTAGTTTATAATAATAAAATACGCGTAAACCGTAATAATCTGAAAGTATTAGTTTTATTTACTTAGAAATATTTAAATCAGAGTATACGATATAAATATAGAAATAATTAATGACTGTACATCGTTACGAAAATCATCATTATATCGGAATAATTGAAACTATGAGTAATTATAGTTATTTATAGTGGTATAAGAATGCTTACCACGAGTTCGCGTCGTGATACTGCATACAGAGAGTTAAGAGTAATGAGATCTAGGATTTTCGCGAATACTCATTTAAATGAAACAAATATTTTCGGATTTACTACGCGTTTTTATTTTTGACTATAAACTACATACTTCCGACATTTCAGTTACTTTACAGCAACCGTGATTATTAAGACTACATGTGAGTGACTTGAGAGTTTTTAATTCATAAATATTTATCATATTATAGTATTAACCGGAGGTATTTTCTATGTAGTTTAAGAGCATATGTATCGTTTTTCTTTAGTCTAATTTCTTATACATTTGAAATTATTTCAATTTATATATACACACATAATATCTAAATTTAATTTTGTATCTTAAGCGTGAGTTATTTTGGGAGTCATCTATAGAGCAATAAACGTGACAGAGACTGCGTTTACATTATAATATTTGATAGTATTGTAGTTTAAAATGTATGTGGTCGTGATGAGCTCGCGTCGCCTGCTCTCTCTGTCCTGGTTGTGGTCTGTGTTTTCTAACACTTTAAATATTTTGCTTTCACGTGTAACAATAAACACGACACAGATGAAGCTCTCGTTGGATTCTGTTTTGTTTTCAACTTTTAATATATTGAAAATTATAATATTTTTAATATCCATATATTATAGATACAGAAATATTTAAACAAACATATTTGCCGAGAATTTCTAATATGTTTTGACATGAAATTTTTCATTTGGCCGTAATGGAATGGAAGTCATGACTTTGTCTTTTCATCCGTGTCAATAATATTTCTGTTAAACATTTTAATTTCCTACCTTTTTGTTTTTGACAGTCGTGGTGTCCTAAAGGTTAAAGTCCGCCTCTCGTGCATGAGGGCTCGGGTTCGAAACCTGGCAAGTACTAATATTTCTCGAGTCAAATACACTTTCTAAGAGTATTTGGACACGACTGACAGACGGTGAAGGAAAACATCGTGAGGAAACCTGGATTACCAGGACTTATAATATCAAATTATAAGTTTGAAATCATCAACCCGTCTTGAGCAAGCGTGGTAATAAATACTCTAACCTTCTCCATGTGAGAAGAAGCTCAGCAGTGGGCTCTGATAGGCTGATGATCATTATATTATATAAATAATATTTTTTTTAGTTCCTCACAATGTTTTCCTTCATCTGTCAGTGGTGTCTAAATAGTCTTAGACAGTACATATGACTCGGAAAGGTACTTGCCCGGGTTGGGATCGAACCCGCGCCCTCATACATGAGAGGCGGGCCTTTAACCTCTAGACCATCACGACTTCTATATATTTAATATGATGTCTGTAATTTCTTTAACTTTAAAACACTAAAAAGCCGTCTGGAGTCTCTGTAGTCTGTAGTCTAGGGTCTAGTCTAGACTGTTATATATATTAAAGTTATATCGAAGGTGGGACCGGGTTCGTGAACCGGCTGCAGTCTGTATGTTGTTAAAATTGGTTTTTGATATATGTAGTTCAGTCCCCTTTATGGAACTGGAAATGGAAGGACATACTTTATAGTTTAGTAGTTTGGTTAAGATAAAAATGCATTTTAAGTTATTATTCTGTCGACTAGTTTGAGTAATGAGTAAAAATAAGATAACTCGTATATAAATATTTAAAATATTTTATTAAATCTATGTTTATGAATACTTTAAATTTTCAAAAGACATCTACAGTCAAGCTAAGTACATTTTGTATTCTAATTATTTCGTAATAAATATTTTTGTTTCTTTTCTGACTCGTTTACATAACCTATACCTATACTAGATAGATGTGTAACTTCATAATATGATAATATGTATAACTACTGTACTTGTATATGACTGTATTGCTTATAATGACTATCGGATATAACGTCGGATATATGTATACGGTCCCTTCAATTCCCTTGATAAAAACACATAAAAGAAATAACTATACTAGAAATTTTTTGTAATTAAAGAAATACACATAAGATGCAGATTGTAATGTATAAGTTATAAGTCGTATTGAGTTGGAAACGATCAAACTATCAGTATTTAGTTTGGTGTTGTGAACACGTATTAAGGTTAACGTACTATCATTGATAAGTTGATGCTCTGCATATCTTTAATCATGCACATATCCGTACTAATATTATAAATGCGAAAGTAACTGTCTGTCTGTCTGTTACGCTTTCACGACTAAAACACTGAACTGATTTTAATGAAATTTGGTACAGAAATAGAGTTGACCTTGAGAGAGAACATAGAATAGTTTTTATCCCAGACTTTTGAAAGGTTATCTTGGTAACGCGATATAACCCGAAGTTGACGCGGGCGGAAAACTAGTATTGAATAAAAATTATATATAATATGTATATAGTTTTATTCCAAGTAAATCATTAAATACGTATGTTTAAGTTTAAAAATGTCTATCTATCCATGTCAGGGTGGGGAGTAACTAAGTCATTACCCGTCTCCAACAAATGCTACCCATAATAATTGTTTAATACTATTATATTAAAGTATGGGTTACATTGTAACTGTTCGTGTGTAGTTTGCTATCCATCGTATTAAGGGTCACCCATCTGAATAATGACCGCGCCCGATGTTACTTAACTTGATTATGTTTTAAACGGTGACGTACAAGTGTGTGTTATAATTGTTTTTATCTATTAACAGAATATATGATACTTTATATTAATTAATACGTGTCTGGTTTCAGAGTATCGTTGAGATACTGTTTCGCGGGTAAAGCTGCGGTTTATATACATGTATATAATTTTATTGTATAGCTACATACAATTAAATAGCATTGGATTGTCTGTGTGTAATCCCTACTAATATTATAAATGAGAAAGTAATTCTGTCTGTCTGTCTGTCTGTTACGCTTTCAAGCATAAACCACTGAACTGATTTTAATGAAATTTGGTACAGACATAGAGTTGACCTTGAGAAAGAACATAGGATAGTTTTTATCCCAGACTTTTGAAAGGTTCTCTTGGAAACGCGATATAACCGAACTCCACGGGCACGCGGGCGAAGCTGCGGGCGGAAAGCTAGTATTTGAATAAACGCAATTACGAAAAAAATGTATATTAAAGAAGTTTTGTTTGTAGCTCTGTCCGAGTGTTCTGATAAATGTCTGTAACGGCTGGATCAATTTTGACGTAACTTTCGCTAACAGTTACAATAAGTTTTTAACGTAAGAAGTAGCAACCTTGGTAACTAATGTTTTTCTAGTTTTTTACACATTAATAAGTAAAAGTATAAAAGTATTTGTCTCATATTTCCGTAGTGTTCAAAGCTGTTAAACGAATTTTAATTATACTTTCACTTAATAAAGAAGTTTATAGATATACGTAGAGATAATACGAGTCAAAGATGTGGATTACTCCACGGTCATAGAAAATAAAACTAATGTTTGTATGAAATTGATAAATATATTTATATTCATAGATATGAATGAATTTTAAAATTAATACGTAATATATATTAATGATATGTTAATACGACTTAAGTGTACAGGTTTTGAGAGTGTAGCTGAGTTAGCAATTAGTGAGTGAAAGCGTACTTTTCATAACTAAATATCAAAATCTTGAATATGTACATACATTTTATATTCACTTTCTATTGCTTGGTATTTTTACATATTATCTATACTGGGTGACTGGTGAATTACTATCAATATTTAAGGAGAATACTCGGTGCATGATTCTCATTCGAATTACATATGTAAAAAAAATTGGCACTTAATTTATGACCAAATTTCCGTATAAATAAATAAAGTGTGGACACGTTCCAAGTGTTCCAAGTGTGCACGCGTGCGGCGGCGTGCTGATACAACACCACGCCGCCGCACGCGAGTGTGTGTGTGTGTATACCTAATCTGTAGGGTGTTCACACGATTCGTAATTAATTACATAACTTTTGGTTAACTTTACTTAGAAGTTTATTAATATTTATGTTATATTAATTTTATTTTGTCATATATGATCGTCAAATATCACGTCCTCAAGTATCGATAGTAATTCACCAGTCACCCTGTATATACCTACAATGGTTATGGCGTTCGCATATTTGTAATTTATAGGTACGCAGCTTAAATTGTTCAAATTGACGCTAACACGATTTAAATTGTGAATAATACTTTTATATCACTTGGCATTGCTAACAATATATTAAAAATATAATGGAATGAAAATTTATAAAATATAACCAGAAAATTACAATTAAAAACACATTTTTCAAGTAATTTAAAATATTATGATAGTAAAATGCACATTTGTAACTGCCATTGCTTGCGAAGGACGCGTCCCGACCACGGACCAATCACGGCTGACGTCACATTGCATAGACGATTCTGATTGGACGTTGCAGAATCGTTCCAATTTTAAATTAATAAATCTATTAAAATACAAAATATCGTATAGCAGAAGGAATCTTATATCTATTGTGTTAAAGTAAAATTCCGCCTGACGTAATTAATCGCGGGAAACCGTATAGTCCTGTTCCGGAGGATGCTTTTTGTTGTTCTTAACAATAGTTCATTATTTAATTTAAATGTATATTTTAATTATTTTTCAATCATGTTCAAAATACTCTTTTAATATAATTGTGTGTTTTTGAGCATTAATCATTATGTGAAGTGGAGGTTTTTAAATTTAATTGAAGTCCGGAGAGTTTCGAACGTAATTTTGACATGAGCAAATCTAAATCTAATCTAGCAAATCTAACTGACAGGGCGTTTTCGTGAAGATTATTTGATATTTGTGAATATTCTCCATTAGAAGAAGTTGCCTCTAAATTTCGTCCGTTTGTTAAGTGTAATCTATATACATAAAAGAAAGTCGTATTAGTTACACTACTTATAACTCAAGAACGGCTGTACGGGTATGGTTGAACAATGGTGGAGAAATAGCTTAGAACAAGGAGACGGACATAGAATATTTAATTCATTCAATCCAACGATTGAAAAAGAAGAAAATACTTAATAAATTCCAATATCTTATTATTTATGGCCTCTAGGACGGAATAGAGTTTTGCCGATCATAAATCACTAATTCCGAAATTTACGCGGTCGAAATCGCGGCGAAAAACTAGCACCTAATAAATAAAATTGAAGTAGGTATGTATGTTTGTGTAAACGGCTTTTCATTGAGCAAATATGATATGAACCTTATATCTAATACGTACTTATTAATTTTTTTTATCTTTATTATATCATGTGTGTTCTTTTTTCATTATAAAAATAATATTATGTAATTTTGTATTTGATTATTATACATAATAAATGTTTATTTATTTATATACTGATGATTATTATTTGATACGGAACTCGATCATTATATAAGACGGTCTTTCTGTCTCAGATAACAGATTAGGTGTCATTATGTACATCATTATATAGAGAATTATTATAGAAACTTTAAATTAGTTATATAATAATTATGTATATTTATTTATAGATATATTAGTGCCTGAATTACATTGGTAGGTGGTAGAGCCTAGCTGTGGTCAAGTTACTACAGCTCAAACATGTGCTGGCTCGACCGGGGAAGTACCACGCTCTCACAGAAGATCGGCGTGAAGTAGCCTTTAATGGCTGCGTTTCGTCCGATGACTGAGAGAGACGGTTGTCATTTCCTATCCCATCCTTTTCTCTCCCTCTTCCCCAATCAAGAGTAGCAACGCATCATCAAAATTCTTTTGCCATATCAATAGGTGACGGTACTACCTCCATCAGATAGGCCGTCTGCTCACTAGCCACCTTTAAAGAAAAAAATAAATTTCTCTTAAATATTATTATGAGCCGTGTGAACCAGAAGATTCCTGATACCACACAAGCTATGGAATGGTATTGCTGTCCTAACATCGGGACAATCATGTAGTCTTAGGTGTAGGTTATAAGTTTTAATACGTAATTCTCATTATAATATACATATAAGTCAGTTTCATAGTTTTCCTGATACCTCCAGTGGCCATTCTATATGTATATATCCCAACTGTATGTATTCCAGTATCAACAAGATCCGTTCCCTTGGTGATTTCGCGGGATGCCGTCGTCTTCGGGAGCTGTACGTGAGGAAGAATGAGATCCGGGACCTGGCGGAGATCAGGCACTTGCGACACCTCCCGGACCTCACCAGCCTCTGGCTTGATGAGAACCCATGTACATTACACCCTGAGTGAGTTCAACTTGACATTGATATAGCTTATATAGAGATTGCAATGGTAACAATTGTGACAGTATATACTAGCTGCGCCCCGCGGTGTTACCCGCGGTTTTCGGGGATGTAAAGTAGCCTATATCTTATTCCTGGACATCAGCTTCCCGTTCACAAAATTTTATCAAAATCGCTTCAGCCGTTTGAGCGTGAAGAAGCAACAAACATACACACACACACTCACAAACTTTCGCAATCATAATATTAGTAGGATTTTTGATATTTTATGTGGGAAGTGCTGGTTGGATTTGGATTGATGAAATTTTTCAGTTATATAGCTCAGACAAATGATATATCTAAGCTGTATGCAGTCTGATTTTCTTAGATTGCACTTTCTGATGGTTAATGGACAAACTATGTATTCTGTGGTCCTACTGCGTGCAAAAACTAGTTGATAATAATTGTTCAAAGTTTTTCTTGTTCTTTTTATCACCAGATACCGTATGACGGTGCTCAGGAACTTACCGAACCTTGAGAAGTTGGACAACGTGGTCGTACAGCCTGATGAAGTGAGTATGTGACCTTGAGAGTGGGGGGAGGTGATGGATATATGTATATATACACACACACACATATATACGGGGTGACAGGTTAAGTCGACCTAAATTCCTTAAGGGGGGTAGTTTCCATCATTCCTGATCGACTTACTAGAGACCCCATATCGCAAACTTAACGTTTCTCAAGTTAAGGGCCTTTGAAGTTCTTTCATAAAAATTACAGCCTTTTTCGATTGCCCCCTATTCTTCTGATACTTCTGAAGTTAGGAGGGGAGGGGGACACATGAACCCATCGTGGCGAAATTAGCTTTAGGTATATCATCGAGTAATTTAGATAAATCTTGTCTCAAAAATTTGTTTTGACCTGTAACCCTGTGTTAATACAGTCCCCAAAAACGTCTTTATGGACCAAGTTAAGTGTTTATGAGACTACTTTATATATTAAGAAGTTATACACTACACAGTATTCGTCTCTCTCTCTCTCACACACTCTCTCACACTAACAACTGTCTGTCGATCATCGTTACTATAAGATGTTCCTCCACCAGGTCCAGGAGGCGATGCGGCGCGGAGTCCACATACCTGACTCTGACGACGAAGGATACCCTCAGACTGTGAGTATACACCTACCAGTGTAAAAAATAAATGAATATAAAACTATTCTGTTTTATGTTGGTAGTTAATATTATATTTGTAATAATAATACCAGCAGGAGTCGTACGGCCAGTACAGGAGGCAGAGGTCCTGCGAGTCGAGCCCGGAGAGAGACACGGAGTACTACCGGCAGCAGACACAGACGACGCACAGACACACGCACCCGCAGGCACACGCGCAGGGGCAGAGACACGAACACGTGAGTACACATACACACACACACACACAGACACAAGCTCGGACACCCAGGGGCAGAGACACAAACACGAACACACACATACAGACTCTTGTGAGTACGATACACACACACCAAAACGCGCGAGCGCGCAGGGGCAGAGGCACAAACATGTGAATACAACACACATACAGAAGCATACACAATCATATGCGCACTTCAATCCTTACATTAACCTACACGCACACACACATACGCATATCTATGTTTATATCATTATTGTTTTGTGTGTGTTTGTGTTGTTTTACGGGACTTGTGCCAGTGTCTATATTGTTGTAATGTATGCTGTGTGTTGTTTATGTTTGTATTTATAACGTCATATTCATACATGTGTGTGTCCATCGTGTTCCTATATGTGACTAACTGTGTGTGTGTGTGTGTGTGTATATCTCACTAACCAGCGTGTACTAACAGTGGGCGCAGGGCAGCGACAGCTCGGCGGAGCCCGAGCCCGCAGCGGAGCCCGAGAGGTCGCCGCCCGCACAGGTACACGCCGCCCGTCTGTCTGTACGTCATTTATCATTTATATATAAAATTCACAGTTCACAATGTTAGTTATCGTACTTCTCCCAAATTGCTTTACAGATTTTTTTCAAATTTTGTATGTGTATTCAGTAGGTCTGAGAATTGGTTACTATCTATTTTTCATACCTCTAAGTAATGAGGCTTGTTCACCCATATTTTTTTTAAATTCTTGGTAACGTAATTTTATGTTTTCATTTCTTTTAAAATGTGGCATTAAAAATACATATAATCCATTTTTTTTAAATATAGACTATAGAAATAGAGAGGGTAGGATACAATTCCAATGTTCATACAATATATTATATGATATGCTAATGTTTCGCCCCGGGTTTTACTTATTTATATAATATTTTATATTATGTTTAAATAATGTCATTAGTTTGTTGGATGTTGTTTTTTCATATTAATATCATTGTCACTAATTGAATGTATACTTGAATTAATCATTGTTATAATACAGTTTTTTGTTTTAATGTGAAAATATATGTTATAATGGAAATATTTATTATGTATGGAAAAAATAATGCTATTTAATAATAAAATATATAAATTAAGAGCTTATTTCTATAGTGTTTTCCAACGCGTATTAACGCTTTTCTATCATTATTTAATTATGAATTACTAAATAGACTAACATACATACATACATACATAGTGCCCGGCGTCGCCCGCGCGGCCCTCGCCCGACGACGACAGACCTGAAACACATTACGATGTGAGTAACGTGCGGACAACGAAACAAGATAAACTATATAAACAATTATATAAATGACATAATTGTTTATAATTTTTAATTAATAATTTTAATAATAACATTTGTTTATAATTTTTATCTTGTTTCGTTGGAGCGAAAATGTTTACGTTCTGTTGAATTTTAAAAAAGCAGTAGTTTTATTGCTTAAATATAAGCAATAACTGAAAAAATATATATATTTAACATACTAATTTCTCTATATCTTTTAGTATTTTATATATAAAATATAAATATTCTTTGTATTGACTCAATATATGAATATGACTTAAAGGCATATAATATTACGTGTCTGTCATGTTGTGTGTAGGTCCGCGGCCCTAGATCTCCTGACACCGCTTCACTACGACATTCGATGTCCGCTCACAGTGTCAAGGTAGTATAATATACATGTATATATAATATATATTAAATGTATAGGTCTGTATGTATTGTTACAACGTTTCAGGACTACGCTTACTCGTCCAACGGGGAGTGGAGACAGCACGGGGGAGGGACGACCGTCACATCCCCCCACGACCAGGATAGAGACAGGTGACATACACACACACACACTCACACATACACACAAACACATGTGACTATACACTAGTCACCATCACATGATTATAATTTTGAATTATCCTAAGCCTTCCAAACAAAGCGTATTAAATGATAAGTAAATATATCATTTAGATACGTATAAATGCTCTCCATTAATCTCCAAAAATCTTTTGATGTAGTCAGACACTATATTGTATTAAATATATTAAGAGATGCGAGCGTTTCTCAAACATATGACAGGCTATTTGAGTTTTATTTGAGTGAAAAACGATAATTATTAAAATTAATGTAAACCAGGGGACAAACCAGAGTATATGTATAGTGTGGGAGTTTTTCAGGGACTGTCCTTTGGTCTCGACAATTACTTTTCTTTCATTCACCTTAAAAAAAGATGATATAATATAGATGTTATCTGTTTACCTTAAAAATTAATATAACAGCTTTCTAACTATAAAACAAACCACACAGCCAAAGAAAATACACTTTGTATGAATAAAAAATGCAGGTAGTTTTATATTTGATGGGGGAGGCTTTTACCCGAAAGGAGTCCATGCATTAATTAATTAATTATTGATTAAATATAAAATAATTAACTAATTATCATATCAATTTATGAAAATCAGATTATTATTAAAAATATATATAATGTAAACAAATCTAGTTAGGGTATTAAATTACAATCGAATGTTATAATAATTATTATAGTTTTATTATGCATGGAATAAATAAAGCTTTATTATTATTATATTATTGTATATTTGAAGTGTATAATGTTTATTCTAGGAGCGAGTCGTATTCAGTGAGGGAGTGGGATCGGGACAGGGAGGCGTCCCGGGACGGACGGGACAGGGAACGGGACAGAGAGTACCCGTCCGCGGTCATGGCTGAACACAGGGGCTTCACTAGGAGACCCGTCGCCAGGGTAGATACACTCATATATGTATATATATACAGTAATACCACGCAGGCGACCCCGTTTGCGCGGTTTCACTATAACGCGATTTTCAAAAATTTATTCAGGTTGGGACATTGCAGAGTATAGACAATAATGATGACCGTGTCGTGAACGTGTGTCAAACGATTAAAAACAGTGTTTGGTGTTATGAACGTATTTTACAAGAACGTAAACCTAACGCTACCTAAAAGACAATACATGTATTTTTTCGTAAAAAATAGGAGTACCTATGTATTGTATAGTGTTCTTAGAATTAAAGTGATTGATTAAAATGATTTTTATATTTGTGTATTAAATTTTGACTGTGTTTAATCATAAACCTCGATATACGCGAATTTCAGTTAACGCGATTTTCTTCGGAACGTATCCGTATCCGTATAAAAACGAATAATCTGATTTCGGTGAAACTTTACTGTAATGTAACTTAGATATCAGAATAGGATTTAGGATAAAATTTCTTTCAAAATATCAGTTGTATTGTGTGAAGTCTCGTGACACAGCCTATAGATGTCACTGTCTGTTACTATATCTATTGTTTTAATACCTAAATTTATCTCTGAGTGTCTCACTATTATAAGTTTCCATAATTCATTTTCACGTAGTAGCAAGCAAAACTAGTTGTATTTGTACTTATTTAATTGCTTTGTAGTGAATTTACAAAAGAAATAGTGTAATATCTGTCCACATAACAATATACAATGATGTAAGCTACATTAGATAGAAGATCCAAAACTAATTTAAATCTATTATTTATCAATGAAAATTAATAATACAATTAAATCTTAATATATATGTAAAGTATATATATTTCCTTATAAATGAATACTAATGTTGATTGATCATCTGTTTCCCGTCTTTAAGTATATATGTATGTGTGTGTGTTCCAGAACTCCAACCTGCTGTCAGCGGTGCTGTGCCTCGTCAAGGAGCTGGACTACCCCAGCCTGGAAGTGGCAGAGATGGCTGTCAGGTAACAAGCATATAACTTGTACTAAGATACTATATAAATTAACTAGAAGACCCGGCGAAATTCGTATCGCCCTATAATGAAGAAATATATGTTACGTTTTTTATATATATTCTTCGAGTTTACCTATTAAGGCCTATCTCCGTGTTTTGAAGTGCGATAGAATGATTGACATATTAGTAAGTTGTCAAATCTAATGTCAAAAAAAAGTTTGTATCAACAACTACTAATAAATTAAAAATTAAAAAAAAAACATTGTCCAGCGGACAAAATTGTGAATCTAAACCATTCCCAGATCCCCATGAACACACACAAAAAATTTCATCAAAATCGGTCCAGTCGTTTGAGAGAAGTTCAGTGACATACACACTCACAGAAGTATTATATATATAAAGATAAAATGGATTCAGAAATTTGATAAGTTATAATAAACACACAGTGTAATTAAAGACTAAGCATTACAATAGCCCGTACAAGGAGCAGGCTGGATTATTGATTTGTCACAAATATTATATGAAAGTATTCATTAAAATTGGATGAATTATAACTATATTGCTTATTATTTTATATATTAGTCTACAATAGTCATATCTAAGCTGTATCTTATATATACAAGGTGACTGGTGAATTACTATCAATATTTAAGGAGAATACTCGGTACATGATTCTCATTCGAATTATGTAAAAAAAATAGGCACTTAATTTTTGACAAAATTTCCGTATAAATAAATAAAGTGTTGACACGTTCCAAGTGTTCCAAGTGTGGACGCGTGCGGCGGCGTGCTGACACAACACTACGTCGCCGCACGCGTATGAGTGAGTGTGTGTGTATACCTAATCTGTAGGGTGTTCATACGATGCGTAATTAATTACATAACTTTTGGTTAACTTTACTTAGAAGTTTATTAATATTTATGTTATATTAATTTTTATTTTGTCATATATGATCGTCAAATATCACGACCTCAAGTATCGATAGTAATTCACCAGTCACCCTGTATATATAGAAAGAGAGAGAGAGTGAGTGAGTGACAGATATATATTTATGAGCAGGCATATATTGTCTACATTTTATTTCTTAGATAGCTAATCATATAAAAAAATGAGAAGCATATGTTTTCTGCTAGTTACATATATTTATTTAATATATTATAAGTGAACGAAGTCGCGTGTAATAACTGGTCACAATGGTTCTTCTTTACAGATGTCGTATGGACGAGCTCGCGAATAGCCAGTGACGTCACGAGGACGAGGGATCACCCTTGCAGTGAACGGACAGACCAAAGTTATTTGAACCGAACAAACAACTGACATGTATGGGGATAGGGACCTAGATACAATGGTCGTAGAACCCTCTATACTGTGACGTACAAATAAATAATGAATATTATATATGCGATTATGATCTTTAATACTACAATATAACGATCAAAACGGCCTACAGATGATGTAAACAAATCGGTATACGGGTACTGTTCACTTCGTGTAGCGCTTCTATGAATTCGGCTTTAACTATAATGTAATAAGGTTCATATTGAGTAACAAAATGTAATGTTGGTGATTGGCCGAGCTTGGGCCAATGTTTGGCGCTAATATCATTAGTATATAAAATTTAATTAAAACGAACATTTGGCTTAACAAAGCTTTCGCTGGCGAGTTGGGGGTAATTGGCCCAAACATTGGCCCAAACTCGTGTCATGATTGTGATAAAGACTAGAATGTTGTTAATTGAAAATTAATTGGTTATCATTTTTAATGATTTTGTAATATATTATATATAAAATGATTTGTATTATAATTATTGATTTTACTTGAGTTTGAGATTTGTCGAATCTCCTATAAATTGGTATGTTTTTACAAAATTTGGTTATATTGTTTTTATATAAAAAATAATTTTGATGGAATCTGTTAATGTAATTTCTAATTTTGGTTTTTATATACAATGTGTCTATATATATCGTCCAGTAAATTAAGTAGGTACACGCGAACTTACAAACAAACATATAATATATATATTTCAAATTAAAATAATAAAAAAATTAATACTCTAATAAAAATTAAATTTTTATGTACAGCGCCATCTAGTGGATGATTTGGTCAACTCTATCCAATACTCATCTTGATTTTGTTTTAGTATTAGTATATGATGCTTGCAGTGTTTGTAAGTTCGCAATTGATGCAATTATTAAATATAATATAATGTATAATAATAAAATTAACTTGCCACTACATATGTGTATTATTTTACTTAATAGATAGTGGAGATATTAGACTATGTTCTGATAGGTTACTTGAGATTTATCGTAATTCATATTAATAATTTAAGGGAAACTTAAAATATTAATACAATTGTGTATAGTAATGCTCTGAAACATATATTAATATTATTTGTCGACATTCATTAATAAAAAAGATGTCTTATATAAGTATGCAAAACAGTTAATATAGTTATGAAATTCATTTACAAATTCTATCTATTTAGGACTAGCTGTTGTTTGTGGGTTTGCCCGCATGTTACAATCCTTTGGGATATGAGTTATTTTGAAGTTTCACAAAATTTATCGAAAACTTTTCCTTAGATTCTGGGTTCTTGATGAAAAGAACTACCTCAGGACAATGACCTTCCCATGAATATACTTTTTTCTTTTTTTTGAAGTCTATTAAAATTAGTTTAAATAACTATGACATTTGAAATTGCTGTCAAAATCGGTCCAGCCACTGGATTAACCGTAACGGAAAAAAACATAATAGTTGTTACATATACTTTCACAAGCGTTAAGTGAAAAGCTATCAATTAAGACGCGCGGAAGACCTGAAACCTTGTTATATGGAAATGAAAATTAATTATGTATGTATCAAATTAAATCAATAATGAATATTATAGACGAAACTTCCCAGCATTCCATGGATTCACGGTGCGGGTGTCGGGTTCATCGTTGCAGAGAGAGGAGCTTCAACAGTGACTGGGACTTGTGACCCAGGTGTAGGTTTAAAGGACTCTATCTAACGCGTGTTATACGCTCACCTTCACTGTACAAGCTCCTCTCTCTACCTACCCAAATTTGAAAAGAACCTACTAGGGCTGCCTTGGATGTACGTTCCAAGAATTTATTAATGTGAGTTCTGGACAAGCAAGTCTTTTAGTAGGTTGTAGAGAGATTTCGCTGTTATACGTATTTCAACAAATTTCACGACACTCACACTGTTTACTTGGAAACTACCGACTCACTCTTTCTCTCTCCTACTCTATACATTGTGTATCTTTCTCTTTCTCCCTCTTGCGTTGCTAACGCACGCGCTTGCTTGTGACAGAAATAGTACGCGCATGCGATCGAGCCTTTTTAACCCCTCCCTAAGAACGTTGAACATTTAACGCAAACGTTTGTTTGAAGTCGCATAAGAAGGTTCACTTAAAAAAAATTGCTATAGTATAAATTTATTGAATTCTCCTATTTGTATGAAGAATTAGCAACGAGTAGTTCTACTTACAGCCACGCTGACTGGAAGGGGCGCTAGTAACAACCTATTGATGACGTTTGTTTTCTATGGATAAATCGGATAGTTATATAAATCTGTGGGAACGATCATATTGTAACGTTACAATAAGTAATGTTGAAAGTATGTAAGTAAGCATATAATAATGTAAGTGAAGCTATTCTATATGTAGGGTGTAAAGTTCTAATATACAGACATATTGGAGTGCTCTCGACTGAATGATGTTCTTGAAGACGTAAATCAAGTCTGTGTAAATGCAAATGTGTGCAAATCAAATAAATGCAAATCTGTGCAGTGATTTCTAATGAATAGTTCTTAAAGTGTTTAATATAGATTAATCAATCGCGTACGTACACACACAAACAAACAATGGCTGAATATTTTTTAATCATAAAAATGGTTCTTGCAACGCGACGGTTTGTCACGGGTCGAAATCTAGACTACAAAATAGTTTAGTTAATAGAAAGTTGGTAAAAGTTTGGGTTCTAGAAGGAAAAATCTATACTTACCTTTCGCTATCTAAATAAAACTAGGTTCTTAGATTCCATTTACCTATTTATTTATTTCGATTACCACTGATTTTCAACAAAATCTTTCGATTAGCTTGCAGCTACCGTTTTCTCACTGAAATTACTTAAAAATATTGCATTTATAAATATTTTACATAAAATTAAAAGCTTTTTAATATATAATATATAACCTTAAATAATTTGACACATGAGCTAAGTGACTCGGAACGTCAAAGCAGGGGCCGCAGACAGCGCCGACCCTAACAGGTTATTAGGGATATTTACATATTTTTGTTAATATTTAACCCAATATTCATATTTAAATTAATAAAAAATATGATCATTCGTAATATAATAGAGAATGTTAACTAGAACCATGTTTGTACATATATGATTCGTCCGTTTTACAAGTTGACTGGTATGTTCTATTCTAAGTAATTTAATAAGAGGTATTTATTTAGTATTCCCGAATTGTAATTGCTTAGCTTGTTACATTTAAACCGCCGTTTCATGTCCTTAAATTTATTGAATGTTAAATATTGAAACATAAAAATAAGTCGCAAACTATATTAAGAGAAAATGTATAAAATTCATTATAATTTCATTTTTTAAAATATATTTACTTAGTTATTGAAAAGTTAAAACCATTTATGATAACTTTCAAACAAATAGTCGCTCAATGTTATTTTCAGGGTCCAGCTCAAACTAATTTAACTTATTCAACGAACGTTTATATTAATTATTCTTTAAAATTACAGTTGTGTACAATTAAAATTTAGAAATTTTCTTCATGAGATTAATCTTGATTTAGTTACAAAAACAATGAAAACACTCGTTGACTGCTTATTTAGTAACTTAGTTGTAGATTGCTTTAGATCTGTTATATATAATTGATACTTCTCAATTCGTTTCACTGTCCCTATGGTATTTACCAAACAGTGCTTTAAAATTGATTGTCTAATTAATTACAATTTTATGTATAGAAGATGTTATATATATGAAAAAGAGAGCAGCAAAAATTTATACATTCCTTTAGAAAGTACTATCAAAATATTACGGCGTTACTGCACGGCTGAATTTTGTTCTGTTCTCTACATATATAACTCTAGCTGCGCCACGCGATGTTACCCACGGATTTTCGGGATTTCCGAGGTTTCCGGGATGTAAAGTAGCCTATGTGTTATTCCTGGACGTCAGCTTCCTGTATACAAAATTTTATCAAAATCGGTTCAGCCGTTTGAGCGTGAAGAAGTAACAAACATACACACACACTCACAAACTTTCGAAATTATAATTAGGGCCTGGATAAATATGTATTAAAAAATCTAAAATATGTACATAAAATATGGACGAAAAAATCAAAAATATGGAGAATAAAGTAAAATACTTTCATAATTAAACATTGTTTTACTATAAAAAAAGGGTCACTCGTGACGTACATAGTTACAGTGACATTTAAAAAACGATGAAAAAAATAGCGGAATATTTATTTCAACAAAAAAATAACAGTTTTGTTCAACTTCCATTATACTAGCCTTATCAAATTAAAAAACTGAAAAACTAACCATTTGGCTGAAATATAGCCCTATATCTGCTGAATGATCTCTCCACGTCACATGACGTGATGGGTGTATATTTAATCATGCTTAATTCAGTAATTTTGTAAGCCATGTCTACACCCCTCGAAACTTTCTCACAGAATTTTGTTAATTTTTTTTAGCGTATTAAATCCTTTATCCAAAACATTAGTGGTGGGAACGGAAATTTCATGTATTTTTGTGAATATATGGATGATTGTGACATTTTCTTGTAAAATATGGACTTAACTTTGAAATATGGTAAAATATGGAAAATCGAAGTTGGTTTTTCAGTCTAAATATGACAGTCCATGTAAAAAACACATTCTAGACCGAAAATCGCGTAAATTAAAAATATGTATTTACATATTAATCCGGGCCCTAATTATAATATTAGTAAGATTAGTGTGATGTGAGGAATCTTCACTTAATATTTTCCCCAGCGGCATGTCGTCCTCATCTTCGTGTACTCGGGGCGCCGACATCCTGGACCTGGACAGATACATGCGAGCCTCCAGGCCTGCCCACCACCACACACGGTAATGTAGCAAAAGTACCAGAAGCAAATGCGTGCTACCACTCAAGTAGCAGTACTAGACTACTGTCTGTATTCTACTGAATATAACACATTATAATAGTTGTGTACGTTTAATTTTCATCTTGTCCGTGATCGCGGTTGCTGAAAAGTAACTTAAACGTCGGGTGTATGTAGTTTTTACAATTATAAAATACGCGTAGACTCGGCTACCGTAAGGTAGGACGCCCCCTTGCCAGGTGGACTGACGACCTAAAGAAGGTCGCTGTAGGGAACTGGATGCAGAAGGCGGAGGAACGGGTATTGTGGCGAGAATCGGGAGAGGCCTATGTCCAGCAGTGGACAAATATTGGCTAAACGAATGAAAAAAATACGTATAGTAGTCCGAAAATGTTAGTTGCATTTATTGTATTGAAGTTGGTGATGCAACCCATTATTGAGATGCTGAGCATATATTCAGACATGAAATCTCAATTTAGACCCTATGTTTATTATTATAAGTATGATCTTTTGTAATAAAGTGTACGTAAGTTTGTCTAAGATTATTCTTAATTTTTTTATATTTTTGTTATTACATATGTGCTAATAGAAATGGTATTACTATTTACTATATATTTAAAAAAAATTGTTCAGGTATTATTGAGTAGAAACGGTAATAGTCAGCAATAAATTGAGTAATTTTAACTTGAATTACAAAAAGTAATCGTACAGAGATTGTAGTAATCTTGGGTGGTAGAACATAATTAAAGAGTATAGAAAAAGGTATTACTGTAATTTAATTTAAACAAAAACGGTCCAACAGTTCGTGTGTCTGTACAGGGATCGGCTGATCGTGGATGCTGGCGGCGCTGACAGGATCCCTCTGGCGTGTTCCAGTGTGGACAGTATGAGGTCACCGCGGGGGAGGGATCACAACAAGAGATACTCGCACGACTCAGGACTGTCCGATGATAGCTACGTGAAGAAGAGACATCGATCACACAGGTTAGGGACGTTACACTAAGGCAAACATCCTCAACATGCTTTGGGGAGGGAGTGAGTTAAAGATTAGAGAAGAATCAAAGTAATTCTTTACGAAGTAGCGTCTAGTTCCTGGTTCCAGGACATTTTATACATTTCCGTCTGAATAATCAGTGGAGTAGAAACTATCATCTCAGATATTGTGCTAATTGACTTGGCAGCAACTTCCACCAAAGTAAATAATACGTCATCGCCGTAATAGGATTTTTTTGAATATTAAATTTAATTGTAATCATTCAAAACAAATGTCTCAAAGTTATTAAAAAGTTACTTTGTTCTCCGCTTCATATAAAACTTACAATTTGTTCTAACAGACGGTCAACAGAGACCAAGCGTGTACCGTCCCGCGTGGAGTCCAAATCATCAGTTCGTGAGTTCCGCGCCGCTTGTGAACAAGTTCTGAGAGAGCAGCAGGAGCAAATAGCGAGAGTGACAGAACTGTGTCAGAAGTTGGTACAGCCGCAAGTCGCCCAGATGAATATAGCAGCCAGTTGTTCCATGCCCATGGAACAGACCAGCTCAGATAAAGATAGAGGGATCGTTGAGAATAAACAAATCGACAGCAAGCAACAAGCGGCTCACAGTTTGGACCACAATAGAAGCCGTGACCAGGCGATCCAGCAGACACAGAGTAATATAAAAGAACAGCAGGCGGTGCAAAGTAAAGTGGCAAAACAGAATTTCAGTCAGAACGTGAAACCAGTCGAGCCAACGGATTCAAGTGATAGCTCCTCCAGTAACAGTTCAAAAGAATTGCGGCAGAAAGAAAAACTTAGGGTGGGTAGTTTTAACGTGCCATTACAACTAGGTGTTCTTTTAATTCTTCATTATTAAAATTGTTTTTTTGATATTATATTATTAAGAGTATCTCTAATTGCACAATTATTACCTGCTGTACACACTAACTCTTGTAGCTGTGGGTTGGCTGGAAGAAATTTCTTATAGAAATAAGCCCGCCTTTGTGAACAATAATTTTAAATTTTTACAGTGCAATAAAAAGTATACATACATCCTTATGCTTCTTGGCATATAGATCAAATATAAATGTTTCATTAATGTTAATGTTTTCCTTAGTCAGATTCATGTAAAACCTACAAGATCATAATGAACAAGTTGGACCAGCTGAACCATTTGTTCACTGCTCGTCGTGTCCCGCCCCCTGTCCTCTCTCCCCTGGCCTCCCCGCGGCGGACGGTTCCTCTCAACGCTCCATCATCAGACTGTGTGTCTGTTAGTAACAAACTCGTGGCCACGGAAGACTTGCGTCAGCAGAAACACCATTACAGTCCAACGATTCAGGTTCAAAATAGATATTCTATAGCAAAATATATTATACATATTTGTTCGTTATCTGAAATTTCCTCGATTTATAATAAATAAGCATACTACATATCTATGTACTGTAAGACACTGGTAGGTGTGGTTTGAAGGATGGTAAAGAAGATACATATTTTTTCAGAATAATAATGATTTATATTTCATTTATACTAATAATACCTTTGATAGGACCTAAGCTGAAAACAAAAAATAAAGAATAGCCCATTAATATCAAACTTTGGCCTTTATTAACAATAATAATATTCTTTATACTTCATCCAAGAAAGATTTCGTTCGTTTAAATAAACACTTTTTATTTCTATATGATATATTTCCTCTTATTATACTTCTGAAGAATAATTACGTGCTCAATAGATGTAAAAGTCATTGTAAATGCTAAGTATTAGAAGTAAACGTTTTCTTGATGTCCTTGTTCTGTACTTCATGTCCCTGGATATGATCCAGGTGTTCCCCGTTCAGACTCGTGTCACCCGAGGACCTGGGACTCACAGCTCACGTCTCAGCAGCTGCCGAGGTCGGAGGCTGGCTGTGGCTGAAGCTCATAGCCTAGACATACCTCCAGAAAAAGCCGGGGATAGGTAAGCTTTAAACTTATGCAAGATATACAGTTTAAAGATTGTGGCTAGACTATGACAGAATAAATTTATTTGATTTTTACGGGAAATAAATTAATAGAAAAAAGTCATCGTGTGAGTCTATCCGCGCGGAAGAAGTGAAACTTCGTAACGTTGCAGAGATAATAGAATGGATAGAGATTGATTTAAAAGGAATTATTTTGTTATTTAAAGACAAACTTTATTAACATTACTTACAATTCACACTTGATTGCCGCATACGATCGAGCGCTACACATTTCTTCTCACGCTGACTCTTTTTATCCCCCCACCCCGAGCGTTAAACCATTACCGCAACCTTGTTGGAAGTGGCAAAAGAAGTTTCACTTTAAATATACTTAAAAAAATACTTTTATTTATAAAAAATTGAAAATAACAATAGGAATCTCTATTACATGAAATTTACATATTTTTTGATTGAGTTTTCTTAATCATTCATTTAAAGAAATACATCATTAAAACATGTGAGACATCACAAATAATTTCATCTGACCCTTGAATAATACAGCAATACCAAAGAATGATGTCCTTAGAATTTTACGAGTACTATATGTACCAAATATAAGATATACATGTAATATAATTTATCAATGTAAATCTGTGTAAGTAAATGAAAATATTTTAACAGTCAGTGCGAGGGCGGCGAGGGAGAGGGCTGGAATGAACTTCCACGAGAATTTGATCTGGACGATCCTGTGACGGTGATAACATTTTACTATTTGGATATTTCATGAAAATATTATTCATTTCAAAGAGTACCATGCTAGTTATTACTAAATATTAAATCATTACTTTTATTGAACAAACTCAAGTCTATATTTTATTCGTCCTAAAATGTACTTATTAAAAAACCCTTTTTATTTTCTTGTAATAGCTTTACGCTCAAGCTAAACGTCTGCAAGCATACCACGCAAGAACTCGCACGAAACAGTACAACCGCACCTCAGACAAATCGGCCAACAAGTCGGGCAACAAGTTGAACAACGATGTGGACGACCAGTTTGATAGTAAATCTTTATGTGCGTTATGCCGCTTCTACTGGCGTGCTTTGAGACGATGTATTACCCAACAGTTATTTGGGACTTGTTCTTAATATGTTTATTAGAATAATCACTAATTACGGCCGAACTAAGGTATACAAATTTAGATATTCATTTGATTGCAATACTTTTTTTTAATAAATAAATAATAGACAAGCTTTATAACAGTGTATTATCATTTTAATCGTTACCCCTAGTTATTAAGATTTGGACTAATTCATGTCTTAAAAAATTATGCAAACGTTTTCTAAGTAGTGGTCACACCTAAATAATAATTTCAGTTATCCAACGACCATAACATTTATATTAGAAAAACGAAAACTTTTCATAAGAGTCTTAAACGAATATTGCTACAAGGAATCATTGAAAAAAGATCTTTATTTTCCGTAGTTATTGAATGTATATATTTATAAAATTAATAAAATTGTAATTATAAAAACTCCAAATAATATTTAAGTTTTTATTTGCGGTACATAGCATATTTTAAGAAATAATTTACGAGTAGGTATTTGATTCCTAAAAAATATTTTAAAGTAAAATGATCATTATATTGTTTCTCTTCAATATTCTACATAAATTTTCATATGGCAACTCAGTCTTTCGGTTTTCAGCCATTTTCTTTTTGCTTCTGACATTTGCTCGTTCGCGCGTGTCTCTCTAGGTTAGTATTGTTTTTATAAATAATTTGTGATTTACTAAGGATAAGTGATTAAATAATTGTTTAATATATTTTTAGATCTATAAAATGCAAAACGACGCTGGTGAATTCGTCGACTTGTACTGCCCGAGGAAGTGGTATGTGTTTATAGTTACCGTGTTAGGTTATCCACATTTTTAGACCATCATACTTATAATAATCAGCATTTGAATCTAATTTTTAATATAACTACGTACTAGCACTAAAATCTCTCACAATTTTTTCACTTGGTAGGTTAATGAGTTAGCAATAATGGTATTAAATATGTTTAATATAAATCGTGAGTTGTTGATTCACTTGTAAGATAAATAAAAATATTTAAAATCGCTTATTTATCGCCTTTTCACGATTAATAAATCTGTTACTTTCGTTGCCGTATACATTTTACTGTGTTTATTTAGTTTATAGATATCGTACACTCATAGTTTTTCATTTAGTACAATTTACAAATTAATCTAAAATTTGACACGAATATAGTTGAATCTTACCAATAATAAATATCGGGATATTCTCTTAGTTGTATATGTAACAATTCATATCATTATTTTGTTTATATTTGAAACTATAAACAATTATTTGGAAATTTCAAATATTTAAGTACATGTGATGTGTGAAGATACTATTTATTACTATATTTATATCTGCTGTAAAAACAATAAAATTACTTGCAACAACCAAGTGATGGGCATATTAATAAAAATCAAAGGTTTTATAATGAGATAATTACAAATAATTCCAAGAACTAACTTGATCTTCAAAGAATTCAATACATTTCTATTATAAGAAAATCACATAGTCCTTATTAAAAATTCAGCCTTATCAAGCATATTTACCAAATCTAGTCATCTTCAAAGAATGCAATTCTTTTCTATTACAAGTAAATCACATAGTTTTACTGAAAAAAACATTAAAAATTCAGTACTATCAAGTGTTATCAAGTCTATTCATCTTATAGATTAAACTGATCAATAAATCTTTCATCATAGCTCGGCCAGCAATCGTCTCATCCACGCCAAGGACCATGCATCCGTACAGCTTGTTATTGCCGATGTGGACCCCGCTACCGGCCGTGCCACTGACTCAAGCAAGATGTACGTCATCTGCGGAGCCATCAGACGTATGGGAGAGTCCGATGACTGTATCGTCAGGCTCACCAAGAAAGATGGCATTCTAATTAAGTATGTTCTCAAGTATTATAATTTATATGACGAAACAAGAATAATTATGTTACAGAAGTAAGAAAAAATGGGAATTTTTATGATGAAAAACATTTTCTTTAATGATTTAGTGCAATAGTTGTTTATATATAGGTATTAAAATGTTAGCGATTACCAATTTTCTGTAATATTGGTGTATGGACGACAAAGTACTCAGCATTTGTGTATAAATTATAGAGAATTTCATGTATATATGTATATATATGTACTCATATACACTGTCTTGTAGAGTAACAATAGTCTTACATGTACAGTTACACACTTTTTTAACAAGTATGTATGTTTTAACTTTCAGGAGCTACTGATGTGGGGGCGTTACTTTAAGGAAATAAAAAAATAATATTAAAATGTATATTGTTTTATTGAATTTGAACACATTTGGACGTCTCATGTCATGTTTTAACGGTTGTCGTGGAGTGTAACATCTGAAACATACAATATTAACACTTGGATTTAGTAAATAATTAATGTAAAACACTCAACTACTAATATATATGTATTATATTGGTTCTACTGACTGCTAAATTTAAAGTTATTCTTGTTGTTCATTAACACAAAGTACTTGATGGATTTTGGTCAAGTTTTATTAACATTTGTATTGTGATTCATCTTAGAAAACAGGAAAGGCTGTCATTTATCCCTGAAAACATACTCTAGAATATTCCAGAAGCTCTTTGTTATATATGAACTATTAATTGCATACACAGACTAAAGGTAGGACTTACAGTCTTAAGTAAATTATTGTTTAAATACACTACATTTCTTTGAGTCAGGTCTTTGAAGACTCATTAAAAATATTTTTAAGCAAATAAATGTTTTTCAATATTTTGTGTCCTATGAGGAAATAACATAAAAGTGGTAAATAGTAAATACTTTGTTGAAGTTTTAACTGATACAAGAAATTGTTAGGACGATTCCAAACTTTTTTTTAATATAAAAATTATAAGTCTAGTATTAATTCATAAAAAAACAATTGTAAGCGACATCTATTGCGTCACTTTCAAACTAAAGCTACATTTCAAAGCAATATTAGTGTGCCACTAATACTACTAACTATTTTGTGTTTTTAAGATCTATATTTCAAATATAAAAAGATAAATGTAATTGTTTGGACTACTAATCATTTAAAATAAAATTTACTATATTAGAGAGATAAATCTATACAGATTTCATTATCAGAGTCATCTCACCAAGTAATCTGTCTACCCTCGTCCTCCGCACCCAGACTTGCCTCCCGGCGGCGGGCGGCAGATGGTCTTCTTCTTACAGCCGAGGGCCGAGTCCACCACACACACCACCAGCCACACAACCCACCACCAGCTCCCGCCAACCAGCGACAACTATACATCATAAATGATGTTCAGTTTAACAAATAAACACAAAGACAATAGTGTTCCACTACGTTTTCTTAAACTAGATCTTTTAAAGTCTATTTGGTCATATTTTCGCAAAATATTCGTAAATAAATAGAATAAAATTACGTTTGCAAAATTTTGAAATTAAGTCATTTTTATTGTTTAAGTTCAATGTCTTACGTCTTCGACATTTTTTTTGTAATTTGATGGTCCGAAAGATAATGTTCAATGTGCTAATTTCCGAACACGTTTGTCGTTACAAGTAACTATATATTACATAGTTGTATATGAAGATCTCACCATCTTCAAAGACTGCTGTACAGTATTCACCAATACTTTGGTTTACAGCCGCCGGGACAGCGCGGCGGCCGGCACGACGACTTTCGCTTACAGGCGAGGGCGCTCACCACCTAACGAACGGGAATCAAGTGGTAGGTATCGTTGGTATTAATACTACTACAGCCTACCAAGAAACAACAGGGAATCGACCAGAACCACCCAATATAGCCTTGTATAATAGAAGAGATTTCTTGATGTCTCTCCAGATAAGAAAATAGTTGGTGGCAGTAGTAAAATTTGAGAAGATAGTGACTTAACTAATTTTGAAATGTCCTATAAGACTGCCATTATATGGTTAAAAATAGAAGAAGCTATAGAGATCCACCATTTTAATGATTTTTAACGATGCTTATATGAACACAAATATTCCATATTTGAACAAAAATGATATTATTTAACAATACCAATGAAAGAGTGTAACGTGATATAGTAATATATAGTGAAATAGTAACGTGAATATATCAGTAATGAAACAGCATTTCACTTAAAACTTCAGAAACAAAAACTGTTTTCTTTCACAAAATAAATTTAAAAACTAATTAATTCTGGACACCAGCACTCTACTTAATGTTCTTTGGCAAATCGCTCATAAGCAAAGACACATGTATGTATATTAAAAGCAACACAAACCGAGTCCAAATACCAACCTGCATTAAAAGACCCAGTAACCACCAGACTCCAATTTCCAGATTCTTCATATTTATGTGAACTGCCTAGGATATTACTTGTACGTTTTCCATGTATCAGACAACTGCATTGTGTTTTTATTGTGTTTTTCTTATTTTCACTGTTCATTTACCTTTTGTCATGATGGATCTAAATCTTTTGTTCTCCTGTCACCTCGTTTTTTTTCGTAAGAAGAAAACCTGGCACTTTGAAGTTGTCAAAATTAAAAGTAAGTTGACCTTCGCGAAGATCTACTTAGAAATATAAGGAGTTTTGATATTTACTACTTTTTTACAAGCTATACAAAATGAATTCCACGACTTTCCCATAACTATTCCAGATATTTTTTAAAATTTAATTTTTCTTTTGAAGTTATTTAGAAATATGCTTATTTTATTTTAAAGACAAATTGAGATCTGAGTTTTGATTGCCATCATCGGTTTCTCTCACCCGGTTGCCAACCGGTAACCTCCAGAGGTTAAACACAGTAGGTGGGTAGCTTTTCACGAGTGGCTAGAATAATTATAGGACCCCATACTAACAAGACAAGAAAGCAAGACGTGTTCGGACCGTATTTATAGTATAAATACTTTACTCTCCTTGACAAAGAATCCGACTCTTATTCAACTGTCCAGACCCGTCGTCCCTCTGGGATCATTATAAAATGGTCATGTAATTATCAATATCGTGTAGGTGTATATTAATATAGATAAATGTACACTGGATGTATTATATAGTCTTAATCACAAGTAAAACGAAACAGTAGATAATCTGACAGAAAGCACAAAAGAAAAATACAAGCAAATCATCAGCCGGGATAGTGCGAGGGCTGGCGAGTGGCGTGAATGTAAATATTTATTTTTAGATATAAAAAAATTAGTTCTAAGTTTTGGGCTCAAGTTTTCGATAAGATTATTTCGTTATAAGACATAATATAATTTTTCAATATTTTTACTTCTGTAAATAGTATAAATATAGTTTGTATGTTTACAAAACAAAAGTAAGTAGTAGACGCAATAAACCGGAATCCGACGATTGATCACCATCCAAAAACCAAAGTAATACTGCCGGTATTACTTTGGTTTTTGGTGACTAAGTATGCAAATAAATTGTGGGACCCTAAAAATTTACAAAGGTTTTGCTGTTATAGATTCTTGCTTTGTTACGTTTTGAGAAGGAAGTAATTGTTAAGGTAATTGAAAAAATGTAAGAGAAAAGTATTTTGTGCCTAACATAAATAGAAATGGAAAGGAGTAAGGAAACGATGATGAAACTATAAAGGAAGTAAGAGACACCGGTCTACCGTCTACTGTATTTTTTATATAATAACTGTTCAATTCGTGTAATTCAAACACTACAGCATCATGAATATGGTAATACTGGTTTAGATGACAGTTCTACATCCTCTACACTTATACTACAATCTTTCCATACATCCAATTAAAGAATTTACTTTGAAAACACAACAATATTAAGTAAAACGAACAGTTTTATTAATCAATAAATCAAAACAAAAGCACACAATATGAGACCGAGAGAAGCTATGAAGTTTGATGAAGCAGATGAGTAGTATCCAAGAAGTTGAACTGTTTTATCCATTTCAATGAGTCCGTCCATGGTCTCCAGGCTGTTGGGTATGATTTGTTCCGGAGGCAACAAGAAGCCATACTCCCCAAGATCTCTAAGCTCGATGAGGAACGAGAACGGTACTTTCGTGTTATTCTTGACCCAATCGAAGCTGGTACCAGTCATTGGATCTGAAATATAACATTTTTGATATATTTGCAGACTTATTTGCACGTTTTTATCCATTGCAAAATTCATTTTTAATAAATAATTGTTATTCTTACACATGACCACTGACGATATTCCCGCTCGGTAGACGGTGCCGTTTCTTTCACGAATTTTATCTGCCGTTGCAACCGCTACCTTGTACTACAATAATAAAAATAAGACTCATTAAGACTAACAAATATTAACAAAAAAATATGAGTCATTTTTGTTAGATGATGATAAATATTTCAATAGTAACGAATTGAAGAACAAGTTATTTATTTTGAAGGATTGTTTTATACCACATATAGTTACTTTAAATATGCCAAGGAAGCGTTTAACTGAGTCTATTATTAATTAATTCATCTTCACATACACAATAATATATAAGTAATAGACAGATCCTGGCTAAAGCTGGGAAATTGCCAGGAAGAAAAAGATTTAAGTAAATGCTCTCACCATATCATCGTAGTTATCTACACTCTGGACCTCGCTCTGTGTCAGATGACTGTAAGGCACTAATATCAGTTGAGTGTACGAGTGGAAGTCTATGTAGTATAAGAGTTGTCCTGTTGCATTTAGTTTTAGAGCGTAGTTACTTATGGCTCTAGTTTCTGGTTCAGAGAACGCTATTGGACCAGCATAGGTGACAGCACAGGAATCGTTTGAAGATCCTGGACCTTATAGTGAGAATAAAAATACAGTTGTCAGTAAAGATATTAATCCCGACTAATATTATAAATGCGAAAGTAACTATGTCTGTCTGTCTGTTACGATTTCACGCCTAAACCACTGAACTGATTTTAATGAAGTTTGGTACAGACATAAAGTTGATCTTGAGAAAGAACATAGGATAGTTTTTATCCCAGACTTTTGAAAGGTTCTCTTGGAAACGTGATATAGCCGAACTCCACGCGGGCGAAGCTGCGGGCGGAAAGCTAGTGCATTATAAGTAAGCGTGTCCACAGAAGTAGGTATGCTGACAAAGATCAGTTTGGAACGAGTAAAAAAATTTAATCCTATGCCTGGACTGGGGAATACTAATACTATACTAAATATTTTTTCTTTGCCAAATGTTCATAAAAGCTTGTTTATAGTATTCATAGACGTCGAAAAACTTCGACTTTTATTGTGGCTCATTAAATTAAAAAGGGATGCCAAACAATTCCCTGCAGCTTATTTTACCTATGCATCGTAGTGCCAACATATAGGTATGTATGTCTGGTCTGCTACTTGCAAAGTAATTAGTTTGAAGTTTCGGCTGGCCTACGTCGGGGGTCGGTATATTAATTAGTTATCTTTCCCTTTTTGTAATGACCGCATTTGAATCAGATGTATAGTAACTGTTGGTATGGTATTTGCACGAGAATTTGAGGTATAGAATAAGTTAGAGACATTGCATAAGAATTTGAAGACAGTTGGTTTTAAAATCGGCAGGTCGGCTGGCAGGTGGACCTAATAGTTTTTAATCAATCACCTTATATCCGTATCAACCTGCATCGAAATTTAGTGCCTCAGTTCACTCGTGCAACATGACGGCTTTATCAGATGTGAGACCATTTCAAGCTAAAGATAAATGATATAATGACGACCCAGGAAGAACCTTAAAAAACATAGCTGAGAATTGATCACAAGACCTGTTATATTGTATGGTTTTGCGTCCTAGGGTACCATAACTTAGGATGGAAAAATATGGCATGTGGCCGAGATGCTAAAGTTAAGGTGAAATGTGGTGTCAATAATCAAGAATAAATATATTAGAGAAAGTTAAATTATAAAGATCTAAGTTAGCGTGGTATTGGCATTTTATAAGTTGATAGGTTTTGTTATATTTCATATAATATTCACCCATCCAAACGAAGTCGAAGTTTCTGTTCAGGTCAACTCCATTGCTCATGTCGTCATTCGCGTTCATGTGTGAACAGGACTTTGAACTAAACCTACTTCGGTTCTTCCTCCACATTCTGTTCTGAAATTATAATTTTTTTATAAGCCGTGTGTTTATGGGTTGAGATAAAATTCTGGTATTGTTTTATGAAAACGTATTTAAGAGATTTTTTCTATTAAGATTGAAAGTTTTTTTATTAGATCTGTAAAATATTAATCGTGAATAAATATCAGTTCAAAATAAATATACACAAATTCTTACAAAAGAATTCTTTCTTGGTGACGATTATATTTCCATTTATAAAACTTATGATTTAATTGATATTGTTAAGTTCATAACCAAATATAACAAGTGGCGCCTTCTATAATTATCTCTGTATTATATTATGTTTTTGGATAAATTTAGTTGCTGTCAAGCTACCAGCGTGTATCATTATAGATATGTAACAATTTATTCACAAATTATAGAATATTATGTTACAATAGCTCACCGTTGTAAACGTGTACACGTAACCATCAGGGTTGACGATTGGAAAAATATGCCATTCAATGTTTTCAGCCAACGCCCTGATGTCTCTATTGCTAGAAGTCAGGAACTCCTTAATGACCCACGTCAGGGTCGCCGTAGTAATCCATTCTCTTGCATGGAGTGTTCCAGTCAGAAAACCTATCACCGGATTAGTTCTGTTTCTGTAGTTTATTTTGAGACCTTTTATTTCTCTTCCTTCAACCGAACGTCCCATCACCACAGTGGTGACTATTCTCGGATGGTTTCTTTGGACTTCATCCAACCACTTGTAAGTGTCATTGAGACTGTAGTATTGATTCCAGTTCATTGATAAGTATGATTCATCAGATCTTAAACTCCTTGCTGCTGGTCGTAGTTGCTCTTCGATCGTTCTAAAATGAAGACGATTTTGTTAAAAGTTTATAATTCAGGTTTGTGTAGACATAAAATAACATATAACTACGTTAATTAAGACTATTCAACCAAGTACAGATTATATATTTTAAAAATGCTAAAGAAACTATTAATTAATTAAATTTTCCTATTCATAGATCTTATCACATTATAATATTAATGTAGTTTATTGAGTCACCAACAGGAAACCTTACTATGAAGTATAACGATGGAGGAATGCTATATTTCATTTGTAAATCTTCGTACATGATAGTGTCACCGAAGGGGTATGAATCAAATACATATAATAGCCGATGTTCTATTATTTTACTGAAACCATGCATAAAGTTAAATTGTTAGGCACTTGTTACGAAATATAAAAATAGTCATAGAATCTTCTAGTTATCAGAAAAAGACAGTTTCTACTAATGAGATCTGAGATTTTTGCGAGTCATTTAAATGAAACTAATATTTTGCGAATATACTACGCGACTTTTTTTTGATAACTACATACTCCCGACGATTTGGCTACTTTACAGCAATCGCGATCATGGGCAGACGAGATCTGAGAGTCTCTAATAGTTTCTACTACGTGACAATGTAATTTTATGGAGTTCTGTTATATCGCGTTTACAAGAGAACCTTTCAAAAGTCTGGGATAAAAACTATCCTATGTTCTTTCTCATGGTCAACTCTATCTGTGTACCAAATTTCATTAAAATCAGTTCAGTGGTTTGGGCGTGAAAGCTTAACACACAGACAGACAAACAGAGTAACTTTCGCATTTATAATAATATTAGTAGGGAAATAACTTGAACATACCAAAACAATTTAACTTGTTAACAATTCGAACTTACTGTTGTAAATCCTTTATAATTTCCGTGGCCTCCATCTTGGATTCCTCGACTATATTATTGAATATTATTTTATTGTGAGCGGGAACCATTATTCTGAGTTGGTAGTCAATATAGAATTGGTCTTCCCAAAATTCTCCAAACTGCTGGAGTTTTTTCACAACTTCTATATCATCTTCTGTTTTTGGTGTTAATTTGTAAACACTGTATCCTTCATAGCTCTTTTTCTCCGCCACCACAAAGGGTGTGAGTAATAAAATATATAAAACAGCACACTTCATTATTAATTAAAGACTACTAATGTTACTTTTTTCGTTTTCAGTATAATGATAATATTTTTATAATCTAATCATTAAGAGTCTTGATACTGTGTATCTTGGATTAATTTTAATTTATATATTATACTAATTATTCAGCTTTAACGTCACGTAGATCAATATATAACGACAGTCCAAAACAATGTTTAATTGATCCTATATAATCTTTAAAGCTTCCGATATGTTTTTCTTTTGTATCGTAAGTTTTTGGACCCTTGTGTGTTTAACGATTTTATGTGAGAAATATGTAGGACTCATAAAAGTTGCTAAGATAAAACTTTTAGTTAGGTACATTTACTACGTATACGTACATATTCGAAACAAATTATTCTTTCTTTATATAGTTATGAAGTAAATTTTCAGCGGAAAGAGAAGCCGGCAGTCACTTTCCTTTTTGCCATTAAGCACATATCTCATTAGGTTCAAACAAAGGAGTAACAGAAGTTCATCTCACCTACTTTTACTAGAAACCAGGAATCTCCGTTGCTGGAGAGGAATAAAGAGTTTTTCTCACCATAACGTATAATAAACTAGAAAATATCATACTCAAGAGTGTTATCTAAATACTATGTAATGTACGCCCCGTCTGTGGGACAAAGAATCTACGTCTCAAGTGAGTACGGCTTATTTATTTTTGTTTTTGAGAGAATGAGAGTTGAAATAAGTCTTTAACTTATAGTTCAATAACACAAACAGGCTTGTCATAACACTGTTAACTTGACGGCGTGACAGCGCTGATAAAGCTGATATGACTGGAGACTTCGGGGAAACCTATGTAGATCATGGCGAGGATGAAACATATTGAATATTATGGTGTTGGCGCCATGGTAACTGTTTAGACTCATAGGCTAAGGCTTCATCAGACTATACTTATACCACGAGAAATCCCACGAATAGGTTGGGGGAATGATTTGGTCTGAAGTGTGCTAAGCCTGCCAGCAGCTTTACTCCGGCGTTATACATAGGAATTATATAATTATTTCTACATTTGATTTATATATTTTTATATATAATCTTCAACAAAATCTTCAGACAAAAAATTATCTTTTAATCTAAGTGTGCTAGACGTGTCATAATTAAAATGATTAAAATATTGCACAATCAATTAGACGACTTCGCTAAGTTTTTATCATTATTTTGAAGTGATGTAGAGCTCGTGGTTATCATTTGATTTCATTGATAAGAAATTTATTTTTTAATAATTTTTCAAATTTTTAACTGTTGGTATTAATACAATAATATCTTTATTGAAGCTGAGACAAGTGACAGATTAAATTATGAACATTGCAACGTAAGCTATCATGTATTTTTCTGATTATGCGTTAAGGATGAACTTTTTTGTATTATTCCTTGTTTCAGTAGATTATTTACTTGTTCTTTTATTTGTTTATGTTTTTTTTGGCTGTCTAAAACGTCTTATAAATGTAGTAACAAACATTATTACCTAAATTTCTCGTTTATGTTTTATTTACATTATTGCAAAGTTCCTTATCTTTGTCGTATTTTATTGTATTTAATGTTCTTTTTTTAATAAATTTGTTTATAATAATTATAAGATATAAATAAAACTCTCTTATCTTCTGAACAATGTATTTCCTCAACACATTTCACTGCAATAAAATGATATTATCGAATGGAAAACTTATTTTCTTTTACTTTTTTTCGAAGGGATAATATGGAAAGTCTTTCCACTTGTACTGGGGGAGGGTTCTATAGTTTCTGTCATATCCCTTCATTATATTTTTCTCTTCATCTGTCAGTGAGAAGTCGAAGATGTCTATATTCTGTTCTATGCGGCTCTTCGTGACAGATTTTGGTAGAGGAATGACACCCATTTCGTACTGCAATGCATAAAGATTATTAGGAACTCGTATGTCACTGTTTACAACAAATCTATCTTGGTATTTATACTGACCAAATATCTGAGTGCAATTTGTGGGACAGTCTTATTATATTTATCAGCAATTTTGGTTAGCATGGGGTCATTGAGTCTTGGTGGTGGCGCGTCCTCGCTGCCTTTACTGTAGAACAATGAACCAAATGGTGTATAGCCACAAACTGTGATGTTCTTTGACTTGCAGTATTCCAGCAGCTCTGGTTGCTGCAGGTTTAGATTAATCTGGAAATATGTTTTGGATAATGAGACGATTGAGTGACTGAAACTAATGATGTCTGAATTTCACGTATCAGCTGTGGATATAATCCCTATGCATTTAATATCGTCTTGAAGTATGTAGCTTTTTCTATTAAACTTATTTTGTTTGTTACTTATAATATGTATATAGTTACAGAGAAATATTATTATGTAGTAAATATATTACGACTAACTTTTTTTTCAGTGGAGTTTCTAAATCACGTCAATATAAATCTATTAGAATAAATTATACAACATGGACTATATAAAACGGACCATCATTAATCATAAATCCAGCTGAAATATGAAGATACCTCAACTTGGTTAACAACTGGTACTTCCAGGCCGTTGTCAATGATCCTCTGAATCTGTTCTTTGTTGAAGTTAGAGACGCCGATGGATCTCGTCAATCCTAACTTCTTAGCGTTCATCATTCCTCGCCATGTGTCCAGATAGTCGATGTCTGATGCTGTCAGGTTCTCCTGGAAAGTTAGTTGGAGATTATTCAAAAGATGAAACAGATATATCCAAGATTTTATATTCAGAATTATCATTGTTATTAGTAATTAAAATTGTTACTTATGTACATATATTATTATATTTTGTTTGTGTATTGATGGTTTTAACTTCTATACATGACCCTAAATTAAATGGAAATTAAATCAAAACGACAATTGAACAATGGTTCATCTATACTGAGTTAAACATTTATTACGATTTCGTAAGAATATCTAATAAATAGTTTTTTCTCTCGGAGACGGGAATGGACCTGGTAAAGAAACAATATTATGACAATATGTGAATTAGAATGAAGAAGTATTACATGTCTTGGTGGTGACATTGAATATTTAAATATATTCATTATGAGATAGTTATGTTTAATTTATTTATATTAATATTCTGTCAAATTAAACTAATATTATTCGGATTACTACATGTATTTTATTATTTAAAAAAAGTCTCGTCTGTCCGTGATCATGGTTGCTGTAAAGTAACCGAAACGTCGGGAGTATGTAGTACATAATTACAAATAATATTGGTTTCATTTAAATGAATACTCGCGACAGTTTTAGATCTCATTATTCTATGCCAAAGTTAAGGCTTTATTCTTTTTGCAAATAATCGTTATTAATGTGGTCATAACTGTATATACATTTATACACCTACATGTAGCGGTACGGGCCAGTGTATGAGGTACAGGTCAACGTAGTTTAACTGAAGATTTTTCAGCGATTCTTGAAGGGCGGGCACCACATCGTTAATAGCATGCTTTGTGTTCCACAGCTAGAAAAGATAAAAAAGAAAGGAATTTTTCATAAAAGTAGTAGGTCAAAGATAAGATAAAAGAAATATTGTTGAATTTCGTTTACAACAATTGTATACAACGCTATCTGTTTTGATTAAAGTTAAACTAATATAATTTACTTATAAGCGCAGTTACCTTAGTCGTAACGAAGATATCTTCTCTGGGAAAGTTCTTCAGAGCGCGGCCGACCTGATCTTCCACCTTGTATATAGCTGCCGTATCAATATGTCGGTATCCAGCCTCCAGGGCCCATTTCACTGCAAACTCCACCTCGTTTGGTTTTGGCTGCGGAGTTTAAAGAGTGAGGAATACAGAAATTAATAATTTGGCAGATGAAAGCATGATTTTATTAATAGTAAAAGATGAATTCATTATTTACAGTTCCGTGTTATATATATTTTTTATAACAAAGAATAATTTGAACTCTTTTAGCTTTGATTTTTGTAACGAAATTCCCATAATTCTTGAGATCAAATATGTCTACGTGTGGTTAGCTTTTTTATGAGTTGTTACCATAAATAATCTTCAATTTTTTTTAAAAATAATGTCATACCTATATATGAATTTTTCATTAAAATTATGTCTTGTTCGCATAATAAGATGAAAAAAAAAAATTGGATTTTACATTTCTGCCTATCACGAAGAAGCATTACTAAACACATAAACCAGGTGATTCCTTATATAATAAATAGTTTTGTAATACCTTACTGTTGTGGCCCAGCCATGTTCCAAGTGCTAGAGCGGGTATCTCATACCCATCGTTTAGTTTGAACTTCGGCACTTGGACCTCGGCAACCTGTATTTAAATAGAATTTTATTTAATTCAACTTCCACTTATCGTTTGAGATTTGTAAGACGGAAATAAACAGGAAATTAATATTTAAAAACAACAATTAATCACTAGTTTTTGTACACGACTTCGTCTGCGTGATTTCCAAATTTAGGCGCGAAGAGACAAGTTTCCTAATTGTTAATTATGACAATAAATATGGTAATCAACTGTTAGTGACATCTTTATTCTGTGTCACGTACCTTAATACAAACATATACCTCGTGAGTGATCCCGCAAGAAAAACAAAAAAATCCAAATTAAATTATAGCCTGTATTTTATTTTAGTGTCTGAGTTACATAACTGTAAAGTTTCATTGAAATTATCACAGGCGTTTCTGCGAGAAAGACTTACAAACATACATATGATCATACATTCTCACAAACTATCATATATTTATGCAGGACCCCCTGGTCTTCTATGTAAGCATACTAGTCACTCTCTCCCTACTCCCCCCGCCTTGAGCGCAAGCGCACGTTGCCGTTCTACTACGACCTAGTCGTGGGACTGCCGAGCGCATGCCGCCCCCTCTAGTGGGCTACGTGAGACAGTGTATTATATACAGGGTGACTGGTGAATTACTATCAATATTTAAGGAGCATACTCGGTACATGATTCTCATTCGAATTATGTAAAAAAAATAGGCACTTAATTTTTGACAAAATTTCCGTATAAATAAGTAAAGTGTTGACACGTTCCAAGTGTTCAAGTGTGGACGCGTACGGCGACGTGTTGATACAACACCACGTCACGACATGCGTATGTGTGACTGTCAGTGTATACCTAATCTGTAGGGTGTTCACACGATGCGTAATTAATTACATAACTTTTGGTTAACTTTACTTAGAAGTTTATTAATATTTATGTTATATTAATTTTTATTTTGTCATATATGATCGTCAAATATCACGTCCTCAAATATTGATAGTAATTCACCAGTCACCCTGTATATTATATAGATACACTACAATCAGTTAAGTCAAAATACGTCGTAACAATTGTAACAGGATTTAAAGGCAAAGACGGTTTTTTTACAGAACCGCTTAACACCAAAAAACACGCCGTTAATATTTGATAGCCTATAAATTATAATAACAGTATATGTAAAAAAGTACCAAGTAATTAATTAAAAACTAGTATTATAGGCGAAACGTTATAAAGATTTTATTATTATCAATATTCATTTATCGTAAGAAGAAACTGGCTTCTTTTAACGTAAATAAATAATTAACTGCTATCAATGAAGATGACTTTTATATTATTACATAGTTCTTATACAATATTTATTACAGAAACACGAAAAAATTATTGAAACTTTAAAAAAATATACCTAAAGATAGTATTAAATATAATTTACAGATTCAAACAGAGGCCTTATCTTATGTTAAAAAGTTCATTCCATACATAAAATGAAGGATTAAAGTCTTTAAAATAGGTAAAGTATAAAACAATCTACTAGTTGAAGTACGGAAATCGTCTTAAACTCAAAATATTTACATTCCTTAATTGTAAAATGCAACACTTTAGTGAACAATGAAAAAATCAAACTGTTGTTTTCAAATAGTTCTTAAACTTTAAAACGAAAGTTACAGAATGAAATTACTCTTAGACTGTACCATTATTACGGTAGTATTTACTTAAATACAGATAGTTTTGTAGTTTGACACGCATAACTCATAATACAATACGTTAAGTCAGTGGTGGCCTAGGGGTTAAAAGGCCCGCCCCTCATGCACGAGAGCGCGGGTTCGATCCTGGTCCTGGCAAGTACCAATGTGATTTTTCCGAGTCATATGAACTTTCTAAGAGTATTTAGACATCACTGATTAATGCATTCCCAAAGAGGATTGATATCGGGCAGGCGGCCGGTCGTAAAAACAATAAAAAACTATTCACAACATGTAAGGCAGGCCCTGTCTATAGCTGGGAAATAGCCAGGAAGAAGAAGATAATAAAGTAAATGTCACTTACATTGAAGTTGACGTTAAACGTCAGTGATAGTAATAATATATATGTTTGATACATGAGGAGTCCAGGTCGACGTGGTGAAGAGAAATGTGCTTTGATAGATGTGAAAATAAAATAGGTAACCTTAACTGTGTTGCCACAATCACGATTATTGACGATTTTTAAGGAAAAATAGATATAAAGATTTAATTAAATTGAAAATAAAATATTTTATGACACGTCAATTTTCGAACACTATTTTTGGTTCTTTGTATAATTATTATGATTTTGCCTTCTTTATTTTTAGGTAATAACAGCGAAAGTCAACAAATGGAGTTTAAATGGCTGATGTTTAAATAGTTAAATTCATATAATTTAATTAAAATATTTTTAACGATATTTATTTTTTTTAAATGTTAAAGATTACACTTTCCTGTCCATCTTTCATATGTCGCATTACAGCCGCGAGGTAGATTGACAAAATAAAATGCTCTATAAGTCTTGGCTTGCAGTTTCGCTAGCACAAGTGCTTTACAATGTTTTTGTGATTTTATTTAAAGCCAGTTTTTACACACAATATCGTTCCCATTAGTCATTAACTTCAGAATTAGAAACTCGTATCTGACTCGGCGACTTCTGTTTCTTCTTAGAATCCCTAAATATTTTTTATAATTTAATATCCCTAAATTTTTCTTTTACGGTCGAATGGGTTGAAAGGTACGTCTGGTCTTTCAGTCAAATCCATACAGCCGTTCTTGTGTTGTACATAGTGTTACTAACACTACTTTCTTACATACAGTTAATCAAAGGAATGCACGGTTTGTAAAACAATCAGTTATTTGTAAATCTAAATTATTGTAAGGTTAAAAAAGATTGTTACTCATTAAAAAAATCACTATTTCCATTTTACAAACCACACCAGACATTTTCATATAATTCATTATTAATATATTAAATTGTTATATTCAAAAACCTTACCGTGCAACACAAGAGATCTTTGACCGACAGATAAACTGGTTTGTGATAAATGTCCACTTGTTTAATAACAAAAAAATATTGATTGCAAGTGTATAATTGCATTGATTACGAATTACATAAATGTAAAAAACAAGTAGGTACAGCTTAAATTTATTGTATTTATTTAATACTATAAGTATATATGGATGTATTGTCCTTATCTTAATTCATGTATAATTTTTACTAATCCATCTTTTTTTTTATCAGGGCCAGGATCGAACCCGCGCAATCGGCAACTAGAGGCGGGCCCTTTAACCACTAGGCCACCACTGACTTTCAATCCATCTTAGTGAAATAAATGTAATTAATAAATATATTATATATTTTATGTAAGAGATAGATAGTGGCTTATTAGTCAATAAATATGACTGAATGATTGATCTTAGATCATAATTGATTGATTATGTGATGTTCAATTGTGTAATAGAAGTCATGACAGTGACACACACACATAGAGAGAGCTCCACGTATTGATGTATTGTATTTACATGTGTGTGTGAGTCATGGAAGTCTGTGTGTTGCGTACACGCATGTAAAAAAATTAATGAACATCGCCGGGGCAACATCGTTGTATGGATATAGTATCATATAACGAGTGACGCTGCTGACTCCGCGGAACACCAAGCCGTGTGAACCAGAAGATTCCTGATACACACAAGCTATGGAATGGCATTGCTATCATAACATCGGGTCAATCATGTAGTCTTAGGTTATAAGTTTTAATAAGTAAGACTGGACCGATTTTAATGAAATTTTTTGTGTGTGTTCAAGGGGATCTGGGAATGGTTTAGATTCACAATTTTGTCCGCTGGACAAAGTTTTTTAATTAATTTTTAATTTATTAGTAGTTGTTGATACAAACGTTTTTTTTAACATTAGATTTGACAACTAAGTAATATGTCAATCATTCTGTCGCACTTCAAAACACGGAGATTTATGGCTTTAATAGGTAAACTCCAAAAATATAAATAAAAAACGTAACAGATATTTCTTGATTATAGGGCGATATGAAGTCCGCCGGGTCTTCTAGTATACATATAAGTAAGTTTCTTAGTTTTCATGGAACCTCCTTTTGCTACTGTACATAATTTGTGTATAAATATTTGTAATGCGTTTCAAATAAAAACTGGGTTTGTCTTTTTCTTGTTCGTGGGTTTATCTCAAAAAAGATCACAAAGTCTTTTACCACGAATATTTACCAGTAAGCAAGATACCATCGAGTAAGAAAAATGTTTGATATATTAAGCGGTTTTCTAATATTAATCAAACAAGCGTCATAGTTGTAAATATTATTAAAATCATTATAAAAACCGGAATTATAATATTATAATAAGTTCATTGACACCTTAGTTTAATGATATGGAATTTTAGAAAAGACTAATATCAATATCAATCTTGTATATAGGTATATGTCGGAGTAGAGAACTCCGGATTATTAGGATCCATTGCTTTAGAAATAATACCTCAGACTTCACAGAATAGATTTCTATTAAAACTTCGAGAGTTTCTGTTTACAATGTTTTCTCACTTGGTGCCAATAGAATGAATGCTCACTAACTATATTCGCCCTTTTAAAAACAGTATCAGGAGATTTTTTAATAACATTAAGAAGAGAGTAGCACAAAGTGTTACAAACTCATTTAAAGTTAAAGAATAACAATATGCAACTTTAAAAATATAATTCGGAATCTACAATCGCGCTCATATATACATAACATATTATATAACAACTGGAGACGAAACTTCACCGTGCGGGTGTCTGGTCCATCGTTGTAGTGAGAGGAGCTTAAACAGTGCCCGGGACTTGTGACCCAGGTGTAGGTTTAAAGGACCCCTATCTAACGCGTTATACGCTCACCTCCACTGTACAAGCTCCTCTCCCTACCTAACCAAATTTGATAAGAATTTACTAGGACTGCCTTCGAATTACGTTCAAAGAAGGAATTGATATTAGTTCTGGACAAGCCCAAGTCTTTTAGCAGGTTGTAAAGAGATTTCGCTGTTATACCTCTCGCTCCCACCTCTATAATCTCAATAAATCGGTTGGCGACATGACTTTCTGGTGGGTGGTAACTTTGCCGGCAATCGAAATTGTAGCCTCCCAACGACATACATTTACCTTAAGTTGAAACGTAACAAAATTATAAAAAAAATTACCATAAACGTATTTTTTCAAAGTTGCAATAGATCAATAGCAAAGGTCAAGGTTATAACTAATCAATAAACATCACTAATTACTTCTAAGTTCTAACAATATAATTTCAATGAAACCATAAATCAATGTTAATACAAACTATATATAATTTTATTTAAATAAAAAAAGAAATCTAAAAGAAAAATTACCTTTCTAGATTTATATGTTTACATTGAGAGAATTAATTATTTTCCCATTATTGGCTTTAAGTCGGATGTCCGATGCAGATTTTTCTACTTACTTAACAAATAATTAATTATAAGGAAAAGAAAAAGCTAAATAATTTTTCTAGAGTGTTTATTTTTATATCCACAGGTTTTAAATATCACATTATATTATATTTTCTAAGATTTTTTTTGTATATACATACCTTAAAATAAGTGTCTTTTAATTTTTATTCACATTTTTTGAATTTCATTTTGACTGTCGTTGCCCCGATTACAGCCAAGACTTAGAAATCCCTACTAATATTATAAAGGCGAAAGTTACTCTGTCTGTCTGTCTGTTACGCTTTCACGTCTAAGCCACTGAACTTATTTTAATAAAATTTGGTACAGAGATAGAGTTGACCTTGAGAAAGAACATAGGATAGTTTTTATCCCAGACTTCTGAAAAGTTCTCTTGGTAACGCGATATAACCGAACTCCATGCGAGCGAAGCCGCGGGCGGAAAGCTAGTATGGAGTATAAATGTAGAATAATAATATACTGGTAATAAATTGCAAAAAACATAGTTTTATTTTAGCAAAAAATCTTACCAAAATGGAAACTAGATTAAGTAACATTTAAAGATGTAAAGATCTGTCTTTATTTCAAGGTACATCTCCATATATAGGGAACAGGTTGCTACTTATCTGTTTCGTATTTTTTGCCACACTAACTAATATACAACCAAGTTATTTAATGATTATTATTGATTATATATGTAAGTAATTTAAAAATGATTACATATAGTTTCCACTGGTAAAGATTAATAGTTGGATAAGATTGGTAATATTAAGTCATAGTTATTTTTAAAGCAACAAGAAGACTATAAAACATATATATTTACAGACGGACAATTTTATAGTGTTAAATATATATAGTGGGTACTGACGAGGTCAAGGTGTCGGAGTACAAGCAGCTCAGTGTGAGGACGTGAGGAGACGAGTCAGTCGTGTTCAGTGACGATGAAGTGGCTCCACCTGCTGCTGTGTGTTACATCGGTCCTCGGGAAGGTGAGGGAGATGAACATGGACATTATAACACGGCAATGTATTACTAATACACATTTGACACAAACTAATACACAAATTTAATTCATTTACTTATAGAAATACAAAAAGCTTCAAACGCTTGTACATTACATTTGAGGCCAAATTAATTTTATGTTTCTTAACAAATAGCCTTATTTAAGAACCACGACTTTTATTATTAAATTTGTAAAGAGACCAGTTTATTCTGTAATGTACTGCGATAGTGATTAAGAAACAAAACAATTAAATTGTTCATAGTACGTTTGCATTTCAATCTCAAGTTGAACAATAAGAAAAATCATTAAGATTGTATTTTCCTTGGACTTCAACAAAGTATGTAGTATATCAATAATTAAAGACTAAAATGAATATGTTTGTTAGTATTTCATTAACATATTGTGATACTTTAATAATAAAATAATAAATAGGATACCCTGATGTTGGTTAAAGAAATATCGGCAAAAGCAAAAGTTTTTTCGGATTTTTGATAAAGCTAAAATAAAAGCGGAATCGGCTGAAATCGTACATATCGGCTACCGATTTGTGAATCACTTTATAATATTTTCACAAAGCTTTCAATATTCGTCTTTATTGTTTAGCTTAAATCTTATATATAAAATTCTCGTGTCGCGGTGTTAGACAGAGAACTCTTCCGATACGGCTGGAGCGATTGTCATGAAATTTTGTGAGCATATTGAGCTGGTCTGAAAATCAGACAACATTTATTTTTCATACCCCTTAATGATAAGGGATGATCACCCCTAATTTTTTATTTTTATTTTGGGATGAAATTTTTTTTTTATTTTTCGTATAATGAAGCATTAAAAATGCATACAAATTTTACTTTTTTGTCACCAACCCTTATTTTTATATGGCAAAACAACGTTTGCCGGGTCAGCTAGTATATATGTATATAACTGTAACAAGTGAAAAACAAATGATCAATATTAATTGCGGTAACAACTTCCAAGAATATTTTGTGTGTGTATGCTATGGACCTATAACTCATAATAACCAAAGTCCACACAATACTTCTACAAATATAATAATTATAATATGATAAATGATGACTTGTTTCTTCTATACAAAAAATTATATAGACAAGTTATTCTTACAATAAACATTTTATATTTGCCATATTACCTTAACGGCATTTTATTTCTGTAATTTTCTTGTATTCCTTACAACCTTTTGTAAAACTTTAAAGTTTTTGTCATATCTTGAAAATATTCCTTAATGAACTCAAAACCCGAAAAGAATCCAGAGTCATGTATAAATCAAATCATTTAATATTAAAATTCTGTCGTATAATCGTTCTTATACTTACCTATATAATAACAGTACAATACGGTACAATACAGTTCAATATAATACACTAATGTACAATAAAGTATTTTATATATCACCTTTTATCAGAAAAGTAAACCCAACAACATATAACTTAAAAATTTAACATTTTAGGCAACAAGTCTTTATTATGATTAATCATTTTGATCCTTTAAACCAAACAATTAAAAAAACCGTTCAGTATTTTTGTCAGAAATGAAAACTAATATTTGATTATCATTAGTCATGATGATGTTCAAATTTAATATGTTTAACAAGAGTTACTTATTATTTAACTTAAATATTAGTCTCATAAACTCTGGGTCTCGCATTTGGTTAAGTTTAACCGACTTGGACATAAATTAGTGTTGTGTTTTATTAGACACACATATCAAATGTTCATAATCACCTTACTTGACTATCCAGTAAATATAATTACGTTAAATATAAGTATAACTGTTCTATACAGATTTATTTTTTAAATTTAAACCGGACATTATATGAGACTTCCATACATAATATAATGCTATTATAAATTTGTGAAACAACTCAATGTATATCAAAATATATTATAAAAACTATCATTACTGGTGTGAAGACGAAGTCTAAGTTACATAAATAAACACAGAGAAGGCTTGATTACTGTAATTATAATGTAAGTCATACCACTATATATATAGAATAATTGGTTGTTTTTCTTGAAAAGGTCACAGGTGATTTAACCTTTTATTCCACGATAAAAAACATATATATTTATATTATGTTCAGTGGCGTTTTTTTTACAAGTTTTTTTTGTCAAATTGAATGTATCAAATATGTTCAAATTTGTACACTAGCAGATCTAGTGGTACATCTGCTTGTGTACATGTGAAATTCTTGAATCACAACAAATGTTGGAACGGTAAATCAATCAGTAAGTCTTTAATAATAATATAATACATATCGTCTGTCCGTGATCACGGTTGTTAAAAAGTAACCGAAATATCGGGAGTATGTAGTTTGTTACAAAAATGTTATACGCAAAGTATGTATATCCGAAAAATATTATCGTCATTTAGATGAATAATATACATATAACATTCAATCTCTATACACCATCTTCTTCTACCTGGCAATTTCCCAGCTTTAGCCAGAGTCTGCCTTACATGTTGTGAATAGTTTTGGCTTATTGTTTTTACGACCGGCCGCCTGCCTGACATCATCTGACTCTTTGGGAATGCATTAATCAGTGATGTCTAAATGCTCTTAGAAAGTACATATGACTCTGAAAAATCTCATTGGTACTTGCCAGGAGCGAACCTGCGCCAACGCCAACGAGAGGCGGGCCTTTTAACTACTAGGCCACCACTGACTTATATCAATCTCTATACACTGTATAATATATATATTATGTTTTGTTGTTTATGTCTCTCAAGTAATTGTTCGATAGAACTAAATGTCATGGTAAATCTAAGCTCGAGTTAAACCTTCACTGCATTCATACATATAAAATCAACGTTTTATTATAATATTTAATGAATTCAATCATTCTTATATTTATTTATATAAATAAATTTATGTGTAAACAAAATAGGAACACATGAAATAGTTTAAAAAGATATTTTGATATAAGACAGGTAATGTCAAGAGTTTTTAAATGAATTTAATAATGTTTTTGGTAATTTACTTATAAAGGTTATTTCTACTTGGATAACTTGAATATTGGAAAACTCATCATGATGAAAAGGTTTCGTTTCTTTAATGCACCTCCTTTTATTTCCTCTCAGAAGTCGGATCGATTTTTTGGAAGAGATCAATTTTAAACTATTATTAGAGGAACCAAAACATCAAATGGATTCAACTTGCTCCAAGGTTATAGTACTTTATATTATAGAAAGCCAAAAGTATTTCTCCTCAGAGAAGGTTAACACATTAATCACCACGCTTGCTCAAGACGGGTTGGCAATTTCAAAAATATTATGTAAAATTATAAGTCGAAATATCCGCTTATGATTTTCCTTATAAAAATAAGGTATCCTCACTTTATTTCAATTCTCCGGTTTAGAAAGTACATACAAGTCGGAAAAAATCACATTGGTACTTGCACGCCACAAGCCACAAGCACGGGATTTGGTCTTTTGACCTCTAGGCCACCACGATTTGTACTGTTTTTCTCGTATATATGTGAAATTGATAAAAAAAAATCGATTGAACAGTTGATGTAAAAAAAGGAAAAAACATAAAAGAGCATTAAATGTCACAATATAAAGTTAGTTGTGTCTAGAATTGTTGCTAGATTTATCAAAATATTTATCATTTAAATACTAGTAGCGCCATCTCTGCTGCTAGATGTGTAACAATTGTTATGAATCTACCTCCACCTAGAATAATGAATCAGTCTGTTCGTGATATTCACTTGACTTGTTCCATTAGAAGAATTCATTGAGCCATATTAATATATAATAATTTTATTTCCAGAATGTTCAACCTTCTGGAGTCGCCCCAATGATCAAGCTGAACGATGGAAATGATATGCCGAGTTTTGGGCTGGGAACATGGCTTGGGTTTTTGCAGAAGGTAAAATAGTATCTTTATAATAGTTGTACAAATTATCTTTTAGGATTGTCTCCTTGTGTTGAATTGATTCCCAATTATACTGTTTGCATTATGGCTAATATTTAACTTTGAAAATATATGAATGAACTAAAAATCTGTAATATATGTATTTATAAGATTTATTTATTAATTTCAACAAAATATTTATCGTTAAAATTATCACCAACAAGAAGTCCTTATAATATAATTCAATATTTCAATCTGTGAACTTTTAGGTCTTTTCTATTATACATACTATTCTATGGTCTATATTGAATATACTAAAATAATGTCTTTAAAAACAATATTATATTTCAACACAACAAAATTTGGCAATCAATAATTATTTTATATATCCCCTTCTTCTAATGATTTCAATAGTCATATATTCATTATGTTACAATACCAGGGTTCTGCAGAAGAAGTTCAAGGTGCAGTGGAAGCAGCCATAGACGCGGGCTACAGACACATTGACACCGCTCACATTTATAATACAGAGGAACAGGTTTGAATAGACCATTTAATACATACAAACAAATGAAAAAAACAAAGTTACAAGGTTATAGTAAGAGACTGCCACAGTCAAGTCAGTGGTGGCTCAGTGGTTAAAGGGCCCGCCTCACGTCGCCGAGGGCGCGGGTTCGTTCCTGGCCCGGGCAAGTACCAATGTGATTTTTCCGAATCATATGTACTTTCTAAGAGTATTTAGACATCACTGATTAATGTTGATTCGTAAAAAGAGGGTTGATGTCAGGCAGGCGGCCGGTCGTTAAAACAAATAGCCAAAAACTTTTCACAACCTGTAAGGCAGACCCTGGCTATAGCTGGGAAATTGCCAGGTAGAAGAAGTAAGAGACTGCCTCAATACTTTTAATCTATCCATTACTTAAATGAAACTAATATTTTCGGATTTACTACGCGATTTTTTATTTCCATACACTCGTACTTCGTCTGCCCGTGATCACGGTTGTTCTAAAGTAACCGAAACGTCGTGGGTATCTAGTTAATAATCAAAAAAAAAAATCCGTAATAAATCCGAAAATATTAAATTGATTTAAATGAATACTAGCCAAAATATTAGGTCTCACTATCCATTACTCATATATATTCTTTGAACAAACTGTATCTGGTATTGCGTAGCCAAATTTTGATGTAGATATTTTTAGAATATTTCACATGTTTTATTTATAGCATGGTTACAGATTTGACTCAATGGACAATAAATAAGTCAATTTAAATATAATATACTTCCTTATACTTTGTTCTTAAAGAAAGAACGGTTAGTTTTCAAGATGAATTCTCAAAACAAACCTCAATACTTGGGATGCACTACAAATGCAGCCCTAGTAGGTTCTTTACAAATTTAGTAGAGAGAGGAGCTTGTATAGGCACCCCTTAAACCTACACTTGAGTCGCAAGTCCCAATCACTGTTGAAGCTCTTCTCCCTACAACGATGGACCCGACACCCACACATGCAATGATGAGAGGTTTCATCTAAAAGTTGACTTATAAAAGATATAAAATTTATTTCCCAGTTTTCATAAATATGTCTTTTCTTTTATCAGTAAGCTTATTGTTGTAATGTGTTTTGCTGCAGGTCGGTAAAGGATTGAAGAAGAAAATAGAAGAGGGAGTGGTGAAGAGAGAGGACGTGTTCATAACGACTAAGGTAAACAGTTTTGTAATATATATTGACCAATTGGTCACCTACTAATAACAAGGTATATATTTTTTAAATGATCTAAGGTGGCTTTAATGACTGCGTTTCATCCAATGAGTGAGAGAGACGGCTGCCCTTTCCTTTTTCCCACCCTTTCCTCTCCCGGAATGATGATGTGTGCAGTCACCTTCTGCCCTGCATCAGCCAAAATCTGTTTTGTTAAGCGTGTTTCATTGGCATGGGGTCCAGGGATACTCTGCAGCTGTGGATCCATTGGGGGCTCTTCTGTACTCCTTGCCAGCAACACACAAGACTTGACTCTCAGTTCAGACCAAAGGAATGCTTTTTGTCAGAACGGTTATTGGACCATCAGCGTCCTTCTATCCTTCCCTTCACCTCTAGAATAGCAACGCATTCGCAACACTATATTGCAGATTACCATGGGTAATGGTACCTATCATCTGATAGGCAGTCTGCTCTTTTGGCCCCCTATAAAAATTAAATTTTTGTTACTATTTTTTATTTATTTTTGAATTATTTTCTTAAATATAAAATCCTCGGAACTTAAGTAACAGACAAAAGAAAATTACCCGATAGGTAGAGACATTTTCAAGTTATGTATTTAGCAACATTCATTTTTATTTATGTAGACCATTTGATTTCATTTGCTATTATTAAATTTGTAATTATGTTTTTAATCCACATTTCTTTCTCTCACCAGCTGTGGAATGACGCTCATCCCCGTGATGCTGTGATACCAGCTCTGAACGAGTCTCTCTACCACCTGGGAATGGATTACGTGGACTTATATCTCATCCACTGGCCAGTCGCCACTTTCGTATGTACATATTATATAACAGTAGATAATATATATACCATAAGTAAGATATTTAAAAAAAAATTGCATTGTTTTGAGTATTTTTATCAACTAAATTGTAGTCTAAGAAGTAAAGGACGATAGGTTACATATTATTTAATTACGAATTCGGCAAATAAAACTATATAAAGAATACTCTTTTTAGTTTTTTTAAAACAAATAAGTTTTAAACTATCTCCGGGCTTGTTATTCTTAAAGCATGAAACAGGCCTTCATAAAACGATACAACTTATCTGAAACTAACGACAGATTTTCGGTCTGTAATTTGATGATAAACTATGAGCTCCAAAATACGGACATCCCTATAAAACTTATATCCAATGCAAGAGAACTGAAATTAACTTATTATTGTAGATAATTAAAATTTACCAAATTTCAGAGTAATGGTACGGTTCAAGACGCAGACTATCTAGACACCTGGAAGGGTCTCATGGACGCGAAGAATTTAGGTCTAACCAGGTCTATCGGAGTGTCCAACTTCAATTTAGAACAGCTGAAAAGGTTGATTGAAAACTCAGGAGTGACGCCAGCAGTTCTTCAGATTGAGGTGACACAATACTATCATTATTACATCTAAATATTCTCAGAAGTATATTCTTAGCGCACCTCACAGGAACTTATTTCCAGATGTGAAAGTAATGCAAAAATCTGGTAGTCTGGGATTCATTCTGAATTTCAAACGCTTAAATTATCTTTTCAGGTCAACCTGAACTTGCAACAGCCTGAACTCCTTGAATTCTGCAAGGCTCACAACATCGTCGTCATGGGCTACACTCCCTTCGGATCCATCTTCCCCCAGAAGGCTGCAGCGAACGCTCCTCCTCCGAGGGTTGATGACGAGCAGCTTGTTCGTATTGCTAAGAAACACAACAAGACTGTCCCGCAAGTGGTGCTCAGATACCTGGTGAGTATCTTACAACTAATAATATAGTTTGTAAAAATTGAGTTTTGTTTGTTTCTACATACTATACCAAATTCAACATTTTTAACAAATGTTTCAGTTTGAGCTAGAAGTGGTGCCGATTCCTAAATCCGTGAAGAAGGAACGTGTGGAGGAGAACTTTGATATCTTCGACTTTGAGCTGACTCCAGAAGAGAGGGACCTGCTCAAGAGTTACGACGTTAACTATAGAACTATTGAACCGAAGTTTTGGAAAAAGTCCCCATATTATCCATTTAATAACTAACGAAACGCCTATAAAATAAAATGTTTATGTGATCATTAAACAAATGACTTAAAATTGTATATCCATAATTATTAATTATCCCTTTATTAATATTAATCGTTACAGGAATAAAGAGAGAGGTTAATAATATGAAATATAATTAAATTGTTGAAAAAACAACAAAAAGGACCAACATTTCAAAAAAAACGGGGACAATTTGTTTGTGATGACACATTTAAAATGATTGTTGTTACTATTAACTACGAAGCCTTATTTCATATGAATTAACCAACGAAGGTTCTATTAAAGCCTCTAAAGAATCAAAGTGATTGTAGATAAATTGAACAGAAAGTTATTTCAAAACATATGTATTAGTTATTTATAATTTAAAAGCCTTATTAGTTAATTTTAAGTTTAAATTATAATCCGAATATCTCCAAAACTTTTTGGTACAGTTCGAACATGGGCTGGCTTGACCGGTGAAGTACCACCCTCTCACAGAAGATCCGCGTGAAGTAGTCTTTAATGGCTGTGTTTCGTCCGATGACTGAGTGAGACGTGGCCCTGTCCCTGTAAATTAAATTGATTATCACTTATCAGCAATTACTTGCCACAAATTTTTGCGGGTTTCTATGACGAACCTTTGACACGACCGGGGTTTTTTTGGAATGGTCATGAACATTTTATCTTGTTTTAATCAATGTATTTTTGTATTTGTGACAATACAACATTTAAAAGACATTTTAAATTGTAATCCCATCATATTCATTATTTATAATGAATGCTATATCTTATATATTTAAATGAGCAATTCTTGTATATATATATAGACGTATAATTGGAATCTCGGAATCGGCTCTAACGATTTTCATGAAATTTAGTATGTACGGGGTTTCAGAGGCGATAAATCGATCTAGCTAGGAATCATTTTTAGTAAATATCATTTTATGAAAAATAAATAACAAAAAGGAGTAGTTTAAAATATGACTCTTCCTGGCATCTATTAGCGAATAGTAATACTACTTTTTCTAATTGCTTTTACTAATTGCTTTAATGACACAACAGCAGATGACGTTCTTAAGTAGTAGGAGTCAATGAGTGTTTGTTTTGAGGTTAGACTAAGAAATTAATTATTGATTTATGGCCTTATGGGTGAATATACGCTACTTGAATTCCATTGGTCTATAGACAAATTTTATGTAAAACTTATTATATAATTGTCTCTCCATGCTTAACCAATAAAGAATATGGCATTTTATCTGGTCCACAAAGACTAGTCACGATAATTATTTAATTTATATTTTTAATAATATTTTAAAATGTATACTCCTCTGGCCTTCCCATTTATGAATTAAAATGAACTTATGGCTGAATACTTTCAAAAAGTATACAATTATGTTTTTTTATTTAATGTGGTCATAGGCTTTAACATCGAAACACATTTTAACAAAATTAAGAGTAAAAATATTTATTAATATAAAATAATATAACTTATTTTCGAGTCATGTTACAATACTGTTACTTCATCTGGCGGAATTCAAAGACTTAAAAATTTATCAAAAAAGAGGCAAGCTAAATAATTTGAGCAAAATTTTTAAAAAAATTGGACCAGTTTTTGATAAACTTTCGGAAAGTAATTTTGTGGCACTCGTTGGAGTATTTCCTGTGGTATATATACATATATATTTTATCGTTACGAAATTGTTAATTTCCATAATTAATGTTTATTGTCCGTTGATGTCATATATCAACTTAAACTGGAGTAAGAAAAGCGAATGATGTTAATTTTAATACATTATGTGTGATTTTGTCACTTCTATAGCGTCACTCCTCTGGCATATTACATACATAATAGGCAGAGAAGTGACATTTTTTTGTTATACAGACGTAAATAGACGTTTTATTTAATATTAGTCAACTTTCTTCTTCTATATATATAAAAATGGATTGCTGTTCTTTAGTCTCGCTAAAACTCGAGAACAGCTGAACGGATTTATCTTATCTTAGTCTTAAAATGTTCGTGGAGGTTCAGGGTATAAAAGCTGAAAAAAATTTATTCATTACTGGGAAAACCATAAAAACAGCCTTTTTCTATTTCCCATACAAACGTTTTTTTGACATTAGATTTGACAACTAACTAATATGTCAATCATTCTGTCGCACTTCAAAACACGGAGATTTATGGCTTAGGCCTCGGCCTCGAATTTTGCGGGCAGCGGAGCGGCAGCGGCGGCGGCACGAAAACGCATACATTTCTCCAAAATAGCGGGCAGCGGGCACCGCTGTATTCGAGGGTCGGTCCATTTGATTATACGCGTAAGATCCTGCCGCTCCCGCTCCCGCTCCGCTGCCCGCAAAATTCGAGGCCGAGGCCTTACAGATAAACTCCAAAAATATAAATAAAAAAACGTAATAGATATTTCTTGATTATAGGGCGAAACGAAGTTCGCCAGGTCTTCTAGTATCTAATAATAATCAATGGTATGACAATACCCTGCTTTGATTTGTTACAACTCTGGCAACAGTGTCACTCTTCTGGTGTCACATTTCCCCCTGGTGCGTTTAAAATTGAAAAAAAAGAATAATCGTCTGGCCCCTGCGATTACTTATTTTAAGATTTCAAATATATAAATTATTAATATTATAATCGGATGGGACTGATAACATTTTCTTCTGGGACACGAAAAAAAAATAGCGTATATTCACCCTTTATATTGTTTTGTGTCTTCTTAACGTGTTCACTTAAAAATGCATATTCGAAATAAAAAAACACCAAATAAATACTAATAATTCCTAAATACCGAGCAAAGCTAGGTAACCAAATATTGTATTTCTATTTGACAGATATCAAAATATTTGTTTTGCAACCAGTGACGTCGTAATGTCACGTAACCCGCGTATATACGGCTTCCACAGCGGTTTGGCGGTCTCATTTATTATTCAAATTTTATTGATGATTATTATTGAAAATATATCAGTTCATAGAAAAAGAATTTACTAACTTCTAAACACGGACAAATACCCTTTAATTTTTGATTAACAGACAAATTGGAAATAATATTAAAGCATATGGAAATGAACGATGAAAAAATTATAATTGTCTAATTAGGTTGTTAAACACGTAAGTGGTGTGTACATTGTTTATAGTAGCGCTATAAGTCAAGGTGTCGGAGTACAAGCAGCTCAGTGTGAGGACGTGAGGAGACGAGTCAGTCGTGTTCAGTGACGATGAAGTGGCTCCACCTGCTGCTGTGTGTTACATCGGTCCTCGGGAAGGTGAGGGAGATGAACATGGACATTATAACACGGCAATGTATTACTAATACACATTTGACAGAAACTAATACATAACTTTTTTGATATATTTGATATTAATATGAAATCTTTTTTACAATTATTTTAACATACCAGAATATATAATTAATTTTTTAAACCAATGTCACCACGTCTTATCGTTAATAATAGTACATTCAGTTAAAAAAACATCTTTGTAGTGATAATTAGTTATCACAAAAATATACAAACAAGTACAGAATTACATATTAACTAAATTTAAATCACTGAAATATTAAATATAGTATTCTTCATGTTCATAAACTTCTTGTTTCATAAAGTTCCTCATTGAATGAGCTCAGTTCCACAATTAAATTGGTCGATATTTACACTATCCTTACTCCAAGTCTCCATCGTCACACGACATACGGATCGTTCACAGTTTCTCATTCATTAATCTTGTCAAATCATAGTACTAATATAGTTTGAATGAGAAACGTGAAACTCTCAGTACGTCGTGTGAAGATGGAGACTTGTACTAAGGCTATAAGTATGGTTAATTTCGTCATTACAGTAACGAGTTTAACATTACACACTGTTACAGCGATCATGTTCATTATGACAACTCAAACGGTATAAGGGTTACGGGACACGAGCACACAGGTTTATATTTTAATATTAAAACCTAAAGACAGAATATAAAAGATCCTAATGCTTACAAAAACGTCAACCTTGGGTTTAACAAACAAGTGAGAAGTTTTTTTTTATACATATGTATAAAATGAATACACGAATATTCATTTAATAAAACAAGCTATCGTGTTCAATGTGTCTAATAGTTATTATTAATAAATATTTAAGTTAAGCCAGAACTCTAAATGTTCCTCCTGGCACCGCAAACTTCGTTCCAACATAAAACAATAGTTTCAAATCAGGGATTTCATTTTTCAGTTCAGTCACACATTCGTTATTATTATTGATATGTTTTATATTTATTCAAACATGTTCTTTTCTTATTAAAACACACGAATGCTATTATTTTTTGAAAAAAAAAAAGATAATATATTAGTATTAAAATTAAATCTAAATGATATATATAGTATAATGTATCAGTAACAGAATACGTTTTTCTTTGTTCATTATTCTGGTGACACCAATAGTTACTCTAATCAATTATTTGTTACATATCACGATTAAGATACGTTTGATTTTTATACTATCTAGATTCTAGAAGGTGAGGTCTTGAGGTTTTTTTAAAAATCGATTATTTTTATCCCATCATCTTGTCAACCATACTGCAACATATGGGATGTTGCGGATGCGTTGCCAACCTTGGTTGTTTAGGAAGAGAAAGGAAGGGAATAGGGAAAGAAAACCAGCTCTCTCATTCACATTAAAGACTACATCACGCCGATCTTCTGTGAGAGGGTGGTCCTTGCCAGCCCATGTTCGAGCTGTAGTTACTTGACCACAGCTAGCCTTTACCACCTACTACAGCCAGTCACATTTAAGTACTTTTTCATAACAATGAAGTCCCATGAAGATAGTAGATCATAAACTATTTATTTAACAGCATTTGTTTATTTCCAGGACACTCCATCACCCGCAAAAGCGCCAACAGCGAACCTGAACGATGGAAACGTCATGCCGCGCTTTGGTCTTGGCACCTCGTTAGGTTTATTTCCAACGGTACTGTTTTAATTTGTAGTTTTAAATTGTTATCTACTCAATACTACTTACTTGCATCGCGGAATTAATTAGGAACAATTTGTGATTCCCAATCACTTATAAAACAATCATTTTATGTATGTTAATCATCGCTGGGTCCGGACATTTTTAGACTCACAGACTTTAAGGAGAATATATAAAATTAAGCTTTGTATTTTAAGAAGTACAAGCACGCTCATGACTCATGGATATTTATATTGAATTACAGGGTTCTAAAGAAGAAGTCCGTGATGCAGTGGAAGCAGCCATCGACGCGGGCTACAGACTCATAGACACGGCTAGCATTTACAACACAAAGGAACAAGTATGAATGACTTGATTGTGGAATTGGTTCTGACAGCAGAAACTAAGCTGTACAATAATTTGCAATATGCAACCAAGTCTAAGGACTTATAGGGAATAATAGGAAAAAAATTCTTTATACGTTATGGAAACTTTATGCAATTACATTCCACACTTTTTTATATTTATTTCATATAAAGGGTTAACCTTTTATTTATCTTCATCTTTTTTTGTCTTCTCATTCCTCTATAAATGTTGTAGATAGCCATTCGTTACAGTGACCACTCTTTTTTCACACTGTTTTCTTTTTGTTATAAAACACATTGTCCCCATAAAACACTATCTGATTCCTTCTATATATATCGCAATACATTTCTGGTTCTCCAACAGGTAGCGCTGGGACTGAAGAATAAGATTGATGAGGGTGTCGTTAAGAGAGAGGAGATGTTCATCACGACTAAGGTCTGTTTCTCTGGAACTTTAACTGATTTTGATATCACTAAAACGGAATTGAAGGTAATGAGCACAAAGCAACATTGTACAACATATTAAATATATCTTTTCGAATTTTCGCAATGGTTAAAGCAGAATGAGTAGCTACACATAGGAGATTTTGCATCTAATTAGCATTCCATCATCGTTGTCACGATAGAGTTTTTGAAATCATACGTCGAATGCAAAGGTTTTGTTCTCTGAATTCAGATAACAAAAAGTAATAACCACAATCCAGCGATCAATAGGTTTTATGAGAAAAGGCGCAAGGACTACAAAATAAAACGTCAAACCTTATTCTATCATTAAAGCGACTTTGGATTGTACTATAATGATGGATACGTATGAGAAGCAATATAAAATCCCAGAGGACATTCTTGTGTTTGTGTCCAGTGCGGGCATATTTAATATTAAATAATTTAAAGCGCCTTGTACTAAGAGTTCACGGTTTATTGGCAACCAATTTCCCCAAAGATCATGCCATCAAAGTTAATAAGTATTACGAACTCAGTGGGAATAGGTTTGTTGTAAATTTGTTTGTGGTAGAAGTAGGAACGTGAGGTATAATAGCTAATTCCCTCCAAAAACTACTGATAGACTTGAACCAGTCAAGAAATAATATCAGTTCATTCTTGAAGCGTGCGTCGAAGGCAGCCCTAGTCGGTTTGTTTCACATTTGGTTGGGTAGAGAGAGGAGTTTGGAAGGCGGAGGTGAGCATTTAACACGCGTTAGGTAAGGGCTTCTTAAACCTACACCTGAGTCGCAAGTCCCAGGCATTGTTAAAGCTCCTCTTCCTGCAACGATGGGCCTGACACCCGCACCGTGAATCCTTACAGGTTTCGTCGTCTCTTATTCACTTATATATTAACTAAATATAAACTTGTTTCTCCTCCAGCTGTGGAACGACGCCCATCGTTATGAAGACGTGTTACCCGCGCTGAACAACTCTCTCCAGAAGCTAGAGCTGGATTACCTTGACCTGTACCTCATGCACTTCCCTATCGCTACTGATGTGAGTAAAAAGCAGCTCGGTTTTGTCTTAATATCAGATTGCATTTCATTAGAGTAAAATTAAATTTAAATTCACTCTTTTTACTGATATATACTCCACTGATCAGTCTTCTAGTTCTTTCATTTTAATCAATTTTCAGTCTAATTGGTCCGTCGTGGACGTAGACTACTTAGAGACCTGGCGTGGCATGATAGAGGCCCAGAAGCTAGGTCTCACGAAGTCCATCGGGGTTTCTAACTTTAACATATCGCAGCTGCAAAGATTGATAGAAGAGACGGGCGTAACACCAGCAGTGCTTCAGGTCGAGGTATATAAAAATATCCACTCTTTAAACGTTTCCAGCCCTATGGCTGGAACTGTCTATGACAGGATCATGATGCAAGTTTAAAACTAAATCATTCTTTTGCAGGTCAATCTTAATATACAACAATCTGAGATCCGGGAATTCTGCAAGGAACACAACATCGTCGTCATGGGCTACTCTCCCTTCGGATCCATCTTCCCCCAAAAGTCTGCTGAGAACGCTCCTCCTCCGAGGGTTGATGACGAGCAGCTCGTTCGTATTGCTAAGAAATACAACAAGACTGTCCCGCAAGTGGTGCTCAGATACCTAGTGAGTATCAGATATCTTGCAATATAGTTTGTAAAAATAGACTTTACTTAATTAAACATTTTTAACAAATATTTCAGTTTGAGCTAGGAGTGGTGCCGATTCCTAAATCCGTGAAGAAGGAGCGAGTGGAGGAGAACATTGATATCTTTGACTTTGAGCTGACTCCAGAAGAGAGGGACCTGCTCAAGAGTTACGACGTTAACTATAGGACGGTTGTCACAAAGTTTTGGAAAAAGTCACCCTATTATCCATTTAATAATTAATGAAATGCCTATAAAATGTTTATGTGGTCATTAAAACAAATAGCTTAAAATTGTGTATTTATAATTCTTATTTAGTTACAAGAAAGTGAACGGTTAATAATGTGAAATAAAAAAAATGTTGACAAAACAACAAAATGGACCAACATTTCAAATAAACGGGGCTAAGTAATATTCGATGAGACGTTTAATATTTATTGTTTAGTCCAATGAATATAGAATTCCTTGTAACTTTTGCATAAAACATAACTCAAAACCTTTACTTCTTCTAAATAGCCTTGAAGATACTTTTTAAGAGTTGTTTAGAAAAAAATCTGTTGTGTATAATTAAAGCTTAGTATCCATAATTACATAAAATAACATCATAAAGTCGTCATCCTTGTCCTTAAATCAAAAGTCATTAATCCGTTTGGGTGATAAGAAATTGATACAACCTTCTAGGTTGAGGTTACTATAAACAAAGAAGCGTTATCATAGCTTGAATTAAACAACGAAGGTTCTATTAAAGCCTCTATGGAACCAAAATGATTGTAGATAAATGGAACATAAAGTTGTTTCAAAACATATGTATTAGTTGCTTTTAATTCAAATCAAATCTTTATTTGGACACACATCTTATGCAAACACTATAAGAACGCATATATATAAAACAAAACATAAGAAGATAGAAAATACAAACAAAAATAAAGATGAAAATTAAACAAAACTATTTCTGATGCCCAAATTGGTAAGCCACACAGCATATATGTTGAAAATCATAGTAGTAATGAGTTTCAACGCTGATATTCTGTACGTAATTCATGGTAAAATATAATCCGAATATATATTTTCAACCGCTAATGTAGTATAATATAAATAAATATTAAGCTGTTGCGAAATTAAAAGTGAACGATTACAATACGTCACTTAAGAGGTTTTATAATGATTACCCCACTATATACTAGTTATCTGGAAAGATTATATTTAGTGTTTATAAAGAAACTTTTTGGTACAGCCTAGCTGTGGTCAATTTATTGTAGCTCGGACATGGGCTGGCTCGACCGAGGAAATACCACCCTCTCACAGAAGATCGGCGTGAAGTAGTTTTTAATAACTGCGTTTCGCCTGATGATTAAAAGAGACGGTTGCCTTGCCGTGTTCCCGATCTTTCCTGCTATTTCCTTATTCCCACCCCTCCCTCTTCCTCAATAACCAAGGTCGGCAACGCATCCGCAACATCTATGTTTTGGATGTCCATGAGCGACTGTCACTACTTCCCATCAAGTAGGCCGTCTGCTCGTTTGCCATATTTGATATATAAAAAAAGTTTCGAAGATCAAACTCATTGTCAGCAACATGTTGTACTTTGACCTTGGCACCTCGCTTGATTGAAACATGGCCACTGTATGTAGTACACAAATATATAGCTGATCTATTGTCTTGGCTGCTGTTGGGGAAATAGAAAGAAAAAATTCATGACACCTTAGAAGAAAGAAAGTTAGCAATAAACAAGAGCATTAGCATTTTGAGTAAAGACTGTCTTTTCCTCATAATGGAAATCCGTCCTTCGTCATAGGTAGTGAACGTCGAGAATTGAAGGTTCTTTATCTTTTGAACCGTCACTCCTACACCGTCAGAACATGTCAAAAAACAATCACTAAATGAGACCTAATTAAGAAAGAATAAAATACACTTGTTAATTGTGTCTTATAATGCGTTATTATTAAAATGTTTATTTAAATTAAATTCATTATCACTTATCAAAGCAATTACTTGCTTCAATTTTTTTCGGGTTTCTACGGGCAACCTTTGACACGACCCGTGTTTTTGTAATGCTCACGAACATTTTATCTTGTTTTAATAAAAGTATTTTTGCATTAGGGACAATACACCATTTATAAAACATTTTAAGTTGTAATATCATAAAAAGTATTTTTTATAATGAATGCTATATGTATTTCGATTTTACAGACATCAAAATATTTGCAACTAGTGACGTCATAATGTCACGTGACCCGCGTATATGGACCCTACAGGGGTTTGGCGGTCTTATTTATTATTTAAACTTTATTGATGATTTTTATTGAAATTATACATATCACAGAATATACATATATTTCACAGAAAAATATAATTAAATTGTAAGTGTATTATCTATTGAACAATTTGACATCTTAAAAAATTAAAATACCCTCTCGTTTTCATTAACAGACGCATTAAATGTCGGAAGTCGGTCTTAAAGTAAACAATAATATTAAAGGATATGGAAATGAACGCTGAAAGAATTATTATCTAGATAGCTTGTTAAGCACGTAAGTGCTGTGTGTACATTGTTTATAGTAGCGCTACAAGTCAAGGTGTCGGAGTACAGCCAGCTCAGTGTGAGGACGTGAGGAGACGAGTCAGTCGTGTTCAGTGACGATGAAGTGGCTCCACCTGCTGCTGTGTGTTACATCGGTCCTCGGGAAGGTGAGGGAGTTGAACATGGACATTATAACACGGAAATGTATTACTAATACACATTTGACAGAAATTTATACACAATTTTTATTAGATATTAATTTAATTTTTATTTTGAACATAACGGAATATTTAATTTATTTTTAAACTTCTTATCATGAGTAAAAAAGTTTCTATCGAGAATTGGGACATATTTTTTGGAAACATGTGATTAAATTTGTTTTTTTTTAATTTTTAAATATATTTTTTTAATAATAGATAATGTTATGAATGGTAGTAATAGTACATTCAGTTAAATTATCATTTTTGTAATGATGATTATTTTATCTTAAAAATATATACAAACAAGTACATATAGAACGATATCATATTAACTAAATTTAAATCACTGAAATATTAATATTAAATATAGTATTATTAATGTTCATAAACTTCTTGTCTTATAAAGTTCCTCATTGAATGAGCTCAGTTCCACTATTAAATTGGTCGATATTTACACTATCCTTACTCCAAGTGTCCATCGTCACACGACATACGGATCGTTCACAGTTTCTCATTCATTAATCTTGTCAAATCATAGTACTAATATAGTTTGAATGAGAAACGTGAAACTCTCAGTACGTCGTGTGAAGATGGAGACTTGTACTAAGGCTATAAGTATGGTTAATTTCGTCATTACAGTAACGAGTTTAACATTACACACTGTTACAGCGATCATGTTCATTATGAAAACTCAAACGGTATAAGGGTTACGGGACACGAGCACACAGTTTTATATTTTAATATTAAAACCTAATTATTTGAAAAACTATCAAAGACAAACAGACTTATGTTTCAAACGATGAATAAAGAAACTTTTTTATTTCATAAAATATCATTAAATATTTGTTTGTAATCAATGCACTGAACATTGTGTTATAATCTTTTAATAATCAAAACTTTATCGCTGGTTTATTTAAAAATATTCTGTTGAAGAACAATAAAACTAAAATATACTGATTGCGGACACTATATCAGTATTTATGTATATATATTTGAGAGGTAACATAACTCATAAACATTTTAATTTGATAATAGTGTTGTCTAAAACACGTTCCTTATGTAGAACCTGTTTCAACATCCTGACAACGGACAGAATATAAAAGATCCTAATGCTTACAAAAACTTCAACCTTGGGTTATACAAAAAAGTAACAAGTTTTTTTATATATCAAATTATTACACGAATATTGATTTAATAAAAAGCTATCGTGTTCAATGTGTCTCATAGTTATTATTAGTAAATATTTAAGTTAAGTCAGAACTCTAAATGTTCCTCCTGGCACCGCAAAGTTCGTTCCAAATATAGTTTCAAATCAGAGATTTCATTTTTCCCTTCAGTGATACATTTTTTATTTAATATATTGATATGTTTCATATTTATTCAAACATGTTAGTTCCTATTTAAAACACATGAATGCTTTTTTTTGAATGATATTTATGGTATCAGTAACGGAAAACGTTTTTTTGTTCATTATTCTGGTGACAACAATAGTTTCCCTAATCAATGGTTTGTTACATATCACGATTAAGATCCGTGTTACCTTTATATTAATCTCGAAGGTGAGTTCTGTAGGTTTTTTAAAACCGATTATATTTATCACATATGTATATTTATTAAAATATAATTGAATTATATTCTATAAGCTCGCCATAAGGAAATACTTTACATTTATTTTTGATGTATTCATCTAAGAACCTTTACAACAAAGATATCTGTTCTAATTGCCCGTAGTCACGACTGACAATGTAAAGATTATAATCGAGCCTTGTGTGTGGGAAAAGATAATTATTTATATCTATACCAGCTGTCTATAAAACAATTTAATTGGAATTTAATCGGTCAACATAATTCTAGATCATGGAGCATTTATTTAACAGCATGTGTTTATTTCCAGGACACTCCATCTCCCGCAAGAGCGCCAACATGGAAGCTCAGCGATGGAAACGTCATACCGCGCTTTGGTCTTGGCACCTGGTTGGGTTTTATCGAAATGGTACTGTTTTAATTTCTAAAATTATAATCTACTCAATACTATTCACTTCGTCATCATCAGCCTATCAGAGCCCATTGCTGAGCAAAAGCCTCTTTCTCATATGGAGAAAGTTTGAGCATTAATCATCACGCTCGCTCTAGACGGGTTGGTGATTTCAATCTTAGCATTGTGAAATTATAAGTCCAGGTTTTACGACGTTTTCCTTTACTGTTTATCAGGGGTGTCTAAATACTCTTAGAAAGTACATATTACTCGGAAAAATCACATTGGTACTTGCCAGGATCGAACCAGCGCCCTCGTGCACGAGAGGCGGGCGATTCACCACTAGGCCACCACTGACTTTCTATTTCACGTGCTTCGCGGAATTAATCAGAAACAATTTGCTTCTCCCAATGATATATAAAAAAATCTAATTATGTGTTAATCATCCCTGGGTCCCGACATTTTTAGACCTACACACTTTAAGGAAGAATATATTAAATTTAGCCATGTATTTTACCAAGTACAAAAGTACTCAAGGATAATTTTATTTAATTCCAGGGTCCTAAAGAGGAAGTCCGTGATGCAGTGGAAACAGCCATCGACGCGGGCTATAGACTCATAGACACGGCTAGCATTTACAACACAGAGGAACAAGTATGAGTGACTTGATTGTGGATTTCGTTCTTACAGCAGAAACTAGGCTATATATTTAAATTGCTATAAGCGACTCAGTCTAGGGTCCTGTAGGGTGTAAAAAGGAAATAATAAAACTAAATTTCATTATAAATTGTCGCAAATTCATACAATTCGGTAATTTTTTTTTTACCAAATACGTTTTTTTACCTTTTTTCAGATCTCATCAAGATAACAAACCCTTACAGATGTTTTAGATGGCAATTCATTACAGTGACCACTCTCCTTTCACACTATTTTCTGTTTATCCTCATAAAACACTATCTGATTCCTTCTATATATATCGCAATATATTTCTGTTTCTCCAACAGGTAGCGCTGGGACTGAAGAAGAAGATTGATGAGGGCGTCGTTAAGAGAGAGGAGATGTTCATCACGACTAAGGTCTGTTTCTCTGGAACTTTAACTGATTTTAATATCACTAAAACAGAAAGGTAGGTAATGAGCAAATAAACATTGTGCAATATATATATTAAATATATATCGAATTTTTTAAATGTAAAATGCGGAACGAGTTACAATAAGGAGATTTTGCACCCCATTAGCATTAAAATGGCAAGATTTAATTCATGATTAGTCGCCAAGACTGCTAAAATATTATCTCAGTCAAATCTTAGTCAATCTGCGTTCCAGATGACTCTCCCAGATCAGATTTATTTAGTAAAATGGGGTACCGAAGAAACTTGCTACATTTCTATGGAGGCGGTTGGAACTGCTAAGCATTTGTTGGTGGGATGTATGCTACTCAAGTCAAGATAGGGTTTTAGTAGTCATACGGCTTTGGATTGGACTATTATAATTATAGCGAGAGGTATAATAGCCAAATCTCTGTAAAACCTACTAAAAGACTTGGGTTTGTCACGAAGTAACAGCAGTTCATTCTTGAAACGTACGTCTTAGGCAGCCCTAGTAGGTTTGTTTCAAGTTGGGTTAAGTAGAGAGAGGGACTTGGACGGCGGAGGTGAGCGTTTAACGTGCGTAAGATAAGGGTTTCTCAAACCTACAACTGGTTACAAGTCCCAGGCACTGTTGAAGCTCCTCTCCCTGCAACGATGTACCCGACTCCCGCACCGTGAATCCTTAGAGGTTTCGTCGTCTCTTACTCATTTATATCTTTAATAAATATAACCTTGTTTCTCCTCCAGCTGTGGAACGACGCCCATCGTTATGAAGACGTGTTACCAGCGCTGAACAACTCTCTCCAGAAGCTAGAGCTGGATTACCTTGACCTGTACCTCATGCACTTCCCTATCGCCATAGATGTGAGTAAAGATCCGATCGTTTTTGAGTTAGTATCAGATTGCATTTCGTTACAGTAAGATTTATTTTAAAATGACCCTTTTTAGTGATCTCTACTTTACTGATCAATCTCTTAGTTCTTTCATTTTAATCAATTTTCAGTCTAATGGCTCCGCCGTGGACGTCGACTACTTAGAGACCTGGCGTGGCATGATAGAGGCCCAGAAGCTAGGTCTCACGAACTCCATCGGGGTTTCTAACTTTAACATATCGCAGCTGCAAAGATTGATAGAAGAGACGGGCGTAACTCCAGCAGTGCTTCAGGTCGAGGTATATACGAATAAACCCTATATAAAAAATATCCTTTCAACATTTCCAGCCGTAGACAGGATCATGAAGCAAGGTCAAAACTCAATCATTCTGCTCCAGGTCAATCTTAACATGCAACAGCCTGAACTCCTTGAATTCTGCAAGGAACACAACATCGTCGTCATGGGTTACACTCCCTTCGGATCCATCTTCCCCCAGAAGGCTGCTGAGAACGCTCCTCCTCCGAGGGTTGATGACGAGCAGCTCGTTCGTATTGCTAAGAAACACAACAAGACTGTCCCGCAAGTGGTGCTCAGATACCTGGTGAGTATCTTTATAGATAGATGTTGTAGTATAATTTGTAATATAATTTGTAAAACTAGTTTTTTGTTTGTTTCTATTATACTAAATCAATATTTTTAAAAAATATTTCAGTTTGAGATAGGTGTGGTGCCGATTCCTAAATCCGTGAAGAAGGGGAGAATTGAAGAGAACATTGACATCTTCGACTTTGAGCTGAGTCCAGAAGAGAGGGACCTTTTCAAAAGTTACGACGCCAACCATAGAGCTTTAAGCGTCGCCTGGTGGAAAGACTCGCCGTATTATCCGTTTTAAAAAATGGAATTTAAAAACTGTATAAAAGTTCTTAATTTCAAATATAAACATTGAAGCAAGTTGTTTGCATCTTTAGTATATTGCATCTCTTTCTTAAATTAACTTCTCAGATATACAAAATAATCTGTTATACTCACTTGCATTGACCATTCCAATTCTAAACATTTTCAGTGTTACCCACGTATTGATTTTCATGTAATCGTTCATTATAATGAATTTCAAATTATCCACTACATAAATAATAATTACGTAAATAATTCTGGTAACACATCAGGTGATTAGTTTTGTTCAAGTAACCACTATTTTAATACAGAATTTTCCATATAAAAGTCTAAGCAAAATCGTTCTGAATTCATTCTACAATGGTTGATCATAGGAGCCACAGTGGCAGTGTCTGCTAAGCATTCTTGACATTTATTATGAGAATTTGTTAGCAATAAACAATCAGTAAGAACTGTCTTTTCCTCAAAATGGAAACCCTTCCTTCGTCATCGGTATTGAACGTTTAGAATTAAAGGCATTTAAGAAAGTAGGATTTTTCTTTCTCATAAAAAAACTCTTTTTCTAAATGGCCGAAGTCATGAAATTCAATGTAAAGATTAAATTATTGTAGTTTAGGACAACTTAACATTAATTTTTTATAAAATAATTTACTCCCAGATTTTTTATAAAATACTTTACTCCCAGATTCTTGCGAAGAAGTTCCGACGATCAAACTGTAGGTATCATTGTAATTGTCAAAGCATGTTGCACTTTGACCTTGGCACCTCGCTCAACTGAAACACGGCTATTATATGTATCACGCATATATAAAGCTGATACAGTCTCAGCTGTTGTTGGGGAAATAGCAAGAAAAAATCATGACTCATTAGAACACTCAAAACTTTACAATTTTAATATATCTTTATCTCCTGAACCCTCACTCCTACACCGTCAGACCATGTCTAAAATCAATCACTATAGTATTTTTTAATTATCATATAGACTCTGCCTGTTTAAAAAGATTTTAATAGTTTCATAAGTATTATAATCATTTTAATTACCAACAGATGTTTAAGTTATTCAAGACTCGTGTAAAACATCTTCAATGTTATACATCGCTGTTCAACGTTTATGTCAGTCTGTATTTATCATATTAATTGCTTCTATCTAAATTATATTTTAAGAGACATATTATTACCTAACTTCTTCTTCTTAACCTTCAATATATTTTGATTTAATAAGTCTTACTTATAAAACTGTAAAATACACACGTTAATTGTGCCTGATAATGTGATGCTAGTAACTCTGATTTACTTTTTGGTAGATTTAAATCTCTTATTAAGTCATTGAGATCTTCAGAGTCGATGAGGTGTGGCATTCTTGATTCAGATTCAAAAACGAATTGGCATTGTACGGATAGAGATGAACTCCGAGATTGATGGCTGCCTTGAGAAGTAGTTGATTTCCCAACAAAGGAGGAGCAGATACAGGAGTTTCTTATGTATGTGGTGTTGGAGCGGATGTCGATGGTAGATCAGGATAAAATGTTTTCTTTGAATTTTTACTTCCGAGTGCATTTACAATGCCAAAATAACAATCAGTGTGATGATCACTGGATTCCATCAAAATTCTCAGCACTGCAAATTTTATTGCTCTTTTCTCAGCTCGGTACCAGCCTTAAATAAAACGTAATATAAAATATATAGTCTAATTAAATTAAGTACGAGTATAAAATAGTCAATAAAATAAAATAAAATAAAGAGGTAATAAACATAGTAGCGCTACAAGTGAAGGTGTCGGAGTACAGCCAGCTCAGTGTGAGGACGTGAGGAGACGAGTCAGTCGTGTTCAGTGACGATGAAGTGGCTCCACCTGCTGCTGTGTGTTACATCGGTCCTCGGGAAGGTGAGGGAGCTGAACGTGGCCATTATAACACGGCAATGTATTACTAATACACATTTGACAGAAACTAATACACAACTTTTTGATATATTTGATATTAATATGAAATCCTTTTCGCAATTATTGAAACATAAGAGAATATACAATTTATTTTTAAAGTAATGTTACCTCGTCTTATCTATATAATATATAAAAATTAATTGTTGTGTGTTAGTACCACTAAAACTTGAGAATGGCTGAACGGATTTATCTTATCTTAATTCGTGGAGGTTCAGGGAAGGTTTAAAAGCTGAAAAAAATTGAATCATTTCAGGGAAAACTAATATTTCAATCATTCTGTCGCACTTCAGAGCACGAAGATTTATGGCTTAAAAATAAACTCCAACAAAATAAATAAAAAATTATTCATTTATCGATTGAGGCAGTACGAGGTCTGCCGGGTCAGCTAGTCGTTAATTAAATAGTTTCTGTAAACAATTGGCACGTATGTATGTTTATGAAGGATCTGATTATTATTTTTGGAATATTTTTTAAAATACTTAAAAAAAAAGAAATAATATTTCGAACGCAATCATTTTACTTATTTTAAACCAATCATTAAACTACATTTAAACCACTGAAATATTAATATTAAATATAGTATTATTAATGTTCATAAACTTCTTGACTCATAAAGTTCCTCATTGAATGAGCTCAGTTCCACAATTGGTCGATATTTACACTATCCTTACTCCAAGTGTCCATCGTCACACGACATACGGATCGTTCACAGTTTTTCATTCATTAATCTTGTCAAATCATAGTACTAATATAGTTTGAATGAGAAACGTGAAACTCTCAGTACGTCGTGTGAAGATGGAGACTTGTACTAAGGCTATAAGTATGGTTAATTTCGTCCTTACAGTAACGAGTTTAACATTACACACTGTTACAGCGATCATGTTCATTATGAAAACTCAAACGGTATAAGGGTTACGGGACACGAGCACACAGTTTGATATTTTAATATTAAAACCAAAAGACAGAATGTTAAAAATCCTAATGTTTGAAAAAGCTTCAAGCTTGGGTTTAACAAAAAAGTAACAAGTTTGTTTTGAATATCAGTATTATAATTCAATTCAATAATATTTATGGTATGAGTAACAGAATATGTTTTTTTGTTCATTATTCTGGTGACAGCAATAGTTTCCCTAATCAATTATTTGTTACATATCACGATATAGATCTGTTTAATCTTTATACTATCTCAAGGTGGGTTTTGGAGTTTTTTTTTAAATCGTTTTTTTTATCTCATCGCATACTGCAACATAAGGGATGTTGCGGATGCGTTACCCACCTTGGTTGTTTAGGAAGAGATAGGAAGGGAATAGGGAAAGGAAAACCGGCTCTCTCATTCAAATTAAAGACTACATCACGCCGATCTTCTGTGAGAGAGTGGTACTTGTTTTGTCAAGACAGCCCATGTTCGAAATGTAGTACTTGACCACAGCTAGACTCTTTTTTTTTTTTTTTTTTTTTTTTTTTTTTTTTTTTTTTTTTTTTTTTTTTTTTTTTTTTTTTTGATGACGCAGTGGAAACTCTTTTTACGAGCCGTCCAACCGACCTTGGTGGGGCCGGAAGGGATGTGTGAGGCTCGGCCTGGGCAGGCCCCTACTCACTAAAACCACTGCGAAAGCCATCGGCCGCTATGTCGGTGTACCCCGGATCTGTCAGCGACAGGGCACACCAGCGACTGGCCGGTCCTGGCAAAGACCGGACTTACTCCCTCGGAGCATGGGGGCGATCCCGGCAATTAGGACCACCCCGACGACGCCGGGCTTTCAAAAGGGCCGGGTTACCACGCCGACCCCAGCCCGGAACACAGGGGTGCTATTGGAGGCGTAGGAATTGCCTCCGTCGCACCCCCGTACGTCGCCTGCGGGGGGAGGGAGCATCAGCCGCCCTCTCCCTTTCCCGCTGAGATGCCTCCTTCGTGGACATGACCGTCTCACAGAAGGAGGACACCGCCAACCAGGACCCATCACTCTCGAGCATCTTCTCCACGACACTCGAAAGCGACAGGTCCACTCCGCCGAGAGCCGCCACAAGGTCTTGGCGCTGCGCAGCCCATCTCGGACAGCTAGACTCTACCACCTACTACAGCAAGTCACTTAAATTCTACCCAACTGGACAAAATGTTTTAATGCTTCTTTATAACAATGTGCGTAAGGAAAAAAAGCGAAGACGGGTTGTGTTATATGTTTATATACATTTGATATTTATGATGATTTTAAATTAGAATAAGACTCCAATAACTCGGTAATTATTATAGATATTGTTTTATGGGTTTTAATTATTATAGCGGAAAATCTAGAAAGATGAAGTTAATGAATCATTACAGGAATATAAAATATTTATGGGCTGCATTTTATAAGCACGTCAGAAGGAAATACTTAAGAACCTTTACAACAAAGAAATCTGTTTTAATTGTCAGTAGTCACGACACACAATGTAAAGATATAAGAGTTTCTTGTGTGTGAGAAAAGATAATTATTTACATTTATATGGGAGGTAAGGAAGGTATGGGCAGTTGGGAGACATGGGCACCCCCTTTTTATTCTGATTTGATTACACATTTAATTTTTGTCCTTGATTTGGTAGTTTACTTTACCGACTGACAGCACTGTTCATCCATAGACTATGAGTTGTCAAACACAAACACGTTTGAAGGTTATGCGCTCGAAAAAGTAAATATTTTGTTTGGGATTCGGATTGCAATAAAGAGAAAACTAATGAAAGGTATGTGTATTTCCTATTATTTATATATTGTATATTTACTAATTTATAAATTAAACTGAAATTCAAGCCTAAATACCTAGACTCAAAAAATTACCGGTAACCTAATTCGAAAATGTATAAAGAAGGAGCAATGGGAGCTTGGCGCGCGGGTGGTTTGGGCATGCCCAATGCTTCCTCCTATTATGTTCAGTTTAGTAGAATTTTTAATATAGCTAGTGTCCCTTTAGACGACATCAAAACTAAATTGCCAGTACCAAAGACATGCAATAAAACCAAACGTGGTAGCTCTAAGTACACATTTGATAGTCCTCTATGGGTTATACCCAATCTCAGACAAGTTAAGATACTATTTAAGATGTTTTTTATATTTTGTAAACTTTATTTTTGGTTTCTGTTATTCTTATAGTTTAATAATAGTTTATTTGTTAACTAATTTTTGAATTCCATTATGGATATAAAGTGATTTATAGGCTGTGCCCAAGCCTCCCACATGGTATGCCCAAGTCTCTCTACCATAGGGAGCATTGGGCACTTTTGACTTAGTTTATAAAATATCTCGTAGTGTAGAAACTGATTGTATTTTTTAAGAAAGCTCGTTAATTATATCTTGTCAAATGTGTGGCGCAATAAGAATTGGCAGTAAAAGTTGATTATCTATAAAATCTGATTTTTTATGCAATAAATAGTGGAAAAGTGCCCGTCCCTCCCCTACCTGCCCTACCAGCTGTCTATAAAATAATATTACAGCATGAATTTAATCGGTCAACATACTCATTACTAGGCATGTCACACGTAGATCGTAGATTTTAAAGCATTTATTTAACAGAATGTGTTTATTTCCAGGACACTCCATCTTCACCAAGAGCGCCAACATGGAAGCTCAGCGATGGAAACGTCATGCCGCGCTTTGGTCTTGGCACCTGGTTGGGTTTTATCCAAATGGTACTGTTTTAAATTGTTTTCTACTCAATACTGATCACTAGATTCCCGGAAATATTCAGAAACAATTTGTGACTCCCAATCACTTGTGATACAATAGATTTGTGTATGTTAATCATCCCTGGGTCCCGTTATTTTTAAACACACAGACTTTAAGGAAGAATATATTAAATTAAGCCATGTATTTTACCAAATATAAGCATGCTCATGACTCATGGATATTTTTATTAAATTCCAGGGTCCTAAAGAGGAAGTCCGTGGTGCAGTGGAAGCAGCCATCGACGCGGGCTATAGACTCATAGACACGGCCAGTTTTTACAATACAGAGGATGAAGTACGAATGATTTGATTGATGATTTGGTTCTGACTTCAAAACTAGGGACTTATAGGGAGTAATAAGACTAAATTTCTATATACTTTATGCAATTACATTCCATCCTTTTTCATATTTTTTTCATATAAAGGGTTAACCCTTTTTTATCTTCATCTTTTTTTTTGTCTTCTCATTCGTCTATAAATGTTGTATATGGCCATTTGTTACAGTGACCACTCTTCTTTCACACTATTTTCTGTTTGTCCTCATAAAACACTATCTGATTCTTTCTATATATAGCAATATATTTCTGGTTCTCCAACAGGTAGCGCTGGGACTGAAGAAGAAGATTGATGAGGGCGTCCTTAAAAGAGAGGAGATGTTCATCACGACTAAGGTCTGTTTCTCTGGAAATTTAACTCATTTTGATAGCACTAAAACGGAAATGTAGGTAATTAGCACAACATCTTAAATATATCTTTTCGAATTTTTGCAATGTTAAATGCAGAATGAGTAGCTACACATAGGAGATTTTGCATCTAATTAGTATTCCATTATCGTTGTCATGATAGAGTTTTAGAAATCAAACGTCAAGCGTCTTTCGGTATCCAGAGTGCAATAATTAGTAACCGCAATCCAGCGATCAATTTTTCATCAGGGTTTTGTGAGAAAAGGCTCAAGGACTATAAAATCAAACATGAAACCTCACTCTACCATTAAAGCGACTTTGGATTGGATTATAATGATGGATACGTTTGCGTCCAGTGCGGACATATTTATATTTGTATAAGAATTTTAAAGCGCCTTGTACTAATAGAGTTAACAGTTTATTGGCAACCAATACCCCCAAAAACCATGCGATCAAGGTTAATAAGTATTACGAACTCACGGGGAAAAGGTTCGTTGTAAATTTGTTTGCAGAAGAAGTAGGAGCGTGAGGTATAACAGCCAAATCTCTCTACAACCCACTGATAGACTTGAGCCAGTCTAGAAATAACCTCAGATCATTCTTGAAATGTGCGTCGAAGGCAGCCCTAGTCGATTTGTTTTAGATTTGGTTGGGTAGAGAAAAGAGTTTGGAAGGTGAGCATTTAACAAGCGTTAGATAGAGGCCTCTCAAACCTATACCTAAGTTGCAAGTCCCAGGCATATAGAAGCTGCTCTCCCTGCAAAGGTGAACCTGACACCCGCACCGTGAACCTTACAGGTTTCGTATTCGCTTACTCATTTATATCTTTAATATATAACCTTCTTTTTCGTCCAGCTGAGAAACGAGGCCCATCGTTATGAAGACGTGTTTCCAGAGCTCAACACTTCTCTTCAGAAACTAGAAGTGGATTATGTTGACCTGTACCTCATACATTTCCCTATTGCCACCGATGTGAGTAAAAATCAGCTCATTTTTAGAGTAAAATGTACCCCTTTTACTGATCTCTACTCTATTGATCAATTTGCTAATTCCCTCATTTTAATCAATTTTCAGTATAATGGGTCTGTCGTGGACGTCGACTACTTAGAGACCTGGCGTGGCATGATAGAGGCCCAGAAGCTAGGTCTCACGAACTCCATCGGAGTTGCTAACTTTAACATATCGCAGCTGCAAAGATTGATAGAAGAGACTGGAGTAACACCAGCAGTGCTTCAGGTTGAGGTATTTAAGAATATCCGCCCTTTAAACGTATCCAGCCGTAGATAGGATCATGATGAAAGTTTAAAACTCAATCATTCTTTTGCAGGTCAATCTTAACATACAACAATCTGAGATCCGGGAATACTGCAAGGCTCACAACATCGTCGTCATGGGCTACACTCCCTTCGGATCCATCTTCCCCCAGAGGGCTGCAGCGAACGCTCCTCCTCCGAGGGTTGATGACGAGCAGCTTGTTCGTATTGCTAAGAAACACAACAAGACTGTCCCGCAAGTGGTGCTCAGATACCTGGTGAGTATCAGACATCTTGCAATATACATAGTTTGTAAAAATAGATTTTACTTAATTCAACATTTTTAACAAATGTTTCAGTTTGAGCTAGAAGTGGTGCCGATTCCTAAATCCGTAAAGAAGGAGCGAGTGGAGGAGAACATTGACATCTTCGACTTTGAGCTGACTCCAGAAGAGAGGGACCTGCTCAAGAGTTACGACGTTAACTATAGGACTATAGACGTCCCTTGGTTGAAAGACTCTCCGTATTATCCGTTTTAAAAAATGGATTAAATATAAAAGAATTTTAAACACTTGTAGTAATATATTAATTTGTGTTTTGGAGACTGTGTTTTGGAAATTCATTGTTCAGAGTGATCTTTATTGTCGAATTAATTTTATGTAGAATTTTGTAAGCAACAGCGTATGAGACTGGTATAATTGGTGAATAATCATAATGTTACTTTTCTTATAATTTTTTTCAGTACTAGTTCAATATATATACATATATGTAACTAAATAATGTCTTTATAATTTTGTTTTGTTACTCTTGCAGTTTATTTAATTTTGTTTTTGACGCTGTTCCCCATATATAAATAAGGTATGTTGAATGAGAAATAGCCAGAATTATACCGAAAGGCACCAAGAAACGATCTGAGTGTTGTCATGACATAATTAATTTGAGGGCTCCATGTTAAGTTGTGGTCAATTCTCAGACTGAGATATTTTTACTCCTTTTTCTCTGTCAATCCCCTGCCATCTATTAATGTTTGATAGTTTCCGACTGTTTATGTTTTTGGCTTAAAAATACAGTAAAAGGTCTTAGACATATTTATTGTAAGTTATAACAGAACCAATCAAAGACAGTGTTCAAAACCTCTTGTGCCTGAGTGATAATCACGTCCATGAAATGTCCAAAGTAAAAAAGACAAGTATTATCGGCATAAAGTGTTAATATAGTTTTGATATGGATTTTTATCGCTTTGAGTGTCATTTATTTTTATAACTTGATACCTATCACTAAGGTAGGATTTTAACATTTTAAGGGCTATACTCGTTATTTAAATTTTTTGTAGTAAAATTTGTGACTGACGGTGTCAGACACTTTTTGCAGGTCAATGAAGACTCCCATAATAATCCTTTGACAATCTAAGTTAGTTTTTATTTCAGTATCTAAATCTAAAGTGGCCGCTAAGGTGTTTGAGTAAGGTCTAAAAGAAGAAGTATGTTTATTAAATTATAATTTAGATAGAAGCAATTAATAATGATTAATACAGACTACATAAACATAGAACAGCGATGTATAACATTGAAGATGTTTAACATGAGTCTTGAATAACTTAAACATCTGTTGGTAATTAAAATGATTATAATACTTATGAAACTTCTTCTTCTTCCTGGCAATTTCCCAGCTTTAGCCAGGGTCTGCCGTACATGTTGTAAATAGTTTTGGCTAATTGTTTTTACGACCGCCCGCCTGCCTGACCTCAACCCTCTTTGGGAATGCATTAATCACCACGCTTGCTCAAGACGGGTCGGTGATTCTTTTCAAACTTATAATTGTGAAATTATAAGTCCAGGTTTCCTCAAGATATTTTCCTTCACCGTCAGTCAGTGGTGTCTAAATACTCTTAGAAAGTACATATGACTGGGAAAAATCACATTGGTACCTGTCCGGTTTCGAACCCGCTACCTCATGCTTGAGAGGCGGGACCTTAACCACTAGGCTACCACTGACTATTGAAACTATTATAATAATATTAAATAGACAGGGCCTATATAATAATTAAAAACACATTATATGCGTGATTGGTTTTTGACATGGTCTGAAAGACTAGGAGTGATGGTTCAAGAGATATGAAATTAGTAAAGGTTTGTTTGTTATTTTAACCATTTTAAACAGACAGGGCCTATATAAAATTAAATTGGCCATCTGTGTGATTGATTTTAGACATGGTCTGACGATGTAGGAGTGAGGGTTCAAGAAATAAAGATATGTGAAAATTTTAAATTTGTGTTTTTTTAAAGTGTCATGAATTACCTTACTATTTCCTCAATTACAGCTGAGACTATATATTTATATGTATATATATATATAGATATATATATATATAGATATATATATATATATAGATATATATATATATAGATATATATATATATATATAGATATATATATATATATGCGTGATACGTATAGTAGCCATGTGCCGAGGTCAAAGTGTAACATGCTGTTGCAGACAATGGGCTTCATTGTAGGAACTTCTCCGCAAGAGAAAATTTAGAGAGTAACAAATTTCATAATAATTAAACGTAGATTCGTCCTAAACTATAAATAATTTAATCGTTACATAGAGTTTCGTGACTTAGGCTATTTCAAATTGGAATTTTTTTATGAGTAAGTTAGTTCAGATCCTAGTTACTCAAAAACTTTGCGTCTGAGCGTTCAGTACCAATGACGAAGGACGGGTTTCCATTTTGAGGAAAAGATAGTCTTTACTCAAAATTGACACTTGTTTATTGCTAACAAATTCTTACAATAAATGTCAAGAATTGTATAGCAGAGATCCTACCAGTGTGGCTCCTAAAAGCTAACATTATAGAATGAATTCAATACGATTATGTTTGGATTATTATCTGATAAATTCTATATATCAATTGTGGTTACTTGAACAAAACTAATCACCTGATGTATTACCGGAATTATTTAGGTCAATCAAATGGGTAATTTGAAAACAATTATATTGAACACAAAAACACACAAAACACGAAAAAATTTTATGATTGGAATGGTGAATGCAAGTGAATATGAACAGATTAATTTGTATATTTCAGAAGTTAATTTAAGAATGAGATGCAATATACAAAAGATGCGAACAATTTGCTCCAATGTTGGTATTTGAAATAAATTAATTTTTACAAGTTTTTAAAATTCTTTTATATTTAATCCATTTTTTTTAAAACGGATAATACGGAGAGTCCTTCCACCAGGCGAAGGGTAAAGTCCTATAGTTAACGTCGTAACTCTTGAGCAGGTCCCTCTCTTCTGGAGTCAGCTCAAAGTCAAAGATATCAATGTTCTCCTCCACCCGCTCCTTCTTCACGGATTTAGGAATCGGAACCACTTCTAGCTCAAACTGAAACATTTGTTAAAAATGTTGATTAGATATAGTATGTACAAACAAACAAAAATCAATTTTTACAAACTATATTATTAGTTGTAAGATACTCACTAGGTATCTGAGCACCACTTGCGGGACAGTCTTGTTGTATTTCTTAGCAATACGAACGAGCTGCTCGTCATCAACCCTCGGAGGAGGAGCGTTCGCTGCAGCCCTCTGGGGGAAGATGGATCCGAAGGGAGTGTAGCCCATGACGACGATGTTGTGAGCCTTGCAGAATTCCCGGATCTCAGATTGTTGTATGTTAAGATTGACCTGCAAAAGAATGATTGAGTTTTGAACCTTCATCATGATCCTGTCTACGGCTGGAAATGTTTAAAGGCCGGATATTTTTATATACCTCGACCTGAAGCACTGCTGGTGTTACGCCCGTCTCTTCTATCAATCTTTGCAGCTGCGATATGTTAAAGTTAGAAACCCCGATGGAGTTCGTGAGACCTAGCTTCTGGGCCTCTATCATGCCACGCCAGGTCTCTAAGTAGTCTACGTCCACGACGGACCAATTAGACTGAAAATTGATTAAAATGAAAGAACTAGAAGACTGATCAGTGGAGTATATATCAATAAAAAGAGTGAATTTAAATTTAATTTTACTCTGATGAAATGCAATCTGATATTAAGACAAAACAGAGCTGCTTTTTACTCACATCGGTGGCAATTGGGAAATGTATGAGGTACAGGTCAACGTAATCCACCTCTAGCTTCTGGAGGGAGTTTTTGAGAGCGGGTAACACGTCTTCATAACGATGGGCGTCGTTCCACAGCTGGAGGAGAAACGAGGTTATATTTAGTTAAGATATAAATGAATAAGACACGACGAAACCTCTAAGGATTCATTGTGCGGGTTTTGGATCTATTTTTGCAGGGAGAGGAACTTCAATAGTGCCTGGGACTTATGACCCAGGTGTAGGTTTAAGGAGATCCTATTTAATGCACGTTAAACGCTCACCTCCGCCGTCCAAGTTCCTCTCTCTGCCTAACTGACACTTGTCAGTCTACGTTGAAGCAGTAAAGTGTGTGCCACGAGTTCATTGTTTTATTTCATTATTACTCATAAATATAACAATTTGGCGCATAATATTCGCGCATAATGTTACAGCAGTCCGATCAGAAGGAACATCTACAAGTATATATGTACTTTATGAATCACTCAGTTACCTCTGAGCCATGAAAGTATCTTAAAACGATTACGACGTATTCATCAAAGCTTTATAAAAGTCATTTAAATAAGAATAGCCAGTGGAGATTCAATCACTTTTATTCTTCTTCTACCTAGCAATTTCCCAGCTTTAGCCAGGGTCTGCCCTAAATTTTATTTATTTTTATTCAATCATTTTTCTTATTATTTGAAAACAACAAACAATGGAAACAAAATAACTTATTTGTGTGTACACAACTTGCTAACTAATTTACTCATAATACTTTTTATTAAAACCAATTACATTGCTTTTCTTTTAGTTCAATCTCAACTGGTCACATACCTTGACTTTATACTTATTTTAATTTTATTATCAAACGACAATATTGAAAATATAGTCGTAGCTAATTTTAATCACAAGCACAGAGCTCACAGCTATAATTTTTCATAATTCTTTAATAAATTAATCCACTGTTTACTAATTAAAACTTATTCACTTGCGCTTAGAAAGACAAATATTCAATAATAATGAAATGGCGAAAAAATATCAGAACTGTTTACCGACCAATCAGAGAGCCCCGTTTCATTTGACAATTAATGGACTTTCTGCGAAATTTTAAACAATACAAAAAAATTATCAGTGCCCTATGCATGTGTTATACCCTATGCATGTGTTAGTTTTACAGACACACATACAAACATATCCTTCATACATACACGAGAATTGTAGATCGTCCTTGAGAATTTTTGTATGGAAAATAAGCAGAGAGTGGTTGTGCATACCGCCGCTCTGGCTGCTAGCAGTTAGCAGCGGCCGATCGAAAATATTTCATTTTTAAATTGATAGAGAGCACTTTATAACAAATCATGAATCAAATGTATTTTAAATGTCTGCTAACGTTTGTATTTCGTAAAGTATGATTAAAAGTATGCAAGTAAGAATTAAACAATATAGGTTTAGTTGTTATATGCGTAGGGAATGCAGTGCTTATTTGTATCTATGGCGTGCAAGCCACTGCTCATTACATACCTTTCTGTTTTAGTGATATCAAAATAAGTTAAAGTTCCAGAGAAACAGACCTTAGTCGTGATGAACATCTCCTCTCTTTTAACGACGCCCTCATCAATCTTCTTCTTCAGTCCCAGCGCTACCTGTTGGAGAACCAGAAATGTATTGCAATATATAGAAGGAATCAGATAGTGTTTTATGAGGATAATGTGTTTTATAACAAAAAAAAAACAGTGTGCAAGAAGAGTGATCACTAAAACGAATAGCCATCTACAACATTTATAGAGGAATGAGAAAAAAAACAGAATGAAGATAGAAAAACAGTTAAGGAAGAAATTGGAAAAAATTTGGAATGGAATTGCATAAATTTTCAATAAAGCATAATGAAATTTGATCTTACTATCCCCATTTTACTCTCTTTAAGTCTCTAGACTTGGTCATATATTGCAAATTTTATTATACAGCCTAGTTTCTGCTGTCAGAACCAATTCCACAATCAAGTCATTCATACTTGTTCCTCTGTGATGTAAATGCTAGCCGTGTCTATGAGTCTGTAGCCCGCGTCGATGGCTGCTTCCACTGCACCATGGACTTCCTCTTTAGGACCCTGGAATTCAATAAAAATATCCACGACTCATGAGCGCGCTTGTACTTCTTAAAATACGAAGCTTAATTTTATATTTTCTCCTTAAAGTCTGTGAGTCTAAAAATGTCGGGACCCAGCGATGAGTAACACACAATTTGATTGTTTTATAAGTGATTGGGAGTCACAAATTGTTTCTGATTAATTCCGCCAAGCAAGTGAGTAGTGTTGACTAGAAAATACTACAAATTAAAACAGTACCATTGGAACTAAACCCAACCAGGTGCCAAGACCAAAGCGCGGCATGACGTTTCCATCGCTGAGCTTCCATGTTGGCGCTCTTGGTGAAGATGGAGTGTCCTGGAAATAAACACATGCTGTTAAATAAATGCTCCATGATCTATAATTACGTTTGCCGATTAAATCCAGGCTGTAATATTGTTTTATAGACAGCTGGTATAGATATAAATAATTATCTTTTCACACACATAAGGATCAGTTATATCTTTACATTGTGTGTCGTGACTACAGACAATTAGAACAGAATCTTTGTTATAAAGGTACTTAGATGAACACATTAAAAATAGTTGTAAACTATTTCCTTATGGCGTGCTTATAAAATGCAGCCCATAAATATTTTATATTCCTGTAATGATTCATTAATTTCATTGTTCTAGATTTTCCGCTATTATAATTAAAACCCATAAAACAATATCTATAATTACCGAGTCATTTAAAAGTTTTATTATAATTTACAATCATCATAAATATCAAATGTATACAGTGGCGGCGTAAGGCGTGGGCGACGAGGGCCATCGCCTACGGCCTCGCGATACAAGGGGCTCGCGCCTCAAAAAATTTTAAAGCGAAAATTTAAAAAAATCTTCTTCTTCTTCTTCCTGGCAATTTCCCAACTATAACCAGGGTCTGCCTTACATGTTGTGAATAGTTTTGGCTATTTGTTTTTACGACTGGTCGCCTGCCTGACATCAACCTTTTTTGGGAATCAGAATTAATTAAACCTATTTTGATAAGAATAGTGTATTCAATGTTTTAATAATATTTAGCGAATAAATAGATAGTGTTTAAGTATATTGATTGCCCCGAAAACAGTGACGTTTTTTAATTGTTTTTGTTTTCTTTGTGATTTGAAATACATCGGTACCTGTACTCGTCTATCTAGCTATTTAGCTGAAAATTGGTAGGGAGGTAGTTTAGAGCCAGGAAAATTACATAGGATACTTTTTATCCCGTTCGACAGCATTCCCGTGTGACTTGAAATGCAACGTCAGTCCCTATAAAACGTGGTATAACAAAAAATAATCAGACTTGGAATAACAAAACGCAATTGACAGAAACGTATGGATGACAATTAGATATTTGTAAGAAATCTATATACCTATGTATATAAAAATGAATTGCTCTTCTTGAGTCTCGAATATATATCTCTCTTTTAAAATTAGAGAACGGCTGAACGGATTTATCTTATCTTAGTCTTGAAATGTTCGTGAGGTTTAGGGAAGGTTTAAAACTGAACAAAATTGATTCATTCGGGAAAACCCTAAAAACAGCCCTTTTCGATTTCCCATACAAACGTTTTTTTTGACATTAGATTTGACAATTAATTAATATGTCAATCATTCTGTCGCACTTCAAAACGCGAAGATTTATGGCTTACAGGTAAACTCCAAAAATAGAAATAAAAACACATAACAGATATTTCTTGATTATAGAGCGATACGAAGTTCGCTGTGTCTTCTACTAGTTTTATATAAAGTAAGAAATATTTAATTGGTAATAAGTATGTATTACGCAGTAATTACTTTTATATAAAATACGCTTTATAATATCTTTTGAAGGAAACTAAAGCTTTAAGGGTAAAAAACGTATCTCCATTTAAGTTTTTAAAACTAGCAGGTAGTAAGAGCTTCAGGTTGCCATAGAATAGAGCCTCGCGAAATCTGTCTTGCCCACATCAAATTTAGGTCTTGCCCCGCCACTGAATGTATATAAACATATAACACAACCCGTCTTCGCTTGTTTAGTGTACATGGGTAAATTATTATGAATAAATATGTACTAAAACATTTTGTGCACTTAGGTAGAATTTATGTGACTGGCTGTAGTAGGTGGTAGAGCCCAGCTGTGGTCAAGTAACTACAGTTCGAATATGGGCTGGCTCGACCGAACAAGGACCACTCTCTCACAGAAGATCGGCGTGATGTAGTCTTTAATGTGAATGAGAGAGTCGGTTTCCCTTTCCTTGTTCCCTACCCTTTCTCTGCCATTTCCTTATTCCCACCCTTCCTTCTCCCTAGATAACCAAAGTCCCTTCCTAGATAACCAAACGCAACAACCCTTATGTTGCAGTATGGTTGATGAGATGATGTGATAAAAAAAACTCTAAAACCCACCTTAGAGATAGTAAAAAGATTAAACGAATCTTCTTCGTGATATGTTACAAATAATAATTGATTAGCGAAACTATTGTTGTCACCAGAAAAAGAAGAAAAAAGCTTATTCTGTTCCTGATACCCTAAATATCATTGAGATATAATTTTAATAATTAATTTAAAAATAAGCATTAATTTGTTTTTAATTGGAACAGACAAGTTTGCTTAAATATAAAACATATCAATATATTAAATAACAAATGTAACACTGAAGGGAAAAATGTAATCCCTGATTTGAAACTATTGTTTTACGTTGGAACGAAGTTAATAACGAACGAAAGAAATATTTATTGATATGTAATGAAATAAAACAGTTTTTTTAATATATCATTTCCACTGTAATTTTGTTTGTCTTTGATAGTTTTTCAAATAATTAGGTTTTAATATTAAAATATAAAACTGTGTGCTCGTGTCCCGTAACCCTTATACCGTTTGAGTTTTCATAATGAACATGATCGCTGTAACAGTGTGTAATGTTAAACTCGTTACTGTAATGACGAAATTAAACATACTTATAGCCTTAGTACAAGTCTCCATCTTCACACGACGTACTGAGAGTTTCACGTTTCTCATTCAAACTATATTAGGGGCCATCCATAAAATACGTCACACTAATTTCATGAGTTTTTGAGCCCTCCCCCGTCCTTGTCACAGGTGGTCACATTTCTGAGCCCCCCCCTTTCCCTAGTGTGACGTCACATGTTTTGCAATTTAACATCGAAAAATTATTAAATTAAAACAGCAGTTCCGAAATTAGTTTTATTTCCATTTAAAATAAGTACTTTTTTAAGAAATCAACATAGTATCAAATATTTGAAATAATAAATAAACTAAGGAATATATACAAGGTGACTGGTGAATTACTATCGATACTTGAGGACGTGATATTTGACGATTATATAAGACAAAATAAAAATTAATATAACATAAATATTAATAAACTTCTAAGTAAAGTTAACCAAAAGTTATGTAATTCATTACGTATCGTGTGAACACCCTACAGATTAGGTATACACACACACACACACGCGCGTTTGGCGGCGTGGTGTTGTATCAGCACGCCGCCGCACGCGTCCACACTTGGAACACTTGGAACGTGTCCTCACTTTATTTATTTATACGGAAATTTAGTCAAAAATTAAGTACCTTTTTTTTACATAATTCGAATGAGAATCATATACCGAGTATTCTCCTTAAATATTGATAGTAATTCACCAGTCACCCTGTATATATAAGTATATGTGATGACGCGCTCAGTTTTAAAGATTTTAATTAATATTTCAAATTACGCGATTACATACAACTACATTTTGAAATGTGATGTCACGAAACTTAGGACCCCTCCCACCCCTTGTCACACCATGTCACACTTTGTCGACCCCCTCCCACCCCCTTTACGTGTGACGTACTTTATGGATGGCCCCTTAGTACTATGATTTGACGAGATTAATGAATGAGAAACTGTGAACGACCCGTATGTCGTGTGACGATGGACACTTGGAGTAAGGATAGTGTAAATATCGACCAATTTAATTGTGGAACTGAACTCATTCAATGAGGAACTTTATGAAACAAGAAGTTTAGTAGCTTCATGATTGATTTGAGTGAAGGAAAATGATTTCTTTCAATATATTATTTTTAAAAGTATTTTAAAATATATTCCAAAAAGAATAATATCAAATATATCAAAAAAGTTGTGTATTAGTTTCTATCAAATGTGTAGTAGTAATACATTGCTGTGTTATAATGGCCACGTTCAGCTCCCTCACCTTCCCGAGGACCGATGTAACACACAGCAGCAGGTGGAGCCACTTCATCGTCACTGAACACGACTGACTCGTCTCCTCACGTCCTCACACTGAGCTGGCTGTACTCCGACACCTTCACTTGTAGCGCTACTAAGTTTATGACCTCTTTATTTTATTTTATTAACTATTTTATACTCGTACTAACATTAATTAGACTATATTTATTATATTTCGTTTTATTTTAGACTGGTACCGAGCTGAGAAAAGAGCAATAAAGTTTGCAGTGCTGAGAATTTTGAGGGAATCCAGTGATCATCACACTGATTGTTATTTTGGCATTGTAAATGCACTCGGAAGTAAAAATTCAAAGAAAACATTTTATCCTGATCTACCATCAACATCCGCTCCAACACCACATACAGAAGAAACTCCTGTATCTGTTCCTCCTTTGTTGGGAAATCAACTACTTCTCAAGCCAGCCATCAATCTCGGAGTTCATCTGTATCCGTACTTCAAATATTTGAAGAGTTTTTTTCCAATACTTTCAGAGGCGAAAATAAAAGCTGGAATCTTTGTAGGTCCACAAGTAAAAACAAATTATGAATTGTGATATTTTCCTGGAGTTACTTAACAATGAAGTGGAAAAAGCCTAGAACAGTTTTAAGGCAGTAGTTCATGGTTTTCTTGGTAAAATTATGAAGAGCTGCTCACTGACATGATTACTAATTTGTCATCATAAGATGTAGAATGTCTGTAAAAATGCATATGTTACATTCTCATTTGGATGAATTTAAAGATAATATACTAGCTTATGCGGAAGAACAAGGGGAACGCTTCCATCAAGATATAATGGAATTTGAGAGACGGTACAAAGAACAGTATACTGAAAGCATGATCGGAGATTATGTTTGGGGTTTAATAAGAGAAACTTCTACTGAACATGACAGGAAAAATAAACCTGTTCATTTTTAAACATCGTTACACTCTTTTAAACTTATATTGTAAAAAATAACTTAAATGGATGTTCGGTATCTTTTAATAAATCATATCTATGTCCATTTTTAATGTTGTTTTATTAATTTTAATTTTCCCCATTTTTAAAAGCAAATTCAGAACTATTTTTGCTCTTATTCTTAATTCTAGATAAAAAAAAGCAATAAGATTGGTTACGTTTAACCAATGTAATGCATTATCAGACACAATTAACGATTGTATTTTATAGTTTCATAATCAAGTGTTATGAAATTACAATATATTTAAGAATATGAAGAAGAAGAAGTTGGGTAGTAATATGTCTGCATGTTTAAGACTGCAAATGATTATGATAGGCCTGGTCCATGCACGTGAATATGAATAGATTATTATGTTTGTCTCAGAAGTTAATTTAAGAATGAGATGCAATATACTAAAGATGCGAACAACTTGCTTCAATGTTTATATTTGATATTTATACATTTTTATAATTAATCCATTATTTAAAACGGATAATACGGAGAGTCCTTCCACCAGGCGACGGTTAAAGTCCTATAGTTAACGTCGTAACTCTTGAGCAGGTCCCTCTCTTCTGGAGTCAGCTCAAAGTCAAAGATATCAATGTTCTCCTCCACTCGCTCCTTCTTCACGGATTTAGGAATCGGCACCACTTCTAGCTCAAACTGAAACATTTGTTAAAAATGTTGATAAGGTATAGTAGAAACAAACAAAACTATTTTTTTACAAACTATATTATAAGATGTCTGATACTCACCAGGTATCTGAGCACCACTTGCGGGACAGTCTTGTTGTATTTCTTAGCAATACGAACAAGCTGCTCGTCATCAACCCTCGGAGGAGGAGCGTTCGCTGCAGCCTTCTGGGGGAAGATGGATCCGAAGGGAGTGTAGCCCATGACGACGATATTGTGAGCCTTGCAGTATGCCCGGATCTCAGATTGTTGTATGTTAAGATTGACCTGCAAAAGAATGATTGAGTTTTGAACTTGCATCATGATCCTATCTACGGCTGGAAATGTTTAAAGGGTGGATATTTTTATATACCTCAACCTGAAGCACTGCTGGTGTTACGCCCGTCTCTTCTATCAATCTTTGCAGCTGCGATATGTTAAAGTTAGAAACCCCGATGGAGTTCGTGAGACCTAGCTTCTGGGCCTCTATCATGCCACGCCAGGTCTCTAAGTAGTCGACGTCCACGGCGGAGCCATTAGACTGAAAATTGATTAAAATGAAGGAACTAGAAGATTGATCAGTAAAGTAGAGATCAGTAAAAAGGGTCATTTTAAAATAAATTTTACTCTAACGAAATGCAATCTGATACTAACTCAAAAACAACCTGATTTTTACTCACATTGATGGCGATAGGGAAGTGCATGAGGTACAGGTCAAGGTAATCCAGCTCTAGCTTCTGGAGAGAGTTGTTCAGCGCGGGTAACACGTCTTCATAACGATGGGCGTCGTTCCACAGCTGGAGGTGAAACGAGGTTATATTTATTAAAGATATAAATGAGTAAGAGACAGTCAGTGGTGGCTCAGTGGTTAAAGGGCCCGCCTCTCGTCCTCGAGGGCGCGGGTTCGATCCTGGCCCGGGCAAGTACCAATGTGATTTTTCCGAATCATATGTACTTTCTAAGAATATTTAGACATCACTGATTAATGTTGATTCCCAAAAAAAAGAGGGTTGATGTCAGGCAGGCGGCCGGTCGTAAAAACAATTAGCCAAAACTATTCACAACATGTAAGGCAGACCCTGGCTAAAGCTGGGAATTTGCCAGGTAGGAGATAAATGAGTAAGAGACGACGAAACCTCTAAGGATTTACCGTGCGGGTGTCAGATCCATCGCGTTGCAGGGAGAGGAGCTTCAACAGTGCCTGGGACTTTTGATCCAGGTGTAGGTTTGAGAAGCCTCTATCTAATCTAACTTGAAACGAACCTACTAGGCCTGCCTTAGACGCACATTTCCATAATGAACTGCTGTTAGTTTTTGACAAGCTGTGTTTAAGTAGGTTGTAAGTCATTACCTACCTTTCTGTTTTAGTGATATCAAAATCAGTTAAAGTTGCAGAGAAACAGACCTTAGTCGTGATGAACATCTCCTCTCTCTTAACGACACCCTCATCAATCTTCTTCTTCAGTCCCAGCGCTACCTGTTGGAGAAACAGAAATGTATTGCGATTTATAGAAGGAATCAGAGTGGAAGTAATCATAGTGTTTCGGGAGGACAAAAAAAGTGTGAAATAAGAGTAATCACTGTAACAAATTGCCATATATAACATCTATAATGGTTTGTTCTTTTGATGAGATCTAACAAAAAGGTAAGAGAAAGGTAAAAAAAGTATTTAGTTAAAAATTTTAAAGGAATATTATGAATTTTCCACAATATATAATGGAATATAATCTTATTATCCCCTTTTTACTCCCTATATGACCCTTGACTTGGTCGCATATTGCAAATTATTATACAGTCTAGTTTCTGCTGCCAGAACCAAATCCACAATCAAGTCATTCGTACTTCATCCTCTGTTTTGTAAAAACTGGCCGTGTCTACGAGTCTATAGCCCGCGTCGATGGCTGCTTCCACTGCACCACGAACTTCCTCTTTAGGACCCTGGAATTTAACAAAAATATCCATGAGTCATGAGCGCGCTTGATCTTCTTAAACTACAAAGCTTAATTTTATATATTCTCCATAAAGTCTGTGAGTCTAAAAATGTCGGGACCCAGAGATGAGTAACACACAATTTGATTGTTTTATAAGTGATTATTTTATAGCTTTTGCCCGCGACTTCGTCCGCGTGGAATAGTGATTTCCGGCAGATTTTTGGTTCTTCCCACATAGTTACCGTTCTTGCGGGGTTTTCGGAATGGTCGAGTTCCCGTAGAATTTTCAGGATAAAACCTATGTTTTTTTTTTATTTACAATGAAGTACTCTTAACCAACAACATATTTATTTGTTTATTTGAATAAATAAATAAAATATTATTATGTTGATACAACTTAAACATATTATTTCGACCGATCGATACTGTCAGAGACTGTTTTTTAGATCATTAAAAGAGCTATTATTCTTTAATACATATTTTTTGTGTATCTTGAACCGTTTTCACGGAGCACGCAACGGAACGCTTCAAAGATGAAATAATTTCTCCCGTTTTTTACACATTTACCACTATATCCTTGCTCCTATTGGTCGTAGCGTGATGTTATATAGCCCGCAGCCTTCCTCGATAACTAGACTATCCAACACAAAAAGAATTATTCAATTCGAACCAGTAGTTTCGGAGATTAGCGCTTTCAAACAAACAAACAAACAAACAAACTCTTCAGCTTTATAATATTAGTATAGATTGTAATCTTTAAAGTTTTTTGTTGAAATTAAGTTAGTTCAGCTACGCACAATCGACATCGCAACGCGATGCAGCGAATTGCTTAGTTAGTTTAAGTTACAAAATTTTTTAAACTCGCTATATATTTTGAATGGAGAATCTGATTAAAATAATTTAAACAGCAATATAAAGGTATTTAACTACTGTTAAATAAAAAGTAAGTTATTTAGATAAGTATAAATACCATGGTATGAATATCGACATCTTATTTCCGTTGCCGATTTAAATAGTTTGTTAAACTATAAAAGTTTTTATATTGGCGTAACTATAATACTTAGATATACACTCCCGCGGACTTTCCTGTAGATAATAATGCGGTCAACAAAATCGTACTACATTATTTTGCTCCATCATCAATAGTTATTGCAGCGCACGCGATTTAAGGTATTTCAATAGTGATTTTTATCGACCGTGGTTTATGTTATCGAAGTTTTCGCAAGGATCCCTAATTTTTTTCAAAATAAAATATAGCCTATGTTACTTTGGAAAGATGTACAATCATAATGATGAAAGAATTTTTAAAATCGGTCCAGTAGTTTATGAGCCTATTCGTAACAAATAAACAAACAAAAAATATTACCTCTTTATAATATTAGTTTAGATTGGGAGTCACAAATTGTTTCTGATTAATTTCGCCAAGCAAGTGAGTAGTACTAAGTAGAAAATACTGCAAATTAAAATAGTACCTTTGGAATTAAACCTAATGAGGTACCAAGACCAAAGCGCGGCATGACGTTTCCATCGCTGAGCTTCCATGTTGGCGCTCTTGGTGAAGATGGAGTGTCCTGGAAATAAACACATGCTGTTAAATTAATGCTCCATGATCTAAATTCAGGCTGTAATATTGTTTTATAGACAGCGGGTATAGATATAAATAATTATCTTTTCACACACATAAGGATCAGTTATATCTTTACATTGTGTGTCGTGACTACGGACAATTAGAACAGATATCTTTGTTATAAAGGTACTTAGATGAACACATTAAAAATAAATGAAAAGTATTTCCTTATGGCGTGCTTAAAAAATGCAGCCCATAAATATTTTATATTCCTGTAATGATTCATTAACTTCATCTTTCTAGATTTTCCGCTATAATAATTAAAACCCATAAAACAATATCTATAATTGCCGAGTCATTTAAAAGTCTTTTTATAATTTACAATCATCATAAATATCAAATGTATATAAACATATAACACAACCCGTCTTCGCTTGTTTTCCTTACGTACATTGTTATGAAGAAGTATTAAAACATTTTGTCCACTTGGTAGAATTTAAGTGACTGTCTGTAGTAGGTGGTAGAGCTTAGCTGTGGTCAAGTACTACATTTCGAACATGGGCTGTCTTGACAAAACAAGTACCACCCTCTCATGAAGATCGGCGTGATGTAGTCTTTAATGTGAATGAGAGAGCCGGTTTTCCTTTCCCTATTCCCTTCCTTTGTCTTCCTAAACAACCAAAGTCGGTAACGCATCCGCAACATCCCTTATGTTGCACTGTGGTTGACGAGATGATGTGATAAAAAAATCGATTTAAAAAACCTCAAAAACTCACCTCCTAGAATCTTGATAGTATAAAGATTAAACGGATCTTTTCCATGATATGTAACAAATAATTAATTAGCGAAACTATTGTTGTCACCAGAATAATGAACAGACAAACGTATTCTGTTACTCATACCGTAAATGTTATTCAATTGAATTATAATACTGATATTTAAAACAAACTTTTTACTTTTTTTGTTAAACCCAAGGTTGAAGCTTTAACAAGCATTAGGATCTTTTATATTCTGTCTTTTGGTTTTAATATTAAAATATCAAACTGTGAGCTCGTGTCCCGTAACCCTTACACCGTTTGAGTTTTCATAATGAACATGATCGCTGTAACAGTGTGTAATGTTAAACTCGTTACTGTAATGACGAAATTAACCATACTTATAGCCTTAGTACAAGTCTCCATCTTCACACGACGTACTGAGAGTTTCACGTTTCTCATTCAAACTATATTAGTACTATGATTTGACAAGATTAATGAATGAGAAACTGTGAACGATCCGTATGTCGTGTGACGATGGAGACTTGGAGTAAGGATAGTGTAAATATCGACCAATTTAATTGTGGAACTGAACTCATTCAATGAGGAACTTTATGAAACAAGAAGTTTATGAACATGAAGAAAACTATATTTAATGTTTTAGTGATTTAAATGTAATTGAATGATTGATTTGAATGAAGGAAAATGATTTCATTCAAAATATTATTTTTAAAAGTATTTTAAATCATATTCCAAAGAGAATAATATCAAATATATCAAAATATTTGTGTATTAGTTTGTGTCAAATGTGTAGTAGTAATACATTGCCGTGTTATAATGTCCATGTTCATCTCCCTCACCTTCCCGAGGACCGATGTAACACACAGCAGCAGGTGGAGCCACTTCATCGTCACTGAACACGACTGACTCGTCTCCTCACGTCCTCACACTGAGCTGGTTGTACTCCGACACCTTCACTTGTAGCGCTACAAAGTTTATGACCTCTTTATTTTATTTTATTAACTATTTTATACTCGTACTAACATTAATTAGACTATATTTATTATATTTCGTTTTATTTAAGGCTGGTACCGAGCTGAGAAAAGAGCAATAAAGTTTGCAGTGCTGAGAATTTTGAGGGAACCCAGTGATCATCACACTGATTGTTATTTTGGCATTGTAAATCCACGCAGAAGTAAAAATTCAAAGAAAACATTTTATCCTGATCTACCATCAACACCCGCTCCAACACCACATACAGAAGAAACTCCTGTAGCTGTTCCTCCTTTGTTGTGAAATCAACTACTTCTCAAGCCAGCCATCAATCTCGGAGTTCATCTGTATCCGTACAATGCGAATTCGTTTTTGAATCTGAATCAAGAATGCCACACCTCATCGACTCTGAAGACTTAGAAAAAATAAAGCAGAGTTACTAGCATCGCGGTTAATACAATATTGAATGGGTAGTAATTGACGATTCTAAAACTATATTAATGCCGCCATTGCATATTAAATTGGGTCTTATTAAACAATTTGTAAACTTTTAAATATTTGAAGAGTTTTTTCCAATACTTTCAGAGACGAAAATAAAAGCTGGAATCTTTGTAGGTCCACAAGTAAAACCAAATTATGAATTGTGATATTTTCCTGGAGTTACTTAACAATGAAGTGGAAAAAGCCTAGAACCGTTTTAAGGCAGTAGTTCATGGTTTTCTTGGTAAAATTATGAAGAGCTGATCACTGACATGATTACGAATTTGTCATCATCAGATGTAGAACGTCTGTAAAAATGCATATGTTACATTCTCATTTGGATGAATTTAAAGATAATATACTAGCTTATGCGGAAGAACAAGGGGAACGCTTCCATCAAGATATAATGGAATTTGAGAGACGGTACACAGGCCAGTATACTGAAAGCATGATCGGTGATTATGTTTGGGGTTTAATAAGAGAAACTTCTACTGAACATGACAGGAAAAATAAAACTGTTCATTTTTAAACATCGTTACACTCTTTTAAACTTCTATTGTAAAAAAAACTTACATGGCTGTTCGGTATCTTTTAATAAATCATCTCTATGTCAATTTTTAATGTTTTTTCATTTATTTTAATTTTCCCCATTTTTAAACATAAAAGCAAATTGAGAACTATTTTTGTCCTTATTCTTATTTCTAGATATAAAAGCAATAAAAATAAGTTACGTTTAATCAGTGTAATACATTATAAGACAATATTAATGAGTGTATTTTATAGTTTCATAATTAATACTTATTAAATCAAAATATATTGAAGGTTAAGAAGAAGAAGTTAGGTAGTAATATGTCTGCACGTTTAAGACTGCAAATGATTATGATTGGCCTGGTCCATGCCCGTGAATATGAATAGATTATTATGTTTGTCTCAGAAGTTAATTTAAGAATGAGATGCAATATACTAAAGATGCGAAAAACTTGCTTCAATGTTTATATTTATATATTTTTTATGATTAATCCATTTTTTAAAACGGGTAATACGGAGAGTCCTTCCACCAGGCGACGGTTAAAGTCCTATAGTTGGCGTCGTAACTCTTGAGCAGGTCCCTCTCTTCTGGAGTCAGCTCAAAGTCGAAGATATCAAAGTTTTCTTCCACTCGCCCCTTCTTCACGGATTTAGGAATCGGAACCACTTCTAGCTCAAACTGAAACATTTGTTAAAAATGTTGATTAGGCATAATAGATACGAACAAAAGTCTATTTTTACAAACTATATTATAAGATGTCTGATACTCACCAGGTATCTGAGCACCACTTGCGGGACAGTCTTGTTGTGTTTCTTAGCAATACGAACAAGCTGCTCGTCATCAACCCTCGGAGGAGGAGCGTTCGCTGCAGCCCTCTGGGGGAAGATGGATCCGAAGGGAGTGTAGCCCATGACGACGATGTTGTGAGCCTTGCTGTATGCCCGGATCTCAGGTTGTTGTATGTTAAGATTGACCTGCAAAAGAATGATTGAGTTTGGAACTTGCATCATGATCCTATCTACGGCTGGATATGTTTAAGGGTGGATATTTTTATATACCTCGACCTGAAGCACTGCTGGTGTTACGCCCGTCTCTTCTATCAATCTTTGCAGCTGCGATATGTTAAAGTTAGCAACTCCGATGGAGTTCGTGAGACCTAGCTTCTGTGCCTCTATCATGCCACGCCAGGCCTCTAAATAGTCGACGTCCACGACGGAGCCATTAGTCTGAAAATGGATTAAAATGGAGAGCTAAGAGGATTGATCACTAAAAAGGGTAATTTTTAATTAAATTTTACTCTCATGAAATCCAATCTGATATTAAGACAAAAACAAGCTGATTTTTACTCACATTGATGGCGATAGGGAAGTGCAAGAGGTATAGGTCAAGATAATCCAGCTCTAGCTTCTGGAGAGAGTTGTTCAGTGCTGGTAACACGTCTTCATAACGATGGGCGTCGTTCCACAGCTGGAGGAGAAACGAGGTTATATTTAGTTAATATATAAATGAATAAGAGACGACGAAACCTCTAAGGATTCATTGTGCGGGTGTCGGGTCTATCTTTGCAGGGACAAGAGCTTCAATAGTGCCTGGGACTTATGACCCAGGTGTAGGTTTAAGGAGACCCTATTTAATGCACGTTAAACGCTCACCTCCGCCGTCCAAGTTCCTCTCTCAGCCTAAAAAAATTGGTTACGAACCTACTAGGGCTGCCTTGGACTTGGTAGGGAACCATCTAAAAGATGTCACCATTGCGTCTGTGAAGACGATACAGCGCAACACACTCTTGCGGAATGTTCAGCGTGGGAAGAACAGCGGAGAGAGCTTTGCAATGTCGTTGGTACAGACCTATCGCTGCCAACCATTATGCAAAAGATGGTTCGTCATACTGTAGCGTGGCAGGCGATGGCTTCTTTCTGTGAGAAAGTCATCTCACTGAAAGAAGCCGATGAAAGAGAACGGGAAAAGGCACCTTCCTCTGACCCGATAAGACGACGCCGTCCGGGACGAAGGCGGATAGCGCATGAGCGCCATCTCCCGCCTTAAGGGGCTTCCGGGTGGCGGACTTGGGGATGTCTGCCACCTCACGGTCTAAGGCCCCGCGAATGCTCAGTTTCCACCACTGACAACACGAAGGATCTAGATGAGTTGGAAATGTCCCTTTTGGGGCAGCCGTTGCTAAGCCACAGCAGAATCGCTCTGCGGGCCCTGTGGCTTAGCAAAAGAGCGGCGCGTGGGACACCCGTGGGGTTTTAGTCGGTAGTGCGTCCTTTTCAGGACGAGAGTCCGACATAACTCTCCTTGCTTTCTTCCCCAAGCAGGAGAGTATGCATGAAGCATTTCCCCACGATAAAAAAAAAAAAAAAAAAAAAAGGGCTGCCTTGGACACACGTTTCAAGAATGAACTTCTGTTAGTTCTTGACAAGTCTTTTAGTAGATTGTACACAGTAGGGTGCACAGAGTTTTGGATTAGGGTAAGCAGAATATAATGAGATCTAAGATTATCGCGAGTACTCATTTAAATGAAACTTATATTTTTATAATTTTCAACGGGCAGACGAGATTTCTGCCGTGATCACGGTTGCTGCAAAGTAATCGAAACGTCGGGAGTATGTAGTCTTTAAATAGAATAAAATACGCGAAGTAATCAGAAAATATTAATTTCATTTAAACATTGATAATATTCGCTCATAATGTTACAGCAGTCCGATCAGAACGAACATCTATATACTTTATGAATCACTCATTTACTTCAGAGTCACGAAAGTACTTTAAAACGATTACCATCTGTTCATCACAGCTTTATAAAAGTTATTAAAATATGAATATCCACTAGATATTCAAACATTTTTATTATTATTATTTGAAAACAACAAACAAGGCAAACAAAATAACTTATTTGTGTGTACACAACCTGCTAAGTAATTAAAACTATCATAATACTTTTTATTAAAACGAATAACATTACCTTTCTTTCAGTTCAATCTAAACTGGTCACACACCTTGACTTTATACTTATTTTATTTTCAAACGAAAATATTAAAAATCGACTCTTAACTAATTTCAATAATCACATATCACAAGCACAGAACTCACAGCTATAATTTTCCAAAATTCGTTAAAAAATTAATCCACTGTTTACTCATAAAATCTTTTTCACTTGCGCTTAGAAAGGCAAATGACAATATTCAATAATAATAAAATGGCCAAAAAAATATATGAACTGTTTACCAACCAATCATAGAGTCCCGTTTCATTTGATAATTAACGGACTTTCTACGACATTTTAAACATCACAAAAACAATTATCAGTGCTTCTCTAAACCTATGTATGTGTTAGTTTTACACCCACATACAAACATTTCCTGATTTGTAGATCGTCCTTGAGAATTTTTGAGTAGTTTAAATGTCTGTTAACGTTTGTATTTCGTAATGTATGATTAAAAGCATGCAAGTAAGAATTAAATAATATAAGTTTAGTTGTTATATGGGTAGGCTATGCAGTGGTGTCCACCCCAACGCTCATTACCTTTCTGTTTTAGTGATATCAAAATCAGTTAAAGTTGCAGAGAAACAGACCTTAGTCGTGATGAACATCTCCTCTCTCTTAACGACACCCTCATCAATCTTCTTCTTCAGTCCCAGCGCTACCTGTTGGAGAAACAGAAATATATTGTAATATATAGAAGGAATCAGATAGTGTTTTATGAGGACAATGTGTTTTATAACAAAAAAAAAACAGTGTGCAAGAAGAGTGATCACTAAAACGAATAGCCATCTACAACATTTATCGAGGAATGAGAAAAAAAACAGAATGAAGATAGAAAAACAGTTTAGGAAGAAATTGGAAAAAATTTGGAATGGAATTGCATAAATTTTCAATAAAGCATCTATAGACAATAAAGCATCTCTAGACTCGGTCATATATTGCAAATTTTATTATACAGCCTAGTTTCTGCTGTAAGAACCAATTCCACAATCAAGTCATTAATACTTGTTCCTCTGTGTTGTAAATGCTAGCCGTGTCTATGAGTCTGTAGCCTGCGTCGATGGCTGCTTCCACTGCACCATGGACTTCCTCTTTAGGACCCTGGGATTCAATAAAAATATCCATGACTCATGAGCGCGCTTGTACTTCTTAAAATACGAAGCTTAATTTTATATATTCTCCTTAAAGTCTATGAGTCTAAAAATGTCGGGACCCAGCGATGAGTAACACACAATTTGATTGTTTTATAAGTGATTGGAAGTCACAAATTGTTTCTGATTAATTCCGTCAAGCAAGTGAGTAGTATTGAGTAGAAAATACTGCAAATTAAAACAGTACCATTTCGATAAAACCCAACCAGGTGCCGAGACCAAAGCGCGGCATGACGTTTCCATCGCTGAGCTTCCATGTTGGCGCTCTTGCGGGAGATGGAGTGTCCTGGAAATAAACACATGCTGTTAAATAAATGCTCCATGATCTACAATCTTCATGGTACATGCCTTGTTCTGAGTATGTTGACCGATTAAATTCATGCTGTAATATTGTTTTATAGACAGCTGGTATAGATATAAATAATTATCTTTTCACACACATAAGAAACTCTTGAATCTTTACATTGTGTGTCGTGACTACGGGCAATTAGAACAGATATCTTTGTTGTAAAGGTACTTAGATGAATACATTAAAAATAAATGTAAAGTATTTCCTTATGGCGTACTTATAAAGTATAGTAAGACCAAGTATGTTTGTTACGTACGCGCTACATATAAAGAAATAAATGTACATATCCGGGGCGACATCTTTTTATGGTTAAAATATCATATAACGAGTGACGACGCTGACTCCGCGGAACCAACACCAAGCCGTGTGAACCAGAAGATTCCTGATACCACACAAGCTATGGAATGGTATTGCTATCCTAACATCACTACAATCATGTAGTCTTAGGTATAGGTTGTAAGTTTTAAAATGTAATTTTTATTATAATATCTAAATAAGTATGTTTCGTAGTTTTCATGGAACCTCTGGTTGCCACCCTATAAAATTTGTACTAAGACATTTTGCCTAGTTGGCTAGAATGTAAGTGACTGACTTAGTAGGTGTAGAGCCTCGCTGTGGTCAAATAACTACTTCTCGAACATGTGCTGTCTCGACAGGGGAAGTACCACCCTCTCACAGAAGATCGGCGTGAAGTAGTCTTTGATGGTTGCGTTTTGTTTGAAACTAAATAACCAAGAACCGATAAAGAACAACATCCGTTATGTTGCACATGTCTATGGGCGACGGTGACTACTGCCCACCAAGTAGGCCGTCTGCTCGTTTGTCATAAAAAAATATTAAATATACTACAAAGGTCTAAACATATGAACTTCCTTTCCAATTACGTTAAAGTACTAACTTATTCAACTGCACCTTGCATGCTGTCAGTATCTTTCCATATTATCGTTGAGCCCGTTTATAAATATATATACATACAAACATACATACATACATACATACATACATATGTGATAAATTTAATCAATTTTTAAAAAAAACCTCCAAAACTCACCTTCTAGAATCTAGATAGTATAAAGGTTAAACGGATCATTGTCAAATCAAATCAAATAAATAAATAATTGATTAGCGAAATTGACACCAATATAATGAACAAAAACACGTAATCTGTTACTAGAACCATTACTATTATAAGATTTAATTTTAATACTAATATAAAAAAAGCATTCATTTTTTTTTATAAAAACAATTATGTTTGTTAAATATTGAACTTATAAATATATTAAATAACAAACGTATCACTGAAGAGAAAAATGAAATCCCTGATTTGAAACTATTGTTTTACGTTGGAACGAAGTTTGCGGAGCCAGGAGGAACATTTAGAGTTCTGGCTTAACTTAAATATTTATTAATAATAACTATGAGACACCTTCAACACAATAGCTTTTTATTAAATCAATATTCGTGTAATAATTTGATATATAAAAAAAACTTGTTACTTTTTGTTAAACCCAAGGTTGAAGTTTTTTGTAAGCATTTCGATCTTTTATATTCTGTCCGTGGTCAGGATGTTGGAACAGGTTCTAAATAAGGAACGTGTTTGAGACAACACTATTATCAAATTAAATTGTTTATGAGTTATGTTACCTCTCACATATACATATATACATAAATATTGATATAGTGTCCGCAATCAGTACATTTTTGTTCTATTGTTCTTCACCAGAATATTTTTAAATTAACCAGCGATAAATAGACCAAATTAGGAGCCTTTTAAAATAAAAAAAGTGAAAAAAATAGCTAAATGAAACCCTTTGGAAAAGGAAAGGAATATTATAAAAATTAAAGGAAAAATAATTTACGGGCGATCAGAGGTCGGGAAGGGTATGGGGGTGGGTATTTAAGGGTAAAAAATGGCTTTTTTCGGTTTCCGTCGAAACCAAAAATCTTAATGTAACATGTTACTTGGCAAAGTTGTTGGTAATAAAAAGATATAAAACTTTTGTATTTACACCCTTTTTACATTACCTTAAAATTTATGTGAAAAATTCAATAAATGGTTTGATTCTACTGTTATTACTTTATATATATATACTGTTATTATTTAATATAAAACTGTGTGCTCGTGTCCCGTAACCCTTATACCGTTTGAGTTTTCATAATGAACATGATCGCTGTAACAGTGTGTAATGTTAAACTCGTTACTGTAATGACGAAATTAACCATACTTATAGCCTTAGTACAAGTCTCCATCTTCACGCGACGTACTGAGAGTTTCACGTTTCTCATTCAAACTATATTAGTACTATGATTTGACGAGATTAATGAATGAGAAACTGTGAACGATCTGTATGTCGTGTGACGATGGAAACTTGGAGTAAGGATAGTGTAAATATCGACCAATTTAATTGTGGAACTGAGCTCATTCTTTGAGGAACTTTATGACACAAGAAGTTTATGAATATATTTAATATTTCACTGATTTTAATGAAGTAAAATGATTTTATTCAAAATATTATTTATTGTATTTAAAAGTATTTTAAAAAAATATTCAAGAAAGAACAGTCAGATCCTTTATAAACATACGTGCCAATTGTCTATAGAAACTATTTTATTAACGATACAACGAGGTAATATTACTTTAAAAATAAATTTTTTATTCTCTTTTTTTTTCAATAATTGCGTAAAGGAATTCATATTAATATCAAATATATCAAAAAAGTTGTGTATTAGTTTCTATCAAATGTGTAGTAGTAATACATTGCCGTGTTATAATGTCCATGTTCATCTCCCTCACCTTCCCGAGGACCGATGTAACACACAGCAGCAGGTGGAGCCACTTCATCGTCACTGAACACGACTGACTCGTCTCCTCACGTCCTCACACTGAGCTGGCTGTACTCCGACACCTTCACTTGTAGCGCTACTATAAACAATGTACACACACTACTTACGTGCTTAACAACCTATTCAGATAATAATTCTTTCAGCGTTCATTTCCATATCCTTTAATATTATTGTTTACATTAAGACCGACTTCCGTCGTTCAATACGTCTGTTAATGAAAACGAGAGGGTATTTGAACTTATTAAGGAGTTATTTCAAATTTTTCAATATATAATACATGTTATCAATTAATACTTCCGGTCCTACATATACGGCTAGTTCGGGTACATCGTGATGATTATTTATAAGTATAGATTAAAACTTCTGTTCAACAATTTAATTAGTAATTTAATAATCAAATAAATAGTTGATTCATATTTGTTTATACTTGGAACATTTTATTATATGTTATTCTATTTATTAATGGCGCCTTCTGCTTGTCAGCTTCCGGCGCAATTAATAAATAGTGCTTATTGTTATTTATATACTCTCAAGTTATGTCGATTAATCAATGCTATAATAATTTTGTTTTGTTGTGTATAATGCAAGAATGAAGCTACTAGAACCTTATTTTACTTATATGACTAGATTATAAACTTCCGGTGTAATATATCAACTTTTAATATTTAATGTTACATAATCCTGTATTATTAAATAATATTTGTCCATAAATAATAATTAGAATAATTAAGATAAACAATGTTTAATATTATCTCTTAAGTTTACAAATTGAATATTAAATTAAGTCAAGATATTGAATATAATACCGATATACCGCCATATTGAATATATCGGCCATTAGTATTCTAACCGTTGTAACGTGCATTAAAAGTGTTCCTTTATATAACGTATCGTCATTTACGCCGCCACCCTGAGAACCCACCTTTTATATACATTTCCAATTTAATTATTTTTCTGTAAACTGATATATTTTCAATAATAGTCATCAAAAAAGTACAATGTATGATATACAACTCTTACACTAAACCTCATTTAACATACCTTATTGATATATGGGGAACAGCGACAAAAACGAAATTAAATAAACTGCAAGCGTTACAAAACAAAATTATAAAAACATTATTCAGTTATAAATATTGAACTAGTATTGAAAAAAAATTATAAAAAAAATACCATTATGACTATTAACCAATTATACCACTTTCATACGATGTTGCTTATTTATTAAATTCTATATAATAAAATTAATTCAACAATACTGTTTACTCTGAACAATCTTCTATTTCCCTCTTCCTGGCAATTTCCCAGCTTTAGCCAGGGTCTGCCTTACATGTTGTCAATAGTTTTGACTAATTGTTTTAACGACCGGCCGCCTGCCTGACATCAACCCTCTTTTGGGAATGCAGTAATCAGTGATGTCTAAATACTCTCAAAAAGTACATATGACTCGGAAAAATCACATTGGTACTTGCCAGGATCGAACCCGCGCCCTCATTCATGAGAGGCGGCCCTGAACTTCACTAACTCTGAACAATGAATCACCAAAACACAGTCTACGAAGATCTAAAAACACTTTTATAATATATAAAACTAGAACTAGATTTGGATAAGGGACTTTGATTATTGAGGGAGCACAATTATACAAAATATTTTTTTAATATATGTATATGTGTGAACGGCTGATCTCTTTTTGTGTTTTACCCACATTTTTTTATTAATTAATTTTCTTATCTAAGTAAATGAGAAATAGATATTCTTTAATCCTAAACATATCTTCAAGTTCTTCCAGCAGTTCAATCTTCACACTTCATGAGGCTCAATAGCTAAGAACATGCTGCTATTTCTAGCATACTTTTTATATTCTTATAGGTACCCTGGAGACATTTTATTGCTTACACGAAACAATAATCCTCTTAAATTATGAAAACATCATTACTGAGACATTATAATTATTATTATAACTATATATTATAATAAAAACTAAGAAATTATAATTCATTTGTTTATAAACCCAGTCATTAATTAATGTAGGTCATGTATGGCCATGACCTTCTAAAAAAAACATTCAGATATGACTCCCACTGAGGAACTACAACAGTTATAAACATTTACAAGTATTTTATAACGAGATGCAGAGAAGTATAAAGAACGCAAGATAAGGTTAGAACAATTATTTCTATAACAAAGTTAAGTTAGCTACAGAGGTGAGGACTAAGGAAAAGTAAACATTATTTTAAGCTACTTTTATTTTAAATAAATGTTACAATTTTAATTTCATGTACGACCTACTTGATATAAGCTTGTAGAAAATTCCTCGTCATCAGCCTATCAGAGCTCACTGCTGAGCAAAGGTCTCTTCTCACATGGAAAAGGTTTGAAATTTATAAGTCCATGTTTCCTCACGATGTTTTCCTTCACCAGTGAGTGGTTTCTAAATACTCTTGGAAAGTACATAGGACTCGGAAAAATCACATTGGTACTTGCCAGGATCGAACCCGCGCCCTCTTGCACTAGAGGCTGGCCTTTAACCACTAGGCTACCACTGACTAAATGTACAGTATTGGTAAAATTATGAAACTGAATGTATATGAATCCCACATAAAAAGATCAATGTATATCATTGGTAGTTTTGATAAAATTCTACATTTTTAATAATAATGATATTACAGTCAGATGCATGCAATGTAATTCCCGGAAGGTAATTTTTCTTAATAAATGTACATAGTTATTTAATTGTGGGCATTTTCATTATAAGAAGAATAATATAAATAAATTAAAAGAATAATATAAATAATTAAAAAGAATAATATAAATAAATAAATATAATTACTTATTATCAGTTTTAGCATACTCGATTAATATATAACAATTATATCAGCAGTATATAGGAACAAGTTTATGTGAATATTAAGTGACAAAGATTATATAAACGAGGTCGAAATGACAAATGAAATTGGTACATTGACATTCATTTACAGATAGCCGTTTTACTAAAGTGTTTATTTTTATAATTATATGTAGATCAGTAACCGTGGCGTGGGAAAATTTTAGTCAATCATACTTTAGGAACATTTAATGTATTTTAAATTATTCGTCAACTCTGAAATGCGGCTATAATATACAGGGTGACTGGTGAATTACTATCGATACTTGAGGACGTGATATTTGACGATCATATATGACAAAATAAAAATTAATATAACATAAATATTAATAAACTTCTAAGTAAAGTTAACCAAAAGTTATGTAATTAATTACGCATCGTGTGAACACCCTACAGATTAGGTATACACACACACATACACGCGTGCAGCGGCGTGGTGTTGTATCAGCACACGCGTCCTCTCTTGGAACACTTGGAACGTGTCCACACTTTATTTATTTATACGGAAATTTGGTCAAAAATTAAGTAACCTATTTTTTTTACATAATTCGAATGAGAATCATGTACCGAGTATGCTCCTTAAATATTGATAGTAATTCACCAGTCACCCTGTATAATACGAGGCGTGGTAGTGGGAACCATTTATCATATAACTATTATTGTAGTGTCGCGTTAGTTTTCATGATAAATATAACAATCAAAAATGAAATAAATGTTAAAATATCACATGAGAAATCTGTTAACGGTAGCCATTATATTTTGTAGCATTAACTTGTATCAGTAATTTTAATATTAAGTTTAAATAAAACCAGAGTTGGCTGCTCTCTCAATAATAGATCTCAGACCCTTTACTTACTTATACTAGCTTTTGCCTGTGACTTCGTCTCCTTAATTCAAAAATTAGAAATGTATAGCTGGCCGGGCGAATTCTTTTCTTCATTAAAGACAGTACATAAGAAAGTATTGGATTTGATCAACTATTTTTTATCTTTTTCAATCGCATGATAAGTATCCTATGTCCTTTCCTTGTTCTAAGCTATTTCTCTACCAATATTCAACCATATCCGTACAGTCGTTCTTGAGTTATAAATAGTGTAACTAACACGACTTTATTTTGCATATAAAGATACATTCATGATCGTTTAACTCTCTCTGTGATTATGTTTATAAAGTAATAATATTCAATGTATTTTACAAAATGCCAGAAAATTTTACTTTTAATAATAACTATGAATGATAATAATGATGAATCTACTGATGCCTAATCTACAGGAACTAAGCTTAAAATTATATACAGCTAGTAAAACTAAATAGCAACTGAGCTGTGGAGATAAAAAACATCGTTTGTCCTACATTATAAAATGGATGTTTGTGTTGATATTAATTCACTCATTACAATACCTGTTCCATGGCCGTTGTAGAGATAAATCTAGAATCATCTACAAAAGAAATCAGTGAAGTGTAGACGCTTAAATAAAGTAATATGATCTAAGATTTTCGTATTCATTTAAATGAAGCTAATATTTTTCGGACATACTACGCGATTTTATTTTTAATAAAAACTGCATACTCCCGAGGTTTCGGTTGCTTTTCATCAACCGTGATCAGGCAGACGAGATGTGAATGTTTGTCAGTCGGTCTTGTTATTTTATCACATAGCGCCAGCGATATCTTAATTTTCTGGTGTACCGCTCTGGATGCTTAAATAAAGCAAATTGATATATATAAATAATATATAACTAAGAGGCTAACTACAAAATGAACAATTGTTTTGATAACAAATATATGTGTTCAGTATTTCTTGTTTGTTGCACCGTGTATAGTTTATAAGAATTGATACAGCATGGTCATTCTATGTGTTATTGTCGACTGTTTTGCCAGCCGGCTATATTTTTCACTTGTATATATAGACCAGCTTTCCGCCCGTAGCTACGCCCGCGTTGAGTTCGGTAATATCGCGTTTCCAAGAGAATCTTTTATAAGTCTGGGATAAAAACTATCCTATGTTCTTTCTCAAGGTCAACTCTATGTCTGTACCAAATTTCATTAAAATCAGTTCAGTGGTTTAGGCGTGAAAGCGTAACAGACAGACAGACAGAGTTACTTTCGCATTA